GTTTCGCCCATGACATCCCCCATGCGTTGCCATTCCTGAGGACTCAGGTGTTCCTTTATACCCTTTAAATTCACTGCCATATCCTACCCTTCAAACCGAAACACAACAATGCAAACACAACTACTTCACGGTGGGGGGAAAGGGATTGTTAGTAATGGAGACTAAGAATCCCATTGCTAGCAATATACCAAACCAGGTCGACCTCCTCGCGATTCTCTCTGAAAACTATCATGGTTAATTCCTGATGAATTCATCATGATAGACTAACTGGCCTGTTTTCATTCTCATCTATCACTCTTCACTGGTGCTCCGCCAGCGTATCCCATTAGCGCAGGCGGGATTACCATACCATTTTCACCCATCAAAAAAAAAACTACTTCACCGTAAAAACACAAATGGGACAGAGGTGTTTGGCAAACGACTTTTGTACAAGGTCTCCTTTTGGTGATATGTTATATAGCACGAATATAAAGTATCGATATTGGTTTTGATATCATTCCGTATACATATATGATTAAATTTACCGCGGGTCGAACCACCACCGCCCAATTTGCGAATAAATTACGTTTTAATAAAAACTTATTGAGACATCATTTTATCAATCGGCTTAATTGAACAATTCTTAAAAAGTAATTGATTTGTCCTTAGCTCTTTATACGTTAACCCATCGTAAACCCACTTTAGATGTATCATTAATTTTATTAAAAAACTGACTGTAAACCGCCTATTTGTCCTCGCGAAGATTAAAAGTACCATCTAAAACATGGTCTTTTTGTGGGAAACTTTGTTTCAAATCCGTTTAGCCACTTGATCATGATTCATCCCCCGTTCGATCTCGATAGCCTAGTAATTAAAGGATGCCTACAGCCACCTTCGATAGAGAAATTTATCCGCACACGCTTGAACTTAAATGATCACGTACAGTGCCGTTCCAGAGAAACTTTCTCCTACAAACGTTCAGGCTGTGGAGTGAGCTCCCTGCCGAGGTTTTCCCTGGAGACTACATTATGGAGTTCTTCAAAAAGGCTATAAGGTATCTTCAAGATCGGCAACGTGTACGTGACACTCCTGGTGTTGAAAGCGTCCATAGGCTACAGTAACCGTTTACCATAAGACGGGCATGCTTGTGTGTCATCTTTGTGCTATAATTTAAATTTTAAAAAATAGAAACACCAGCTTTGCTACCATAAGTTTGTACAGACAGATTACTATCAAGTTTCTACAATAGTCGAAGTATTCGAAAATTATGCGACTATCGTAAACTATAATACGAACTACATCTCGTTTTAATTTACCTAGGATAGATTACTATCCCGTAAACCACAACTCATTGGCCGTGTGGTTCCAGTATAGAATAGGCCACCCCTTCCTTTCCTGTGGGTGTCCTAAGAGAACGAAAGAGTAGAGAGATACCGGCAGGCAGAGGCAGCAACGTCCCTCTTAAAACATTTCTAAAAGCCTAACTGCGGTTACCAACCCGTGTACCAACCGTGACAATTACTGGAAAACTCTCCTTATGGGGAAAGCTTATGTTCAGCTGTGAGCAGTTTATGGCTGAAATGATGAAACCAAAACTCATAAACGCATAAGTAATACCCGGGCAACAGGGAAGGATTAGCATCCTTCTCTGGTGCCCGGATGATACTATAAGGATTTTATAAGAAAGGATGCCGGGACTACCTATGAGGATGAATTCAGGCCCGTTTGAAGTTTGGTTTGAATGGTGGGATTTGGCAGTGAATTTACAGGGTAAAAAGGAATAATACCTGAGGCCTCAGGAATGGCAACGCATGGGGGGTATCATTGGCGAAACAGCATACTCTGTTATGTCCATGGTACTGCTCATGTCTATAGGCGACGGTTACTACTTTCCATTAGGTGGACTGTCAGCTTGTTTGGCATTGTAAATTACATAAAAAAAAGAGTTTACCCATCGTGGCGAATTAATTGCAAATTAACCATGATAGTATTCCGGGTTGGGAGACCACGTGAAGGTTGATTGAATAGCGTATATTGCTAGCAATGGGATTCAACAAACCCATTACCAACACTTCCTTCTCTCGCCACCATTTTTATTATTAGGTAAAGATGGTATAATCAAATTCTATGGGTACCAGTAGTAAATGAAATTGAAAATTGAGGTCAGACCAGTTAGCCCATCGTGGCAAATTTATTAGACATTAAGCACGATGATTTCTAAGGGAGACCGTGTAGAGATCGACCGGACAGCGTATATTTGTGCAACAATGTACCCAATATAGCAGGCATCCCGCCATCCGTACCAAATAGTAAAGAACGGATGACCTCCAGCTATACAAAAAAAAACTGAAAACTAACAATGGTGACTAACATCTCCATTACTAACACTCCCTTCCCCTTCCCCATAAAATTGTAATATCTATTTAAATCCATAACTGTGAGTTAATGTAAGTATGAACTTTGATCCGGCCCGTGGAAAGCAATAGTTGACCCTCGGGTCAACCGATCTGTGATTTTACACGCTTGCAGCTTATCTAGTTTTACCTTCTCTGTATTTACGGATTAAATTATAGATAACAACAGCCTGAATAACCCCCAGTACAAAATATATATTGATGAAATTAAAAAATTACATGGTAAATTCCATTTAAAAAGTTTTTGACATAACATTTAAAATTTAAGTGTAACTCTTAAACAAAAAAATCCCGCTGTTCCGCTGACTGATCGTTATTTAGAAAGGGAAAAAGTGATTTTTTATTTAAATTATTGAGAATTTTACCACTTTTAGTGTTTTTTTTTTATGCAACTTAGAATGCCAAACAAGCTGACAGCCCACCTGATGAAAAGTGGTAACCGTCGCCTAATAACATGAGCAGGACCATGGACATAACAGAGTATACTGTTTCAACCATAAATCTGCCATTCCTGAGGACTCAGATGTTATTCCTTTGTAACCTGTAAATTCACTGCCATATCCCACCCATCAAACTGAAACAAAGCTATGCAAACACAACTGCTTCACGGCAGAAACACGAATGGGACAGAGGTGCTCAAGCAAACGACTTTTGTACAAAGTCTAACTCTGGTATAAGTGTACCTTTTATGAAGACAAAATATGCTGAAAACACATTTGTATTTCGCATTTGTACTGATTACAATAAATTACGTACTCCAGTGTTAACATATTTAGTAACTCGATTGCAGTGTACAAAAAGCTGATTAGGGATAATATGAAGAATTCAATGTGATAGTATTTGCGTCTTAGTATATGGTTTTTTTGTACTTACCGCTGTATTTTGAACCTTGTTTGCTCTGTATTATTGTTTATATTCATTTTATTAAAGTTTATTATTTTTAATAGTGGAAACTTTCACCATCATTTCAACCATTATCCGTCCACTGCTGGACATAAGCCTCTCCCATAGACTGCCATAAAGAACGGTCCTGAGGTACCTGCATCCACTAACTCTCTGCAATGCATTTCAGGTCGTCACTCCATATAGTGGAGGGACATCCTACACTGCATTTACCTGTACGCGATCGCCACTTGTGGAAACTTTATTGGTTAATAATTATTTACTATCTATTTTTTTTTACAACACAGAGGGCAAACGAGCATGCGGCTCACCTGATGGTAAGTAACTACCGCCGCCCATGATCACCCACAACACCAGCGGCATTGCAGGTGTCCTGCCGGCCTTTTAAAAAGGAATATACTCTTTTCTTGAAGGTTATATTGTCGTATCGGTTCGGAAATACTGCTGCTGGAAGTTGATTCCAAATAATGGTTGTGCGTGGAAGAAAGTGCCTTGAAAAACGCACCGTGGAAGACCGCCACTCGTCCAGATGATTGGGATGAAACTTTAGTTTGTGATGGGTTGTACGGTGGTGAAAATCAGCAGCAGGTATTAATCCGAACAATTCCTCTGAACACAGAATCTGTTAATTGTACTGTTTGTTTCCCAAATAAGAATAAAATAAAATGAAAATAAATAAATTATCTGCAGATCTTGGATCTAGAATGAAAGAATCAATACCGTGTGTTAGTGTAATTCAGTAAGTGGTCTGAATATTTTATACGTGTGACAATTACATAATAAATAGATTAGCTAATTAGCCAAGTTATTCCTCCATTAACCATTCCTCTCTCCTCTCTTCCCCCATTCTATGCCGGGACCACACGACATAGACTGTCTTATAGTCGATTCGTTTTTATTAAATTATTTAGTTCTTGTTCAAAATTAACCTTTTTATATACTTTGACAATTGTAGTTTTTTATAAAAAAGAAAATTGATAAACAATTGAAATAGAACAAAATACATACAATACTTCAAGTCAACAGACGGCAATTTTACTTACAAACAATATAATTAATAAATAATATATACAAATAAGAACCAGCATATTTTACAAACAGTTCTAGTTAAACAAACTACAGCAATAGGACTGCCTGTCCTCATTGCTGGCAATCTAACATTATATCAATGACTCTCTGAATACATCGTACACGTAAATTCCAATTTATGACGTACAAAATCTTTGCCTTTTACATTTTAAAAGGCACTTATATTTTTTTATATCTCAAAGATAGCAAACAAGCATACAGCCCGTCTGATGAGGGGGGGGGGTCAAGGAATTGTTAGTAATGCGAACGACTACTCTCATTGCTAGCAATATACCCTGCTCAGATAGATCTCCTGCCCCCCCCCACCTCGCCACTGAAAACCATCATGCTTGATTCCAAGTGTATTCATCACGATGGGCTAACTGACCTGCCTTTTCATTCTCGCCTATCGTCTTGCACCGGTGCCCCGCCAGCGTATAACGTTAGCGCAGGAGGGGTTATCATTCCATTATCATCCATAAAAAAACTTATGGTAAACGGTCACTGTATCTCGTGAACGCTTGCAAAACTAGAGGTGTTACTGTTAATCACTTACCATCAGATGAGCCGCATGCTCGTTTGCCACCTATATTGTAAAAAAAGTATGTTCTAGAAGTTTGAAAAATGCAAACAAGATTGATATATTATATAACTTTAATTCTATATTTATGCATAGGAACCACTAAAGATGTTTCCCATATTTGAAGAAAATATACATTTATAATAAAATACAATCATATTTATTTATTTTGTTTATTTATTTGTACTTTTGCACACATTCAAATATGTCTATAGGGCAGACTTAATGCCTGATAGCATTCTCTACCAGTCAACCGTTACGCTAAACAGAGAGAGAGTAAATGGCGGTGTATAGATTTAAAAAAAAATTGTAAATTAAATAAATATTTTGAGAGATAACAACAATTTAAGATATACATATAGAATAATATACTTACAAAAAATATTTTTTTTTTTTATACAACTTAGAATGGGAAACAAGCTGACGGTCCACCTGATGGAAAGTGGTAACCGTCGCCTATAGACATGAGCAATACCATGGACATACCACACACAATACATATATAAATAACTATACATAGTACATATTAAATTAATAAATATATAAATCATTTTATTGTTTAATTAATCTATATTAGTTAATAAATAATACAAATATTAATTAATATGGGACTATTCATTATTTATACTTATATATTATAATGCCTTATATAAAAATTCATGAAACTTCGTTTTCGTATAAATATTCAAGATATGGGGCGTTTAATTGATAAGACAAATGTTTGCTGATAATCTTAATAAGTCGACTTTTCACTGTGACATTTTGCGATCCTTCTAGAAGAGATTCAGCCAATTGTAAATAATCTGCAGCTGTATTATCGTCGGGTTTTGCGTCGACATATTTTCTGAAAAAAAAAAAACTTGTATATCAATACAAATCGTTTGAACACATTAATTTCTGCAACTACTAATCTCATTAAAAACTGTTTTTGCATTTGGTAGCTTATTTCTTGACAAATATTATGCTATTTAAATTACAAAAGATGATACATCTAGTGTCATAATAATCAGGAAAGACTCTGCTGCCCATCCCTCGTCCTCCCTAAGTCGCCTCTTACGACACCCACGAGAAAGGAATGGGTGGCCTATTCTATGCCGGAACCACACGGCAAAATGTATTAAAATATAGTAAATAGATATGTAATCCTAGAATCGTATGAAGAAACAATTGTCTATAAAATGTGTTCCAAAACATAATTTTACTATTTAAATACACTATCTGGACTTAGCACGATAAAAAGTGATGGCGACGTGATGCAATTCACATCGAAACGTCGGCAATAAAGAAGCATATATGTAGATACTATTTACTTTTTAAATTTTTCATGTGTAAATAACGCGAGAGTTTAAAATTAACTGTAATTTCACTAATCGCGAAAGCTACACGATTTAAAAATTTTAACTGCCCAGACACATCGTCGAACAAAAAATATTTGTATAAAATCTATGCAACCAGTTACGTGTATAACGAAGGCGTTAAGCGCAGTAACATAACCCAATTGTTGTTTTATTTAAACTATTTTATTATTTATAAGAAGTTAAATTAGAAAAATAGCAAGAATCAGTTTTATTTTAAAGAGAACAATACAGATTAGAGAGAATATGTCAAAAATCTCAGCCAACAATCAATCTATGTTAAACGTTAAAACAAAATAGAAGGCGGCAAATTTAAACATTACAACACCAATTATATGAATAGAATCGCACATAAATACCAATTTATATTGAATTACCTTAAACAGTTAACCATAGAATCGAAACGGTTCCAGCTACAGTCGCACCTCATGGGAACATTGGCAGTTTCTTGTGGCGTACATTCAACTATCTCACTACAGTCGACCTCAGAATTAGTTGAATCATTTTTATTCTTTCTCAAGTACAATTTCCTTAAAATAAAAATAAAAGTTTTTAGTACTTATTTCATAATAAAAAAAACTCACAGTTTCCTGTTGCCACTAACCCAGTGTATACATATGCCTCTTATTATGTTCACCATAATGCCATATTGTTATGTGTACCATAATGGCAAAAATCAGAGTTGACAAGGTAATCTTTTCACCTAAAACGTGGTAAACGGACGAATAAATTGATGAAGAAGTTTTTAAAGAAAAATAATATGGGTGTGCAGATACCTATTTGGGTAAGTAATTTGTCTGATAGTTTTAATTTTCGTGAACCTAACCTAACCCATAATTTGAAGTGTAAGGAGCCTTTTTTCTATTTTTTTTTTTTCAGTCGTTTGCATAACGCTTAGACAATATAACTTTGTCAGCTACAGTCGATATATGCTCCCCAGTATTTTTATTATTATTTTTATACTCAATAATATATTCATTACTCTTTTTAATTTTATTTATGGAATATATACGGCACACTTGTTCAGTGATTACCGCCGCCCATAGACACCTCTAACATCAAATGATTTGAAGCAGATGAATTGCCGGCCTTTTAAAAAGAAATATACTCTTTTCTTGATGATTTAAATGTCGTATCTGTTCGGAAATACTGCTTTTATTATTGTTGGGAGAGGGAGACTTTGTACAAAAGTCGATTGCTTGGGTACCTCTGTCCCATTCGTGTTTCTACCGTGAAGCAGTTGTTTGCATGACTGTGTTTCGGTTTGAAGGGTGGGATATGGCGTGAATTTACAGGGTTCAGAGGAATAACACCCGAGTCCTCAGGAAAGGCAACTCATGGGAGGTATTATGGGCGAAACAGTATACTCTGTTATGTCCATGGTACTGCTCGTGTCTATAGGCGACGATTACCACTTTCCATCAGGTGGGCCGTCAGCTTGTTTGCCATTCTAAGTTGTATAAAAAAAATTACCTTGTAAATGTCGAAGTGGACACCGGCATCTGTTTGTTGTTCAGATGCTCCATTGTTATCGTGTCGTATTTTTTGTCTGTCTTGTCTATGGCCACCCTCCGCTTGACCACAGTTATGATTGACTCCAGGTCTTCCGTGGCCGCGAGCCTGTCTATTTCCTCGCACAGGGTCTTTATGAACCATGAACCTTCGTTTGTCCTGGAAAATTATTTATTTTTATTAATCCTTACTATTATTATAAATGTAAACGTGAGTCTTTGTATGTTACCCCCTGGTGATAGAGCCAATTATCACGTTTAATAACACAGTATTTAAATTGAAGTACAATGTAAATTATTATTTTAACTTAACTAAGTAAATGGGAAATCTTTCTCTAACTTATCACTAACCACTCGGTATTGAATGCGACATTCGTTGTCCAAGCCTTTATGATTCTAACTCATAATTGATACTGGGCTCAATTCTAAAATGCCGTTTCTCTAAATTCCCGAAATTGTTTTATTCATCCCAAAAAAATCAAAGTCAAAAGTTCAAAGTCCCCCTCTGGTAAAATGAATCCGATAGGTGGCACTAAGGAGCAAATTAATGCTGTTTTTTTTTTAATAGATGATAATGGAATGGTAACCCCGCCTGCGCTAACAGTATACGCTAGTAACGAGGCACTAGTAAAGAATAATAGGTAAGAACGAAAAGGTGGGTCAGTTAGCCCATCGTGATGAATAGACTTGGCATTCAACACGATGGTTTCTAGGGGAGACCATGTAGAGGTCGCTCTGATAGGATATATTGCTATCAATGGAACTGGTAGTCTGCATTATTAACAACCTCCCCCCTCCCTTCATTAACGCTGGATAATCCAATAGATAGGTAACCCTCATTTGGTCCTCCTGTCAGGTATGGTTTAGATACCTGACAGGGGGACCAAAACCTAACAGGGCGAGACCTTGCCCCGCCAGTGTATACCGATAGCGCAGGCGGGGTCGCAATTTCATAATCACCCATTATTAAAAAAGAAAATAGGACAATTAACGACTGATGTAAATAATAATAATAGTCAATAGATAAGTAAAAAAAATACCTGTGAGCAGGATTTCCGGCATAACAGCTATGTAGGACCAAGATATCTGACTCCATAGGCAATGTGTAGGGTTCCGGTTTCTTCATGCTGTCACGAAACACCAATGTGTATGGTTCTAGTACATTGACACCCACGATACTGCCTTCGCCTCTGCAAGCCTAGACAAAAAGTTCTTTAAATAGTAATTAAGAAAAAAATACTCAACTAACTCTTATAGTTTAATGAAAATTCTTGATGTCCTAAAAAACCTAGTTTAAACTGAAATTGATATAGTGTACGATAATTCGAATTCCTACAGGAATAAATTGCTGAAGCACTTTGTACAACAATCTTATGAACATTAACTCTAATTGTCATAATATATATTTTTTTAATATTTTTTTTTTAATTTAATTTACTCATAATCTTATTTTCTGATTTTGCTCACAACTTAGATTACATGTTTATTTTTGGTATTTACTTAAATTTCTTACACTGTATAATTATGTTAAAGTGAATGCTGTGAATACCTATAATAGGCATGTGCATTAATATTGTATTGTATTTAATGTTGTGATACCTATATGTTATAATGCAATATGCTGTTGGTGTTCCTTAAATAAATAAATAAATAAATAAATGCATATGAGAAAATGTCTTAGAATTATTAAAGGTTTTTGAAGTAAATTTATTTTCAAAATAAATACCCGGTTTAATCATCGTCCGTTTCAGCCCTTAACTTTTCATTGCTAGAAACAGACCTCGCTAAAGGATTTTGCGAATTGTTACCACGCTTGACATTTTATTGTGCAATTTTAAGGTCAATTTGAGAACATCATGATTCAGTAATATAAACCGCAACATCAGAAACTGAGGGTCGAAGAGCATATTTTTTTTACAACACAGGGGGCAATTAATGATGGGAACATATTGCTAGCAATAGAGACATCATCATAGCAATATACATTGGCAGATTGACCTCTACACAGTTCCCCCTTGAAAACATCGTGATTAATTCCAGGGGGAATTCGAATTTTTTTATGATACTTACAAGCTGTGTAGGTCCCAGTGTAGAATAGGCCACACCTTTTCTCGTGAGTGTACTTATGGTAGAGGAATGGACAACAGCGTCTTTTTTAAAACATCACTAAAAGCCTAACTGCGGTTGCCAACCCGCCTGCTAAGCGTGGCAACTACTGGCAAAGCTCCCCTTTTGTAGAAGGCTTATGGGCACGGCGATGTGTTCATAAGTGTAAGCGTAACGAACATATATCGATAGCATAAAAATTACCTGAATTATTACAATCCTCGGCTTGGTAACTAACGTTGGATTCCTTCCTACTTTCAGGTAATCCACGATCATCTGTTCAGGGTACGAGACGTCTGCCGCCATCAGCATACCATTCTCTGAGCCGTGGGTGAGTACTGCCACTGCTATGCACCCATAATCAGACAAGTCTTTGCTTGTAACTGCAATTAGATTTTTTTTTTTTTGCAATTTATTGAAAAATTCTTTCCTCTTTCTTTCTCTCTTTTTTTTATACAACTTAGAATGGCAAACAAGCTGACGGCCCACATGATGAAAAGTGGTAATCGTCGCCTATAGACATGAGCAGTACCATGGACATAACAGAGTATACTATTTCGCCTATGATACCCCCCATGTGTTACGATTCCTGAGGACTCAGGTGTTATTCCTATGTACCCAATAAATTCACGCTTCTTTCTCTCTCTCTGCCTGTCTCTTTCTCTCTGCCTTTCTTTCTCTCTCTCTGCCTCTCACTGGCTCTCTCTGCTTGTCTCTGTGTCTTTCTTTCATAATAGACACGTAATTTTTACAAAGTTTCGAACTTTGTAATTACGTTCCATCACAGACCCCATTATTTTATGCAGGACAGGATGCTTAATCAGGACAAGTATTTACATGTATGATAGATAGAGATAACAGAATTAAAATATACATACATTTTAGTACATTCTAATTGATTCAGCGAAATTGGCCCGTTATCGCCACGGAAATATATGTCGCGCGAATTCGCATGTTATCGCTCCTTATCAGGAGAAATCGGAGCGTTTTATGTACTGACATAGAACACCAGTATCATAGTTTTCTTTGTTCCCACTTTCACTATTATATGTACTTAAAAAAGAATATAATAACTGTTCCGCAATTGTTTTTCCATGTATATTAGAATCCATCATGGCCGTAAGTTACCCTACCATCGTCACTCGAATTAATTTCATAATACTCTTATTGTAATCTTTTATTACTTCAATGATATTAATTTTTTAAAGAAAAAAGTACATTGTATGTTACAAACAAATAATTATTTTTAATCACAGATCACATGCAATGTTATATTAAAATTTCGTATTAGATTTCGGCTCATCTAAATTTGACTTCATCAATTTTCATACTCTGTAAGCTTTGACAATGACTAGTTGAGTGAAATGAGCTTTAAAATCTAAGCGAATTCCTAAGGATGATAGCATACATATATACCCTTATTAAGTCAAGGTATCGTTCACAATCAATGAATCAAATTCCATTTTACTTATTTAAAGAATCCCACACACAAATTCACTCGGAATTCCGCTGGCAAAATTTGAATTTGGCTTTACAGAATAGAATTAGAGTCCCCGTCAAATTTCTTCAAGGATCACATATATAATAAACAAATTTGAACAAAAAATTTAAGTAGTTAATACACACCCCTAAAATAAACAAAGCTACTAAACATAAAAACTGTATCACTAAATTATCAATGCCTACTGTAAATCGCGATAAAATAGATAAGTTCTTGGTAACATGCAAGTTTTTTAGTAAGATAATCTTAAAACAAAGACAGGAAGTTGAATATGTATCATTTATTATATATATATATATATATATATATATATATATATATATATATATATATATATATATATATATATATATATATATGTATAAGTCAAATTTATCTATATCTCTAAAAGACATCTCTTCCAGCCAACCCAGTGCAGTTAGAGAGAAAATAATTAGCGGGTAAAAGGAGAACAATACAAGATAAGTAGAATGCAAAGAAAATAAACATACACGGGAGGGGAGTTTTGCCAGTAATTGCCACGGTTGGCAGGCGGCTTGACAACCACGCTTAGGTTTTGGTGATGTTTTAAAAGGAACTCTTCGGCCCGTCCCTCGACTATTAAGTTCCCTTAGTCACCTCTTACGACACGCGTAAGAAAGAAAGAAGAAAGCTAACTCATTCTACACACACACACACACACACACCACATGGCAAAGAGGGGAAAGGGATTGTTAGCAATGGAATTTGACAGCCCCATTGCTAGCAATATGCTCTATTAGGTCGACTTTTACGTGGTTCCCCCTGGAAACCGTCGTGAACAATTTTTGTTGAATTCGTCACGATGAGCTAACTGACCTGCTTCATCCTCACCTATCATCCTTTACTGGTGCTCCGCCGGTGTATACCGATAGCACAGGTGGGGTGATACCATTCCATTGTCACCCATTAAAAAACCACATGGCAAAGATTAAATATGAATGTCGCTAAATTGAAGTTTCTAAATGTTTATTAAAATAACAATCTATTAAGATCAACTAAATTAACTGTTGCAAGTGACGAAGTATTTAATGGTAATTCATCACGTCTATCATCAAAAAATTCATAAACATCTCAAAGCTGAACGTAGGAATTCCCATAAAAATTAACCTATTATTGTGAAAGTTTGCTATATTTTTTTATACAACTTAGAATGGCAAACAAGCTAAGGACCCATCTGATGGAAAGTGGTAACCGTCGCCTATAGACATAAGCAGTACCGTGGACATAACAGATTATACTGTTTCGCCCATGATACCTCCCACGCGTTGCCATTCCTGGGGACTCAGAAGGATATTTGTAGTAAATACCCTTAGACATTCCTTATGACTCGAATAACTTTCATACACTAATACAATAAAAATAATCGCTTGATGTGATCCTCTATACATGAATGTCTCTCAACAAAAATAGATTTAAATGCGTAATTGCATTGTTCGTTTGTAAGCCGATTGGAACTACTTTACTGCCTATTCAGATAAATATATATTCACAAAGATTGTCAAGTATCAAAAACGTATCAAAAAAGACTGTCAACTGTAAATATATTATTAATTATTAAAAAAAAAAAAAAAACAAATAAATTATTGGAATAAGACTTGAATGATGATGTGAACATTTGGAATGTACTAATACTTACAGTCTGATAATATTGCTTTAATTTCTTCTTCCGTTTTATCAGTAAACGGGGTTTCCACAGTGAATCCGATTTGCTCAAATGTTTTCGTCAATGCTTCTACGTCTTTCTCCGTGCCCAATCTTTTGTCGTGACTAACAAAGTTTACTTGATTGAAAATAAGTAGTACATTTGATTCAAACTCCTCCAATTGATATGTCGAGGCTGTTTTCAGTAATGCCTTCTTGTTATATAATAGCGCAACATTTGTTTTATTCTCGTCTACATCTTCCCCTTCCACCACAATCGGGGTTCCACTTATTGTTTCTGTTTCCTTTGGATTAACGTATTGACCAGGATTAAAGACTCCGGCATCGTAAGAGTTCGTTTCGACATCTCTATCGAATACTTGTAGAATCTCTTCATAGTTAAGCTCTGTTCCCTCAATCACATTGTAGTTTGACATCTTCAAAATTCAAAAACACGTCTGACTTCTGTGAATTTGAAAATTGACTAACATTATCATTGCATTGTTGCAGATTATTATTTGTTATCTTATCAATAAAACACGATATTAGATACCATCGGTATTAGAATTATTTTTTTAAGTTTTATACCTCTTCTAGTTATTTCCTGCGTATCGTAAGATTAATCAGCTTATAACATTTCCCAATAAATGAGCTGGCAAATGCAAAACTATTTTTTTCCAAGTCCGATTGGTAGTTCCAAAGTTGAATGCATTAAAACCAGAGGGAGACTTTGTACAAAAGACGTTTGCTTGGGTACCTCTGTCCCATCCACGTTTCTACCGTAAAGCAGTTGTGTTTGCATGGCTGTGTTTCGGTTTGAAGGGTGGGATATGGCGTGAATTTACAGGGTACAGAGGAATAACATCTGAGTCCTCAGGAATGGTAACGCGTGAGGGGTATCATGGGCGAAACAGTATACTCTGTTATGTCCATGGTACTGCTCATGTCTATTGGCGACGGTTACCACTTTCCATCAAGTGAGCCGTCAGCTTGTTTGCCATTCTAAGTTGTATAAAAAAAATGCATTGAAACTAACTCATCCTCTCTATTGTATATACAAGTATCTCAATACGTAACCATAACCATAACTAATCACTGCTGATTTGGTAAAGGAAGGGATGACCCATTCTATACTGGAACCACATGGTAATATCATACCATATTATTATACATATACCTCAAAGACTTACCACTCCTTTCTTCAACATTCGAGTATCCATCGAGTTATTTTATAAGGGACTATGACAGAACAAATTTAAAAAACAAGACGTGTTCTAAAAACATCAATTCTAACAGTTAATATTAAATCTCCAACATTTTCAATTTTAATTCGAATCTAAAAGTAGATCTTCTGGACCTCAAAATTTGATAGTATATCTATTCCATTCTACACTCGTATTAATCCCAGCGTTGTTTTTGAAGTCTTTTTTTTTTTTTAAATAAATAATCGTTATTATAATTATAACTACGTCACCAATTTCGATCAGTAAGATTTACTCCCGTATTGTATAAATTTTGTAATGTTTTAAGTGGCGTTTTCCTTTTAAAAGCAAAAAACTGCTTGTTGTGGAATTAAAATATGTACTCGTGTGTGCATAACTAAAGTCTATTTTCATTTTTTCAACCGACTTCAAAAAGAGGGTTCTCAATTCGGTTGTATTTTTTTATGTTTATTACCTCATAACTCCGTCAGTTGTAAACCAATTTGGGAAATTTTGTTTTTATCTGAAAATATATATTTTATTTTTAATTTGTCTAAACTTATTACTATTTTTATAGGTATTCTAACTTATATGTACAGATTTTTTGCGATAGAAATTTTATCAAAATCCGTTCAGTAATTTAGTTTTTAGATTAAAAAAGGTTTTGTCACGATTGAAATCGGTTTTTTTTTTGTGGGGCACATTCTTTAATTATCGTTTTACATGTAAATTTTGTTACTGTTTGTGAAACTTCTTAAATTCAGTAAACTATCAATAATCTACATTCTTGATCATCAGGACTCCCGATGTTCAATAATTTTATTTCACAACAATTTATAATTATTTGGGAGTTACATTTTTTTATACCACTGAGATGGCAAACAAGCATACGGCCCACCTGATGGTAAGTGGTCACCGTAGCCTATGAACACCTGCAATACCATAATTATTAGAGATTTACATAACTAAAAAAAAGAATATTTAAATTGATTAATATTTTTTAAATTATTCCATGAAAACAATTTAATTTTTCATGTGTAATATTACCTTATATATAACAATTACAATAATTACCAGAGGGAGATTTTGTACAAAAGTCGTTTGCTTGGGCACCTCTCTCCCACTCGTGTTTCTACCGTGAAGCAATTGCGTGTTTCAGTTTGAAGGGTGGGGTATGACAGTAAATTTACAGGATATAGAGAAATAACATCTGAGTCTTTAGGAATGGCAATGCATGGAGTATCATGGGTATTAAGGTCTGAAAATGAATAAAAAGGTAAGATATATTCAACTATGTTTTATTACACTATGTTTAAAAAACCTGTTGATATTTCCGGGTTCTGGGCTCTAAAATCCGGGGTTTTCAATGCATCTTGTCCTGGTTGCCAAATTCTAGAGACGGCAACCCTACTTGCAAATACAGCAGTAGTCATTTGCTCCCATTACTTCTTTCACCTGGTCATCTCCGAGTACATGCAGGGCTTAGTCTTCAAAAGCTCTTGGTCACTACGTGGCAAAGGTAGAAGAAACGTTTTATCAGAATCAGTGACAGTGTCATTTGATAACAGTATTACGTCGCATAACGCCTTTCTTCAGAACATTGCGGGTGCTATTTTAAAAATTTTATGTATTTAGTAAGTAACTAGGGCACATAAATACAAAACATATATATGTAAAATAAATCTTTTGGACCATTTCCACATTTGTTTTTATACTCATTATGGTACGGATTCCATACAATAGTATACTAAAAAGTAACTAGGACGTAATCAAAATTTTTATAAATATAAACCGATATGTACTTTTTATACAACTTAGAATGGCGAACAAGCTGACGGCCCACCTGATGGAAAGTGGTAACCGTCACATATAGACATGAGCAGTACCATGGTCCGTGACATGGACAATGGTACTCTATCATATCCATGGTCCATGGACATAACAGAGTATACTGCTTCGCCCATGATACCCATTTATCTAGGTTAAGTTACCTTTTCATTAAATTCTGTTAAAATATACTATAACTGATTTTAATATATAATACCTTAAATAATTCACTATAGGGTCGGAACAGTCGTATATACAATCGTTCGGACAACATATCGAACTGTTTTGACCATTTGAGTAGGCACGACGTCTAATTCTTGTGGCGATGGTTCATCACGTGCAGTAATGCTGACTTCTGTTTGCTCACTTACCTCTTTATATCTTCTCAGATACAATTTCCTTTAAATAAATTGTAAAATGTAAAAATAAAATAAGTTTTAAGATATAAGTAAGGTTATTGAATTTCGTAAATTATTGTCAATTTTTTTTCCTATTTATTTTATATTTTTTTATACAACTTAGAATGACAAACAAGCTGACGGCTCACCTGATGGAAAATGGTAATCGTCACCTATAGATATGAGCAGTGTCATGAACATAACAGAGCATACTGTTTCGTCCATGATACCCCTCATGCGTTGCCATTTTCAAGGACTTAGATTTTTTTTAATGGGTGATAATGGAATGGTAACCCCGCCTGCACTATCGTTCTACGCTGACGGAGCATCAGTGAGAATTAGGTATAATGTGTGAATGTCCTAAATCTAAATATTCCTTGATATATACTTTTTACTGAAATTCCAGGTATATTGTTGAACTTAGATTCTAATTGATCAAATATATGTAGATAAAATTAAACGAATTGCGATAGGATAGATCAATAGGTAACATACATACATATCTATCACGCTTATCTCCCATTAAGGTAGGCAGAAACAATAGAACACCAAATGTTTCGATAGATAAATTAACTGTAAATCGGCTTACGCTATCTCTAATCGAAATACTCACTAAAATTACTTCGCATTTTTGTTGTGACTGGTAGAGTGTCTCTAATTTCCTCTTTCTCTCAAAATTTGGTCAACCAATCCTTATAGTAAATAAGTAAAATCAAAGAAAAAGTTAAGGTGCCATGATGGATTAAAGCAGTGTTTCCCAACGTGGGACCCACGCCTCACAGGGAGGCAATTTGATAGTAAAGGGGGGGGGGGGGCGAATTTAACCATCTTGCTTCGGGCCATTTAAATGCAATGCTACGAGTAGATATCGGTGCAAAATTTAACAAAAAAAAAAGTAAGTAAAAAATGCTGTAAATATTTATTAGGTATAATTTCGTTTGACGTTACCAAAATATCAACCGAGCGATTAGAGTCGTCAAGTAAACTTTGTCAGGAAAAATTATGTATGGGGGCATAAAAATTTTGGAAATGGGGCAATTGGGGCGTGGCACAAAAATGGTTGGGAAACACTGGGTTTAAAAATTGACCACAATAATATCCAAGAGGCAAAAATACTAACGTATTTATTTTAATAATGAAGCAATCCCCTAATAAACTGAAAAAAGAAATGTATTTTACCTTGTAAATGTAGAGGTGGACACTGGCATCTGTTTGTTGTAAGAATATTCCGTTTTTATTGAGTCGTATTTTTCATGTATATAGTCTATAGCTACCCTCCGCTTGACCACAGTTATGATTGACTCCAAATCTTCCGTGGCCGCGAGCCTGTCTATTTCCTCGCAGAGGGTCTTTATGAACCATGAACCTTTGTCGGTCCTTTAAATATATATATAAATATGCTTACGGTTGCAATACTATATTTTTAGTAATTAGCCTACAAATATAACCCATCGAATTTCTCATTGCGATAGGATTTTACACGATACATCGTCTTTAATGACTTTTTAATCCAACAGATAGCACGACTTTTTTCGTGTTTTACAGTTATAGAAATACTGTGAGCTTAAGACATAAAAAAAGACATGATTCTTGCACTTTAGGGTCGATTACTTACTAAGGAATGAATTGAAGAAATCACCATACTCCCTAAGATGCAGCATTTTCATATATTTTATTGAATTTGATTGTTGATATTATTTAAATTAATGTGCAAAAATTAATCTCTCATTTGACTAAAGACTGATATTGAATTTAACTTTTACTTTCCTACGTCACCGCCCCACTCTTTTTCGAACGATACTTCTATGCGCTAGAGAGCAGACTTGCATTGACTTCCTAGTAGCACAGTAGAGAACACCAATATAAAATAATATTGGAGAGCTTGTTTTATTTATTCAAAGCCCAATTTCCCATATTGATAATATTATCCATTACTGTCCACTGCTGAACATAGACATATTGGAGTATTTTGTTAGTAATAGCTACGCTTGACAGACAAGTTAGCAACCGCAGTTAAATTTTGGTGATGTTTTAAGATGGACGTTGCTGCCCATTCCATGACCATTAAAACACCTAACCGCCTCTTACGACACCCACATGCAAAAAAGAAGAAGGAGCCTATTCTATGGACCACACGGCAATTGTACTCTTTTTTTTTAATACAACTTAGAATAGCAAACAAGCTGACGGCCCACCTGATGGAAAGTGGAAACCGTCGCCTACAGACATGAGCAGTACCATGGACATAACAGAGTGTACTGTTTCGCCCATGATATCCCCCATGCGTTGCAACTCCTGAGGACTCCGGTTTATTCCTCTGTACCCTGTAAATTCACGCCATATCCCACCCTTCAAACCGAAACACAGCCATGAAAAAACACAACTGCTTTACGGTAGAAACACGAATAGGACAGGAGTACCCAAGCAACTTACTTACTTTTCTTTTCTAATCAACTAGTACATAATTCTTGCACAAAAGCCTCCATGATTGTAATAGATAGATAGATAGAAATTTTATTAGAAACAATCATGAAATAAAATCTCTATCTATCTATCTATGAATAAAATCCACGATTAATATTACTTGCCTATGAGCCGGATTTCCCTCGTAACAGCTATGTAAGACCAAAATGTCTGCCTCCATAGGCAAAGTATAAGACTCCGATTCGTTAATGGCATCAGTAAAAATATCGTTTTCTTCTGTTCCTGATACCGTAACAGCCTTTATATCACCCTTGCCTCTGCAAGCCTAAACAAATTAAAGTCAAAATTAGAATTAATTGAAACCGAAACAAATAAAACTACTTGAAAAATAATTACAGTAATAAAAACTGATATAGGGAAACAATTCGTGTGATATAGGAATATGAGTGGGTAGAAAAAACTTCTTCCTCGGAGACGGAGACAAGACAGCGCTACATCAGTCTACTCGTGACCACGACCGGTGTAACATGATCGTAACGTCGAAATAATTTAGATAAATTCGCAAATCAACTTTAATTCGTTCTCATTTTTATATTTTAGAAAAAGTAAAATAGGAATGGAAATATACAAATATTATACAAGTCAAATTCTTTCGTTATGATTACGAATGTTTTTTTTTTTAGTTCACTTCCACTATAAACACCATCCTTTTACCGTCTCCTTATGTTATATATTTCAATATTTTTACGTCAATTAATAAATATGAATTACCTGTATAATTACAATCCTAGGCTTAGTAATTAATGTGTTATTATCGCCCGCTTTCAGGTATTCTACGATCATCTTTTCGTTGTACGATGTATCTGCCGCCATCAATTCACCATCGTAGGAACCATGGGTAAGAACAGCTACCGCTATGCAACCATAATTGCTCAGGTTCTTGCTTGTAACTGCAATTGGAATTTTCATTGTCATTAAGTCTCTTAACAGTTGACGGCTGTCTGAATATCCTAAGAAAGGATTCCAAGATCTGAACCTAATCCTCTTATTTTTTAAAGTCGTATTTAGCTAACTTAAGTTAGCCAAATACGACTTTAAAAATTAAGATATTTTACCAATAAGCCACGTCAAAAACATTAATGTAAAAAAAGCGTGTAAAAAGTCCCGTAAATTGGTAAATTTTAGATTTAACTGATAAACCTTAGGATTTACCGACATGAGTTGATATGTGTAAGGATTTAAAAAAAAATATAACAACATATACAAACTATATAATCAGATAGCAACACCTTCGCAAGAATAGATTTTTAATGGGTTATAATGGAATGGTAATCCCCTTGGACTATCGGTGTACGCTGGTGGTTTACCACTGGTAACTTACGAGTAAGAGATGATAAGTGAAAATGAAAGTAGGTTCATTGGCCAACACGACAATTCCATAAATACTAACCACCATAATTTCCAAAAGAAACCACATGGAGGTTGATCTGATATATACCCTATATTGCTAGCAATAGGACTGTTAGACCTAATTACTAACAAAGCCTTCCCATCCCTCGCAAGAGTAGTTATATAATATTTAATTTAACATTAGTGGTAACCTCTAACCAAAGAGAAAAGGTCTTTCAAAAGAAAAAACTAAAAATCAACAACTATTACAACAGTTATAATAGAAAAAGAAGATGGGAAATTATTACTTATTTCTCATACAACTCGGAATGAAGAACGATATATATATATATATATATATATATCATTTAATAAATAAATAAAATAAAAAAAGAAATGATGCCTATAATTTATACCCTATAATTTGACCTATCATACAAAACCGCGATAAAAAAAAAACACAAATTTCATTAATATTATAAAATTTAAAGTGAGATTGTTATCACACAATATATTTACATGGAATTCTAATTACTATATCCTGTTATCAAACATAATGATGCCCAGTGCCAATTAATATAAAATAACGAGAAATTTTATTAATTATACGATTAGATATAGGTAGATACCATGTATAGAGCACGTAACAAGATACACATACACATTTTTTTAAGTTAGTCCATCAGGAATACATTTGCGAAAACCGCATTCAAATTGGTGCAATAGTTTTTAAATGATGCCAAAACAAACATTAGACAGACAGATAGAAATCCTAAATATTTTAGTTTCTATTGTAATTTATTAAAACCAATATTCATTATTTTACAACTTATATTTATTTTTAAAGTCATTTGCTTGAGCACCTCTGTTCCCATTCGTGTTTCTATCGTGAAGCAGTTGTGTTTGCATGTCTGTGATTTCGGTTTGAATGGTGAGATATGTCAGTGAATTTACAGGGTACAGAGGGATAACACCTGAATCCTCTGGAATGGCAACGCACGGGGTTCATACATACCAGGGTATACTTACCCTGTTATGTCCATTGTACTGCTCATGTCAATAGGTGATGATTACCACTTTCCACTTTAGTTGGGCCAGCAGCTAGTTTGCCATTCTAAGTAGCATAAAAAAATATACTTACAGTCTTTTAATGTATTTTTAATTTGCTTTTCCGTTAGGTCAACGTATTCTGTTACAGTGAATCCAAAATTTCCAAATGTACATTTCAAAGATTTAACATCTTCTTCGGTGCCTCGTCTTTCCTCATGATTGATAACCTTTATATGATTGAAAATAAGAAGAATTTTCAATTCGAACTTTTCTAATTCGTATGTCAATGCTGTTCTTGATAGTACCTTTCTTTTTCTAACGTTCTTTTGTTGTACCCCTTGCTTTTCCGTTTCTACAGTAGAAGTGTCCACATCTCTTGGTACATTATTAAAACGATTTATACGTTGGCCACTTTTAAATCGAATACTATCGTATAAAAGTGTTATATTATCTTCTGTTCCTTCACTGTTCTCATTATTAGCATCCATTGTTTCTATCTCTTCAGGAAACAGCACTGTTTCTTCAATCACTTCGTATTTACTAATGTCAATAATAATATACGACCGATGTCTATTGAATACACAAACCGAATAACTGTATCAATTAATAATCCGAAATATCTTATCAATACTTGGTTGTAAATCATTACCTGAACTCATTTTTCAGAAAAATAATTAAGGTGCAATTAAGTGTTTAAAGTATTACCAATAAATATTGTAAGTAGGTACCCCCAATAACTTCAACCTCAAACAAAACTTGTAGTCCTCTCCTCATTATTATCATATCAGTCGTTAATTATTCACTGCTGAACATATGCCTCCCCCGTGGGGGCTTTTATCAGTAGTTGATCGTCCTTGCTACGAGTAACAATGAGAAAACAGTGGGCAACCTTATCGATTAAAGCAATCTCTTCCAGGTAACCTTTGGATATACAGGAGTAATTATAAACAGTTTGATCGGAGGTACGATGGAAATTTTATTATTGTTCAATATGGAGATGTAATACATATATATATATATATATATATATATATAAATTATATAATTTGTGTACTATACCCCTTTTTTACATTGCCTGCACTAGGTTATCCTACTATATATATAGGTTATAATAAGTTTTCCTCTGTTGTTTTCTTGTTATACACTGGGTTGACTAAAAGACTTTGGGACTAGGGACTTCATACTATTTTGTAACAATTAGTGTAATAAAGTGTTATTAGTAACAATCCATTGCCTTTCTGTCAATGGAAGCGAGTCCGCACATTGGTATTAATACAATTAATTTAAATAAGTTGATTAAAATGATTATATTTTTACGTGTATACAAACATTGATATGTGTATTAATTTTTTTTTATATTATACTTCAATAATCTATAATCATTAATCAAATAATACCTACACAAATTTCCTGCAGTTATCATTTCAGTTTTTTTCGATAAAAAAAAATACCTAAGAATAATATAAAATAAATTGCACTTTTTTTTTATCAGTGTTTTACATTACTAGCTTTTAGCTGCGACTTCTTTTGGGTGAACGGGATGTGCTTACAACCTGGGATAAGAACTAGCCTATATGGGCTAGTTGTTTGTCAGCTACTTCATTTGGTTTTCAGAAGTAGGAAAACCACTAAAATTGATACAGGAAAGGGATTATTACGTGTATGTTTATATTATATGAATTTATCAAATATTGCTTTATTCTTTTTTCTCAATTCAATAATATAGCGCCTACTTATTTCTCGGTTTGCCCAATGGTTGACTGGTAGAGAACACTGTCCAGTGTTATGTCCGCCAAATGTACATAGAATTTTACTGTGCATTAAAGTTTAAATAAATAAATAAAGTGAAAGGAAAAAACTAAAATTTGAATTCACAAATATGAACACAAAACAGTTGAAGAAGTTGTCGCCTCAAAGATAGCGACAGTTACTACTTTATAAAAAAAAACATCGTGATGAATTCCAGGTGTATTCATCACGATGGGTTAACTGACCCGCCTTTTTATTCTCACTTATCGTCTCTTACTAGTGCCTCTCTAGCGTGCACCGGTAGTGCATACGAGGTTCTTTCCATTATCATCCATAAAAAAAACAAGTATTTTAAAAAAAAAAAAACAATACAGCGGAAAAAAAATACACATACACAATATATATATATATATATAATCTTCTGGAGAAAACAATAAAAGGTATCTATTTATCTATCTATATTTTTAGTGAAACAAATAATATGAAACAGAGTAGTAATAAAATACAAAAACAAAAATTACGAGAAAAAAACCCATACTTTAAAGTAAATAGTAATTTATGGCTCGACCAACCGTGACTAAATAATATTTGGAGAAGGACGCCTCTAAAGCCTGATTGCGGTTGCCAATCCACCTGTCAAGCATGGCAACTACAGCCAACCCCAGAGAAGAGGCTTACGTCCAGCAGTGAACCGTTAAAGGCTGATATGATGATGAAGAAGGACAGAATTTAACTCGTCAATCAATATATCCCGAAATCATGCGAAAAAAGTCGTGAGAGATACAATATTTTTTTATACTACTATAATAGCAAACAAGCATACAGCTCGGCTAATTATAAATGGGGTTACCTTAGCCTATGGATGCCTATAACACCAGGGATGACACGCGGTCATTGCCGATCCTTTAGAAATCTTAATACATTTATTTGAAGAAAGTCGTGCTGTAGGGAAAACCTCAGCAGGAAGGTTACTTCACAACCTGAGCGTTCGCAGAAAGAAGTTCCGTTGAAACCACGTGACCATTTTGCTTCTAGAGTGAGAGGAATATATTTAGTGTCTACTTTTTGTACGGAACCAGCAAACCAAAAGCATTTTATCTATTGCCTTGATACTGTTAACACTTTATCATATTGATAAAAGATAAAGTACCAATAATTCGTAACAATGTAAATATCAAATAATATTAGGAACCATCGAACGCAGACGTGTTTTTTTTATAATTCTTATATTTTCTCATTGAGATTTTTATTTTACTTAGTTAACTGTATAATTTAAAAAAAAAAGCAATATAGACTTTAAATAACATATATCTATTTATCTAACTATAATGGCGGATAAAATAACTAAGAGTCTAAAACATAACAATGAAAAAAGTGCAAGAATTTCTCATGATGTTGTTGTTTTTAATAAACCTCGTTACGAAACTGAGGAGAGTAATGAACCTGAAGAAAATAAAGTTGAACCAGTTACTGTAGAAAACGAAAACAATGATGATAAAGAAAATAATGAGATCAATAAAAATATCAATACATACGCTTTGTCAAAACACGCCTCAACTTACGAATTGGAAACTTTTGAATCGAACCTTCTAGTTATGTTCCATAACAATGTATTTGATGAGTACCGACCAAAAAGGAACACACTTGAAGATGTTCAAGCAGTAACGTCGACATTTGAAAAATTTGGGTTCGAATCAAAAATTCACGCTAATAAAACGTTGGAAGAAATAAAAAAAGAAATGGAAAAATGTGAGTAATTTTTATATTTCATTTGATACAAATATGAAAATAACACCAAAATCAGCAATACAAAAGAAATTGCTACAGTGGTTTTAGGAGAAACATTGTAATGTTACTATTTTCTTGAATGATAATAAATATTGGCTATTAGAAAAGGCGATGAGAAGCGCAAAGTGTTCGTGCCTATTTTATATTATAGCTCAAAATTATGATATACCAAAGGTAAATTGGTAGAGAATGCTACTAATATTAAATCCACCTTTTGTACCATATTTTATTTGGTCAATATAGTATTTTTTTATACAACTTAGAATGCCAAACGAACTCGCGGCCCACCTGATTTTTTTTTTATACGACTTAGAATGGCAAACAAGCTGACGGCCCACCTGATGGAAAGTGGTAACCGTCGCCTATAGACATGAGCAGTACCATGGACATAACAGAGTATACTGTTTCGCCCATGATACCCCCCATGCGTTGCCATTCCTGAGGACTCAGGTGTTATTCCTCTGTACCCAGTAAATTCACGCCATATCCCACCCTTCAAACCGAAACACAGCCATGCAAACACAACTGCTTCACGGTTGAAACACGAATGGAAAGTGGTAACCGTCGCCTATAGGCATGAGCAGTACCATGGACATAACAGAGTATACTGTTATTTAAATAAATAAAAATAAAAATCTGAAGCTGTAAAATTACATAATCTCTAATTTTAAATCTAGGCAGCATCTTTACCAAAAACAGCTCATATAATAGATATATTACATTAATAAAATATTTTCATAATTCACTTCATCCTGAAAAATTTTTAATCAAATTTGTCAAATTAAATCAAATCAAATGTGTTTCGGTTTGAAGGGTGGGATATGGCGTGAATTTACTGGGTACAGAGGAATAACACCTGAGTCCTCAGGGATGGCAACGCATGGGGGGTATCATGGGCGAAACAGTATACTCTGTAATGCCCATGGTACTGCTCATGTCTATAGGCGACAGTTACCACTTTCCATCAGGTGGACCGTCAGCTTGTTTGCCATTCTAAGTTGTATAAATATATATATATTTGTAACACTGGCATGAATGGGCGAGCACAAGAAAAATCATGAAAAAGTCGCAGTATCACAGGTTTTTCTGCCTCGAAAAAGCCCTTCTTTCAATACAATAATAAACATTGACATACATAATTATCATGTCTGTCTCCTATTAGAATAGTCAAACACAATGATACGCCAAAATGCTTCAATTCAATCAAACCTCTTTAGCTACCTCCACATTTATCACCGGCGATAGTTTGTAAATAGATTATTTACAAACTATCGCCGGTGATGGGTACTTTTAGCTTATCACCAACACATTGTCTATTTGGTTGATATGTCTGCGGCGTCCCATCGACACCTCCAATCATTTCTGTGTTCCTTTATTTCATCATGCGTAATTCTTCTTGCATCCACCCTCTCCAAATGGCCACCAAATCAATGCAACAATTTCCCTTTCGATTTTTGTCACTGCATCTTCTTTTTTTATCTAATTTAAAATATATGCATCAGCTAATAACCTCTTTTGGCTGTCCGGTTTTTCTAGTCCATTTCACGATTCTTGGCAAAGTATATGATCTCTGACTAACACATTTTTTATACCACTGAGGTAGCAAACAAGTATACGGCCCACCAAATGATAAGCGGTTACCGAAGCCTGCAATACCAAAGGGTATTGCAGGATGCCGACTCTGAAAAAACCTCTTTACCTCCCTTTTGAAGAACCCCGGACTGTAGTCTCTTGAGAAAACCTGGGCAGGGAGTATTACTAACTATAATTATTATAACACAGTTAAGAGAGAAGACTTCGTTAAATACGGTTGCATAGTAGTGGTTATACTCACCATGGACAAAGATGGCCACTTGATGGCCAAAGATACGTCGTACAGCGAACATGAAATTATAGAAAATTTGAAAATAAGAAACACAACACTAGTCACAAAACCGAGGATTGTAATTATTCAGGTTAGTAATTGATGTATTTTAAATGATAAATCGTTATATATTTTTTTTTCTAATGAATGATAACGAAATGGTAACACCGCCTGCGCTTACGATATTCGCTAAATTGTATAAATACACCTTTTTTTATACAACTTAGAATGGCAAACAAGCTGACGGCCCACCTGATGGAAAGTGGTAACCGTCGCCTATAGACATGATCAGTACCATGGGCATAACAGAGTATACTTTTTCGCCCATGATACCTCCCATGCGTTGCCATTCCTGAGGACTCAGGTGTTATTCCTCTGTACCCGGTAAATTCACGCCTGAAATCCAGCACGATGATTTCCAGAGGGAACCGCGTGGAGGCCGACCTGATAGAGTATATTGCTAGCAATGGGACTGATAATCCACATTACTAACTATTCCTTCCCCTCATCGTTGTATTATTAGGTAATGTAATAAAATTGTAACAAGTCGATGTCTATACATGTAAGATATTTAAGAAAATTTAATATCACGGGTTTTAATAAAACCATTAAATGACAAACCGTAAAACCTGCTGACATACGGGATAATCCTTCCATTACTTCCTTCAAGAGAAGACTGAAATCACATCTTTTAATCAATTGTACATTATAATTATATGCACTTATACATCTGTATATATATTTATCTATTTACTTATTTACGTATTTATTTATATATTTATTCACAATAGTGTTTGTTGTATTTATATTATTTTCACCGGTACCTTTCCTGCACTGGATTACCCAAATTAAATTATTTTCTCTCTAATTTGGGTTGGCTGGAAGAGATCTCTTTCAGAAATAAGTTGTTAAAGTTTCTCACAATCTTTATATCTACGTAATTGACAAGTGCAATAAAGAATATATATATATATATATATATATATATATATATATATATATATATATATATATATATATATATATATATAAAATGCCAAAAACACAATTAAAAAAAAATTGTATGTCTATATGTTTTTTTACGCAAATACTACTGCAACAAATTCCTAATAATCTTATTCGATTAATCGCTAGTAAGTTCCCTATTAAAATTCATTTCAAAAATTTTTATTTGAAAAGCAGAAATCAGACTATATTCTAAAAAGTTATCTTTCCTTTTCGAATTGCTTGTTTTTTTTTTTTTGTGGCAACGTTACACGATTACGTTGCTAATTTTGAACCGACTTTTACTATTCTTTTTGCAAATCTTTTTTGTAACTGCTGCATTAAAATGTATTTTTTTTTTATTTAATAATCTCAGGTTCGATCTCTGCTATATATTTGTCTATCCATGTTTAATGTATTTACAAAAAGTATTTAAATAATTATTTAAATATAGTACAAACTCTGATTCAAAGAACACCACCTTCTAACACATTAGTGCTCAGTACTGACACCGTCTGTAAAGGATATCACAGTGTACTTTGTGATGTCCATGGTACTGCTCATGTCTATACGCGACACTTACCACTTTCCATCAGGTGGACCGAAAGCTTGTTCACCATTTTAAGTTGCACACAAAAAATGTTTAGGGCTAGACGATTCTAGATAATTCGACCAGTGGTCGAATTTATATGCGTGTTTTAGTCTTGCAGGCCTGAAATAATTACAAAGGACTCCATTCAGTATGAAATGGAAATACTTGCCAACGAGACCGATGCTGGTTCATCAGCTAAACATTACATATTGCCCATGGAATCCGATATGTTAATATTACACAGCCGTTACGTCGGAAATCCCAGGTAAGAACTAACACGTGATTAGGCATGAGAAATGGGGGGGGGAGAAATTATCAATATGGGATCTAACTGACCCACTGCTATCAGGTCACCCTATCAGGTCGACCTCCAACCGGTTCCCCTGGAAACCATCGTGGTTAATTCTAGTGTAATTTGTCACGATGGGCCAACTGACCAGTTTTTATCGTCACCTATCATCCTTCACTGATGCACTACCAGCGTATACCGATAGCGGAGGCGGGTTCACCATTCCATTATCATACATTTAAAAAAATTTGGGGAGAAGAAAAGATTTTTAGTAATATGGACTGCCAGCCCCATTGCTAACAGTGTGCCCTGTCAATCCCCCCTGGAAACCATCGTCCTGACGTCCAAGTGTATTCATCACGATAGGCTAACTGCCTGCCTTTTCATTCTCATCTATTATCCCTCACTGGTGTTCCGCTAGCGTACACCATTAATACAGAAGGGGTTACCACTCCAGTTTCATCCATTAAAAAATATTGGGAAGTAATTAGTAAGTAAAGATCTAACAACCCCCATGCTAGCAATACCCTATCAGATTGACGTCCACATGGTTTCCTCTAGTCACCATCGTGGTTAATTATGGTGGAGAATTCTTCACATACTAACTAACCAGTTTTCATCCTCACCTATCATCTTTCACACAGCGCAGACGGGGTTACCATTCCATTATCATCGATTAAAAAAAACACCACTAGTTAAGAACTTACAGTGCCTAGCTTGTTGCTAATCCATGTTGCTTCACCATCCTCATCATTTCAGCCATTAACTGTAACTACTGACCATAGCCAGTAGTTGCCACACTTGGCAGGCGGGTTGACAACCGCAGTTAGGCTTTTAGAGATATTTTAAGAGGGGTGCTGCTGCCTATCCCTTTATAATTAAGTTCCTTTAGTAGCTTCAAGACTTTCCCAGAGAAAAAAAGGGATGGCCTATTCTATGCCAGGATAACATGAACTATATTGCTTAGAAAACACTCTCTCTACTTCGTACTCCTTTTATTAATTCTATTTATTTATTCTTTATTGACCACATTACAAAAAATATGTCTGATACAAAAGGCGGACTTAATACTATGTAGCATTCTCTCCTAGTCAACCTTTGGCAAAACAGAAATTTTATTATGCGGTGAAAAAAATTACAACACATACAATGGAGATTTACTACATATTATGATTATATAAATATACATACATGAATACATTAAACAAATATTACATAAATATACATATATAAATATACCTACATACTTATAGATTATATATGATAACACAAATAAACAACGATAGAGATCAAAAGTGATGATGATGAAGATGATGAACTGCTATCACAGGTTTTTCAAAAGATAATCGTAGACTTTTCCTTTTAAAAATAATTTTGTTAGACATTTGTCTTATGTCCATGGGTAGCGCATTCCAGAGTCGTGAGGCCTCTATGCTATATATATATATATATATATATATATATATATAATTTTCTTTATAGGATTAAAAATGGCACTTGGTTTATAAGAACTTTATGTGACACCATCGACAAATTTGCGGCAACTGAGGATTTAGAATCGATAATTACTATGATAAACCAAAAGGTCGTTATGAACAAAACAGGACATAGTTATGGTACCAGAGACATGAAAATAATGTCTACAAATGAGATGCCTGTGTCATACTCTACATTGACAAGGTAATTCTGTTCTTACTGGCGCACTACTACAAATATGTCTTTATCGTGGCTCGTGTGGGCAGGTTAAAGAATTAAATAGTATCTCTATATCCAGCTAAATAAGCATATAATCTTAGATTATATGGAACGCGTATCCAGCCTCAAAAACGGGTTAACTTTTTATCAGCTAATTGTCATATTAGCTGACTCGTTTTTTTTTTCTTTATCAATATTCTATATATTTACGCATAAAATGTATCTTGACGTATTATTTAATAAATAAGGTTTGTTTGAATCGAAGCATTTGGCGTTCTATTGTTTCTGCCTACCCTAATAGGAGATAGGCGTAACAGATTAGTATGTATTTAATAAATAATATGACTATTTACGCAATAAAGATAGAAGTTATAAAGGTATCTCACTCATAACTATTTATCACGCAAAATTGTATGAAAAAGTTGACCCGTTTTTCTCGAAGCATTTCTATGGAGACACTCTATCTATATAATCTAAGCATACAATATATTATATAAAAAAATGTGAACGTGTGTTTGTTTGTTTCTTGTATCGGTTTAACCAAATCACTATAAAATTTGGTGTACACGTACTGTATGGGATGAATCGCGCAGACGAAGTCATGGTTAAAAGCTAGTTGATGTTATAAATGTGAAAGTTTATAATATGTGTGGATGTTTGTTTCTCTTTCATGTAAAAACTACAGAACGGATTTGAATGAAATTTGATACACGTGCAGGATATATCCTAACTATTCCTAACTTACTACATAGAATACTTAGTACATAGAATACTTAGTACATAGAATATATAATACATTACACCCCTGACGATTATTTCAGCTTTAGAATAGACTTATTATACTTACTATTTAATATCTACTAATAACTTGATTTTTAAGGAAATTGTTCCTGAGAAAATATCAGGGTAAAGGTTGTCGTGGCCTGACTCTTGAGTCAGGTCGCGGTTAAATAGCATTTTTGTTTTCGAGCTGCGTAGACAACACTGTAAACACCACGGTAGGTAATAATTTACATTTTTTGATAATCTACCTACTAACTGGGATGAGAGTTCTTTTTTTATACAACTTAGATTAGCAAATAAGCTGACAGCCCACCTGATGGAAAGTGCTAACCGTCGCCTATAGACATGAGCAGTACCATGGACATAACAGAGGATACTGTTTCACCCATGATACCTCCCACGCGTTGCCATTCCTGATGACTCAGGTATTATTCCTCCGTATCCTGTAAATTCACGCCATATCTCACCCTTCAACTTCATCGAAACATAGGCATGCAAACACAACTGCTTTAACGGGAACTAATCTCGCCATTACTAACAATGACTCACTGACAATGCGACTTCATCGCGATTCCCTTTAGAAACCATCGTGGAAAATTCCTGGAGAATTCATCACGATGAGCCAATTGACTTGTGTTTATCCTCACCAACGTAAACCAGTAAAACGGGCGGTGTTTCGCTTCATTAAATTCGTTAAAAGAAATACGTAAGATATGATTTTAAAATTTCAACAACAAACATTCATTATGTCAGCCATAATCTGTCCACTATTGAACACAGCCCTCCTCTTTATAGGAGGGTTTTATTTTTATTTTATTTATTAGACGCACATAACAGAAGTTTACAAATACAAACTTAAATTATAACATGCAAGTACATTAATGTATTGATCAGGTAAACTTGTCACAACATGTGCACACAGCGTGATCCAATAATAAATGCGACTGCAACAAAGCCATTCGGTTGCAACTATTAGTGAAAAAAATTAAACATAAAAAGAAACATAAACATAAAGAAAGTTAAAAAAAATATAAGAAATTTCTAAATTATTTTATACAATTGTCTGCGATAATTTTTATAACTGAATCCAAGTATGTCAAGGTCATTTCGATCATTTTGCCGGTAATTGCCACGCTTGGCAGGCAGGTTGGCAAGCGTAGTTAGTCTTTAGTAATGTTTTAAAGAGGACGCTGCTACCTATCCTTCCACCTTTAAGTTCCCTTAGTCGCCTCTTACGACACCCACGGGAAAAGAAAGAGTGGCCTAGAAGCCGGGACCACATCGCATCATACGTTACGGACATTAGCGTATTTAAAATTATTTTCCTAGACGACTGGTACTTCTAGAAAGGTGTATTATGTACTCGCAGGCATATCGTTATGGCATTAAGCTCGCCATTTGTACAAAGTTTTATTGTGCAATAAAGAATAAATAATAACAACAATTAAAGCGGCTCGCTCCCGGGAAAGATGCAGAAAGCGGTACTCTTAGATACTGCCCGCATTGTTTTCTCTCCTTACCGGTTTCTCTTCCTGGGGCACTCACATCCTGGGGTGGGCACAAGATATTTCTCAGATGACCATGGATATGTGGATGACATAATGTATAATTAGTAAATAATTTATAGATTTTTAAGGCTATTAATAAAAATTTTAAGAAAATTAATTTTCAAATTTAATTCACAGAAAATATACTGAAAAGCTGGAGTTGTATAGAAGAAGAAAAAAGGAAGAAAGAAAATGTATCTTACTCCATTTTTTTTTTATAAAAAAGAAATAAAGGATAAAACTCACCCATGGAAAATTAAATACCCACCCACATGGAAATTTAAAATTAATTAAAATAAAAATTACTAACTATTATTGAAGTAACGGAATATTATCTATATCTACCCAGTAAGCGTATTTTTAAAAGAAGACTTCAATTATTTGTTAAGTCAACAAAACTAGCTCTAGCTACAAATTGCTCAATAGTTACTATATCTCGTAATGCTTATCGTTGTTTTAATATATATCTATATATTTCGTATATATTAGTATATCTATATATATTTAAATAATATATTTATTATGTATAATTATTTCAGTATGTTATAATAATCATATCACATATTTTTCACCTTCTTCATACGGTGTTTGTACCTAATGGTTAGTTATTAAAGAGTTTCATATGGTATTAAGCTCTCCACTTGTACAAAGTTTTATTGTGCGATAAAGAATAAATACATACATACATACCTACGTACCTTGTTTTATTACCTAGCCTATTTTATAAACAATAAGCCAGACTGCCAGCCAATTGTTTCCAGGTGTGCTTTGGGGAAACTTGGCGCGAATCATCGCGATTCCTTTACCTTCCTTCAACAATTCATACTCGTGTGGGGGAAAGGGATTGTTAGCAATGGAGTTTGACAGCCCCATTGCTAAAAATATGCCCTATTAGGTCGACATCCACGTGGTTCCCCCTGGAAACCATCGTGAACAATTCAACAAGAATTGTTCACGATGGTTCGAATTCGTCACAATGGGCTAACTGACCTGCTTCATCCTCACCTATCATCCTTCACTGGTGTCCCGCCGGTGTATACCGATAGCGCAGACGGGGTTACCATACCATTATCATCCATTAAAAAAGTGCTCAATAGAGTAGACGGACCCGGTGAAGAAAAAGTTATAAATGTAAAAGTTTGAATATATATATATAATTTGCAATTTATATATATATATATAAATTGCATTAAAACATACAGTAACAACAATAAGATGATGTACTATAATAATGTAAAAATAATGTATAAATGGAGGGAACTAACGGCCCTATTGCTAATAATGGCGTGTCAGTCTACCCTCCACATGGTGTCACAGTCCCCATGAAAACTATCATTGTTAAATACTCCATATACTTCGTTTTGAAGTGTTTCGGTTTGAAGGGTGGGATATGGCGTGAATTTACTGGGTACAGAGGAATAACACCTGAGTCCTCAGGAATGGCAACGTATGGGGGGTATCATGGGCGAAACAGTATATTCTGTTATGTCCACGGTACTGCTTATGTCTATATGCGACGGTTACCACTTTCCATCAGGTGGGCCGTCCGTCAGCTTGTTTGCCATTATAAGTTGTATAAAAAAAAAATATTGCTCACTGGAACTCCACTGGCATATAACAATATCTATATGTAGACGAGTCTATCATTCCATCTCTAGACTGGATTTCTTCAAGGACGGCAACGTACACGTAACACTCCTAAAGTTGCAGGCGTCTGTAGACTACGGTGGCTGTTTACCATAAGACGAGCTGTATGCTTGTTTACCACCTCCGTGGTGTAAAAAAAAAGTGTAATTTTATTCAAATTCAAAATATTTATTCATTCTCCACAATACTGTCTACAATACTATTCACTTAAAAATACACAGTTTATGTATTGTGAAGACGGATGGCTGAATTAGGAAAACCTGTGCTACAGCCACCAGGCCACCAACTCCAGACAACTTGTAACAATGTTAGTAAATAACATTATAAAGTAAATAACAAAATAAACTATCTAACGTTAACTATACATAATTTTATAATTCTAAATATTCTAATAATAACAAAGTCCAAGAACGGGTGTGTGTGTGTGTGTGTGTGTGTGTATGCTAGAGAATGTGCATGTGTGTGCGTATTCATAAATAATATAGCCTTATTCTAATAATTGTTTTTTGCTTATGTTTTGAAGGTCTGTTTGCCATTTGGCAAAGGCCTCCTCCACTCTTGCCTATCCTGAGCCACTTTGTCCCACATTTTTCCAGCCACTTCCCTGATGTCATCATCCCATCTTATACAGGGTCTGCCTCTTTTCCGTGTGCGTATTCATACTTGACTGAAATTTTTATCATTTTATATCAAACTCTGATAATCATAATAACTAATAATAGATAATAAGTAGTAAATTTACTATCTGATATTTCGCGTTGTACTTCGGTTATTCCCCCATTTATATTAAAAAAATCATGTCACTTGCGAGTGTTAGTAACAAAAATTAATACAGTAGCACACTGTACATATACATGTTTCGTCCGTCGTCTGTCATCATCTTTCATCCGTCCACTGGTAAACATAGGTCTCGAAGAACTTACGGACGATGTACCCGATACCACCATAACAGTGCCGCTGGTAAATGGCCCCCATTTCTTTTTAGTATTTACCATTGAGGGGATTTTGCTAATAGTTGCCACGCTTGGTAGGCAGGTTGAAAACTGCAGTTAGGCTTTCAATGTTTTAAGAGAAACGCTGCTGCCCATCCCTCGACCATAAGTTTCCTTAATCACCTCTCACGACACCGACGAAAAAGGAGAGGTGGCCTTTTCTATGCCGGGACCACACCGCAGCTATTACTTATTAATTGCAATATTTAAAAAATGCTATAATTAATTCTTTAAAAAGTACCAGACAAATATGTAATTGCGATCTGATAGGATTTTCGGCAACAAAAAATAACGTCCACTTAAGGACAGAATAATCAAAAATAAAGAATCGCGCGTCAGAAATAAAACAATACCTTCTTACTGTTATTTATTTTAATAATTGCTAACAATTTCGTTTAAAATAAAATAAAATGTCCGTCTTACCACGGAATAAATAAACTTGTGATAGACAGGTGTTCTATACGTGTTTAAACGTCTTACTACAAAAGAATGTCTGACATCTATTTATGTCTAAACAAATGAAACTGTGTCGTATTAATTTTTTTTTTAATTTATATTTTTTTATAAATAATCTTGGCATATCATACAATTACAAATAAACATTATTGCACTAATTAAACAATATAAATTAGCTAACTCCAAAACCTCTGTTAATTCCTACTATTTCTTCCTTTAACTACTGTCTTCCTGTGTTCTCTTTTCATCTTCCTCTTTCAGCTTCTCTTGTTATGTGTGTGCTATTAAGCAATGGTATGTTTATGTATGTATTAATTTATATATATATATATATATATATATATATATATATATATATATATATATATATATATATATATATCTGTTTCTTCTCGGAGTTTCCCTCGTTTTTGACAATTTTTTTTTATCATATCTCTTCTTAAAGTCTCCACACAATTAAGTCAATTTAGACCGATTTAAAAATTTACTTTTTATTTCTAAAGTCTTTGAAACTGCAGCACATAAGCAAGTGTCCTCCTTTATCTTTGCAAATAATATCCTTACTCCCTTTCAATCCAGTTTTCGACTTGGGTATAGTACTACTCAAAGTAACTGAAGATATCCGTTCGGGCATAAAAGATAGATTGGTCACCATTCTTATTTTAATTGACTTTTTCAATGCTTTCAACATAGTTCACGATATCTTACTTGCGATCCTTAATCATCACAATTTCTCGCCTTCTGCCTTGGACTGGTTCACGTCTTACCTTCGTAAACAACGACAAGTTGTCCGTATAGTCTGCGAGCTGTCTGATTGAAAAGATCTCCCATCAGGTGTTCCGCAAGGTGACATCTTTTACCCTTTAATGTTTTCTATATTTATTAATCTTCTTTCCACGATAATTAGTCGCTCTTACCATGTATATGCAAGTGATATTAATAACTTGCCAAATTTTGTGACCTGTGACATTATTTACTGATGATAACACTATCACAATTGTATTGATATTAACCTTTATGAAGCTGACATTAATAAATCATTGATATTAGTAACTGAATGGCTTAACAATAATACTTGTTTAATTAACTTAAAGAAGACCAATGAAATGGATAACATTTCAATCAAAGATCTCAGTATTTTCCGGACATAAAGTGACATCATCGTCATCATACCAGCCTTTAACTGTCCGCTGGTGAACATAAGTAATGCCGTATGTTACTAGTGATTTAACTAGACGTAAGTAGCGTATGCTAGACTACAAAGTTTTCTATTTAGATTATCTACATGGTTTTTTCCTTGATATCTTTTGGCATGCTGTTGGCAATATATGTTAGAACTAAAGTTGTATCCCAACTATCTTGACGAGTGGCGGTCTTCCACCGTGCGTTTTTCAAGGCACTTTCTTCCACGCACAACCACTCTTTGGATTCAACTTCCAGCAGCAGTATTTCCGAACCGATACGACATCATAACCTTCAAGAAAAGAGCATATTCCTTTTTAAAAGGCCAGCAGCATACCTGCAATGCCGTTGGTGTTATGGGTTATCATGGGCGGCGGTAGTCACTTACTATCAGGTGAGCCGCACGCACGTTTGCCCACTGTGTTGTAAAATAAATAAATAAATAACGCTATTAAAATACCCAGTATATATCTACTGCACACATATGTTTCAATAAATAAATTTATGAGTAAAACAACATTACCTGAAACATTCCATCGCAGAGTAAAAATAATTCACTATACAGTTCCAAATCACGTCAATACAGTTGCCGTCATCACGCGATGAGAGATCGTTGTCAGTATACACAATTGGTTTATAACGATATTCTCTTAGATACAGTTTCCTTAAAATTGATGGTTACATTAACTATTGGTAACTGATTAGAAAGTACGTAGTACGATATACTAAGTATTGTATTGTATTGTAAAATCTTTATTGTACATAATTGATATATATATATATATATATATATATATATATATATATATATATATATATATATATATATATATTATTCTTACACCTCATAGATTTAGGATAGTACCTGCAATGCTGACAGACTTAGTAAAATTTTTTTATGCTACATAAAATGTCAAACAAGCTGACGGCCCACCTGATGGTAAGTGGTAACGTAGCCTATAGACATAAGCAGTACCATGAACATAACAGAGTATACTGTTTCGCCCATGATACCCCCATGCGTTGCCATTCCTGAGGACTCAGGTGTTAATCCTCTACCCTGTAAATTCACTGCCATATCTCACCCTTCAAACCGAAACACAGTCATGCAGACAACTGCTTCACGGTAGAAACACGATTGGGACAGAGGTGCTCAAGCAAACGACTTTTGTACAAAGTCTTCCTCTGGTAAACTATACCTTATGACATGCAATGACAGTAATAGAACGAGACACCGTTATAAGCAAAACACGCTAGTGCGAGCAAGATCGGAAATATTCTTTGCCTTACTCTGCACACGCTTTTAATTTGGATGAAACAACTTACTTACCAAGTCAAAGTATGTTTGCATTACTTGTTCAAATTAAATAGCTTTTAATATTATATATATTAATACGAAGCAAGCTGCTAGTTATAAGCAAGCTGAACTGGCAATGGGCTGATCACATAGCTCAAAGAACCGACAACCAAAAGAAAGAAAAGGGGAAGAAAGGTTCTTGATTGGCGATCTCGTACGGATAAATGCAATATAGGTCGATCCCCCCTCCCCCCATTAGATGGAATGACGACCTGAAATGCGTTGCAGGAAGTCAGTGGATGCCGGTGGTTCAGGACCGTTCTTTATGGCTGTCTATGGAGGAGGCTTATGTCCAGCAGTGAACGGATAATGGCTGAAATGATGATGATATTAATAGGAATAAAGAGATACGTTTTTATTTGCTAATTTGCTACTTCATTCTATTCATCATCATCGATATGATGATGATGAATCATGATGTCGTTAACTGTCCACTACTGAACATAAGCGTCCCCTACTGGCAGGTTTTGCCAGTAGTTGCCACTCTTGGCAAGTGGGTTGGCAACCGCAGTTTATGGGAAAACTGTGTCAGAAGTTCAGCAGTGGACAGTTAACGACGAAATACATCGAGAGGTATAAGCCAAAAATAACATATCACTTACTTCGTCAACGTGGATGTCGACACGGGCATCTGTTTATTGTACAAAGTTTGCTCTTCTTTCGAATCGTATACCTCATGTGTTCTGTCTATGGCAATTTTTCTCTTCACAATCGTTATAATTGACCTCAAATCTTCAGTGGACGCGCGATCATCTATTTCCTTGCATAGAGTTTGTATAAACCAAGAACCATTCTTATTATCCCTGGAAACCGAATGTTTTATTTCTGTTGAAAGAGAGATTAAAATAATAGAATGGAAATCCTTTAATTCTGTACTTATTTTAAACATAATTATAAACATATTACATAAAAAAGTGAGTAAAACTAATTCTTGATAATTTATGTTGGAATTAAATATCAATAAACGGTCTTAATTCCAATACAGCTTGTCTTCCGACATGGGCCTCCTCTAAAGAGTTCAATTCTACCTTGTTCTTTGTTTTGCGTTTTTTTTTATACAACTTAGAATGGCAAACAAGCTGACGGCCCACCTGATGGAAAGTGGTAACCGTCTCCTATCCTATAGACATGAGCAGTACCATGGACATAACAGAGTGTATTGTTTCGCTCATGATACCCCCTATGCGTTGCCATTCCTGAGGACTCAGGTGTTATTCCTCTGTACCCTGTAAATTCACGCCATATCTCACCCTTCAAACCGAAACACAGCCATGCAAACACAACTGCTTCACGGTAGAAACACGAATGGGACAGAGGTACCCAAGCAATCGGCTTTTGTACAAAGTCTCCCTCTGGTGCGTGTCCATATTGGACCGACTATTCTCTTAATATCATCCTCTCGCATCTCTTATTCTGTAATCTACCTCTGTTTCTTAAAAAAAAGACAGGTAATCTATTAGGTTACTTCTATACATAAACAAATTTAATAAATTTGAACAAATTTCTGTTTCAATGGAACTTAATGAAAAAATAAATAAACGAACAATTAATCCGACCATAGACAATCTGCTGGGCTAATTTCTGATGTATCCAAACTGAATAGCCGCTTGACAGGTAGGTGGTAGTCGCAAATAGACTTTGATGATGTTTTAAAAGGGACGCTGCCCTGGACCATTAAGTTCCTTAAGTCGCCTCTCACGACACCCAAGTGGTAGGAATTGGTGGCCTATTCTGTGCCGGGACAACATGGCAAACTTTACACATTATCCTATCCGTGTATCGAATTTTACTCAATTCCGTATAACCGTTTAAGCGTAATTGAATAAAAAACATACAAACATATAAATATTGAAATATCTTTAAGAGCTTTCGTATCTACAATATTAGTAAGAGTTTATTTATAAGCCAAATAAGATTTATTAGAAACGCAGTGTAGGATGACCCCCCACTAGATGGCGTGACGACCTCAAAGGCATTGCAGTCACTGGATGCAGGTGGATCAAGATCGTCCCTTATAGCAGTCTATAGAGGAGGCCTTTGTTTAGCAATGAACAAATAACGGCAAATATGTGTTTTTTTTTCTACCACAAAGGTGGCAAACAAGCATACGACCCGTCTAATGGTGAACGGTCACTGTAGCCTATAGACGCCTGCAACACTAGGAGTGTCACGTGTGCTTTTTCTAACCTGAAGAAACCTTAATATACACTTTTTGAAGAACCTCATATTGTAGTCTCTATGGTGATGGTGATGGTGATGATGATGAAAACTTATTACCTGTAAGCTGGACTTCCAATATAAGAACTATGTAATATCAACATATCTGGTTCCAATTGCAGAGTATAGTAACGATTGAATTTGGTAACATCTCTGCCAATATTGTGAACATCCGGCTGATGTACCCCGACACCTCTAATATCATCTTTACCTCTGCAAGCCTGAAACGATAGCACTTTATCCAGTGGCGTAGCTAGGTAACCAAAGGCCCTGGGCCAAAAAATAAACTAGGGCCCCCAACTAAACTATTTAAAACCGTTCCGTATTCGTCGTGTTCCGAATTCGACGTGCTTCAAATACAAATTGTAACTTATTTTAATGAACAATTTATGAAAATAAAAGACTATTTTTTTAAAGGTAATAAGTACTTACCTTTAAAAAAAATAGTCTCGTGACAGACACACAGACAGCGGAGGCACGTTAAAGGATCCCTTGGGTACATAATCATAATGTTTAAACCAATAACACTACTTTCTTGCCCGACTATACGTTTTATGGTGAGTCTGGCGTATCATGAAACTGGGTTACTACAAATCTGGCGTATTTCGAGTTCCGAACACGACGAATACAGAACAAATCTTTAAAATTTTATAAATATAAATTATAGATAGATACTCCTTATTGTTTCCTCCAAAAGATTACAATAGTAAATTTATTATAGATACAAACACCGTAACCCCCTGAAGAAGACTTCCAGATGAAGTTCGAAACGACAAAAACACAAGGAGTCCATTAATTTCCCGTATGTATATAGACACTTAAATAATTAATTTTATCATTTATATTGATTAAATCAGTTTTTTTTTATAATAATTTTAATACTGTTTAATGCAATTAAACTCTTTGCAACGTTCCATTTCATTTCGTTTCATTTAGTTTCATTTCGTCTTATTTCGTTTCTTATCGTTTCATTTCATTTCATCTCGTCAGTTTTACTTTTGTAAAAAACAATCTTAAAATATTTGTTGAACTACTATAATAAATACCTGAATAAATACAATCCGGGGCTTGTTAATCAAGGTGGTATTAGTGCTTACATTTAGATAATTAATAATTAGCTGTTCATGGTAACTGTCGTCTTTCGCCATCAGTCTTCCATCGTATTCCCCATGCGTAAGCACCGCCACCATAATACAACCGTGATTGGTGAAGTTTTTTTTTCGTGGATCCGTATCTGTTTGAAAAATATAAATTTTTTTTAATGGATGATAATGGAATGGTAACCCCACCTGCGCTATCGGTATACACCGGCGGGGCACCAGTGAAGGATGATAGATGAGGATGAAGTAGGTCAGTTAGCCCATCGTGACGAATTCAACGAGAATTGTTCACGATGGTTTCCAGGGGGAACCACGTGGAGGTCGACCTAATAGGGTATATTAATAGCAATGAGGACAAACTTATATTCGTACTTACAAACTGTTATTTGCTCGTAACTTCGCGTGCATCTTCGCGTGCCTTTCCATCCTCACCAATTATCCCTCACTGGTCCCCTGCTAGTGTAATGTATACCAAAGGCACTTAATAAAAGTACTTACAATCTTGCAATATTTTGCAAATTTCTCTCTCTGTTTTTTCTTCATAAAGTAACACGTCGAATCCTAATTTTTTAAATGTATTCGTCAAAGCTTCAACGTCTTTTTCTGTCCCTTTTCTTGGTTTATGATTAACACACTCTATATGATTGAAAATAAGAAGGTCTTTTTTTTTATAATTCTCCAATTGGTAAGTTGTGGCAATTTTTAATCCACCCATATTGGTAATCTTATTGCTTCCATCACTTTTTATTTTTATCCCTTCATTTTCTCCATTACTAAATAATTCATCTTCGCCTCTTAATAATTCTGTCTCTTCCGGATAATTGTAAACGGCAGCCTCGTAAGATGTTGTTCCTCTGTCATCCAACTCTATATCTTCACGAGATACACATAAAGTTTCATTTGTTTTGTTATAATTATACTTTATTCTCGGAATTTTTTTCATTGTCAAATATAGCACTTATAATGGGTACGTGTGATTGCAACGATTACAGAAATGTACTGTCTTTTATCTGACAGTATTATGCGTTACCCGTATCTTATCAATTAGATTATGACAAAAAAGCAATAGAAATGTTTTTGCGTTGGATTCAGGGGCGTTGCAACGGTGATTTACAGTAGCATCAAGGAATATTTTCCCCAGACTTTTTTTTATATATCACGAAGGTCGCAAACATGCATACAGACTTTGTACAAAGGTCGTTTGCTTGGACACCTCTGTCCCATTCGTGTTTCTACCGTGAAACAGTTGTGTTTGCATGGCTGTGTTTCGGTTTGAAGGGTGGGATATGGCAGTGAATTTACAGGATACGGAGACGTAACATCTCAGTCCTCAGGAATGGCAACGCATGGGGGGTATCAGGGGCGTAACAGTATACTCTGTTATGTTCATGGTACTGCTCATGTCTATAGGCGACGGTTACCACTTTCCATCAGGTGGACCGCCAGTTTGTTTGCAATTTTAAGTTGCATAAAAAAATCAGTTACTTTTTTGGATTTCTTTAATATTATAAAACTCTTCATTGTTTAACAATTCATATGATATTTTTATATTAGACATTTTTAACGTATTTGAAATTTTATTATAAATTTTAATGCTCATACTTTGATAGTTTTTTTTTTATATATACTGCGTCAATACAGGTGTTTGTGGAAGCACTAATCTATCAGGATTTCTAGTATTTGTATGATACTAGTAATACATATATAGTAATAAATACACTGTGAAGTACCCGTACGCCAACAAACTCGGCTTTCGCTGGACTAATGTGCGTTCAGCGCTGATTTTCAGTTCGCACCTGCACAGGGCCCTGTTTTATTATCGAATAAAATATTTATATAGTAAACAATTGCAATAATAAAATAACTGTATATTAATTAGAAAAAAATCAGTAGGTATTCTTAATGGAAGATTGTACTTTTTTAGTATTACCACAGTATAAATAATAATACTTTACCTAAGTACACAAAGATGTTAAGAAATTACAACAGCAAAAAAATAGAGTAAAAATAAAGAAATATTATTTAATTTTTATAAATTTTTATGTCATGTATTAAAATATACAAATAAAATAAATACTCAGCACATAATTAACGTGTGATACTTAAAAAATAATAAATAAATTAAATTAAATTATTCACATTTATTAAATACTGTTACATGATCCGATTAATTACATTATTTATATATTAAATAATACTTATTCTATTATTCCTTAGAAATATAAAATAAATGGAAATTCATTTATATTTAAGTAATGAATTTATATATTTTTACTTTAGTCAGCAACAAATTTTACATTACTAGTTGAAGTATTATCCTAAATATTTATTTACAAATAACAAGAAAAAGTAATTAAAAATTTTAAAAATTATAAATAAATTAATTTATTTATTCTTTATAAAAAAATATATTAAAATAACATACGAATACATATTACAAACTGTATAATTTGTATATCACAAATATGACTAAGCTGTATGACTTGAATTTGTTAGCTATACGATTCTATTGAGTTCGCTTGCCACTTGTCTAGAGAGCCTGCTTACATCTTCACTTACTGTTACTCCGCCAGCGTATACCAATAATGCGGACAGTTTTTTTAATGGGTGAAAATGGAATGGTAACCCCCCGCCTCCTTACTGGGGGATGCCTATGTTCAACAGTGAACAGTAGACGGTAGACGGCTGATACGATGATGATGATGAACCCCATCGTTAACCCTTCTTTGCATAATGGTGGAAATTTCCACCATAACATTAAATGCCAAAAAATTATATAAAAGAGCAATTTTACTTTAAGTTGATCGTGTACAGATACCTTTTTTAATGTCCATTGCAGAAAAAAAACATAGCTGTCAAATTTATTTTTTTAACCATTTTTCCTTTAATTTTGAACATGAATTATATCACCTTGATTTATTTCACCAATGAAAAAAGTCATGCAAAGAAGGGTTAACAGTGTACGTTGGGAGGACATCAGTGAAATATAAATAGGTGAGGATAAAAGCAGGTCAGTTGGCCCGTCGTGACAAATTCAACAAATTTAACCACCATAGTTTTCCCATTGCTAGCAATATACCCAACCAGATCGACCTCCTCGCAGTTCCCCCTGGAAACTGTCATGGTTAATTCCTGATGAATTTATCATGATGGGCTAACTGGCCTGTTTTTATACTCATCTATCACCCTTCACTGGTGCTCCGTCAGCGTATCCCGTTAGCGCAGGCAGGCAGCAATTCCATTTTCACCCATCAAAAAAAAACCCCCATAGTTTTGTTTATATTTACGAGAATGTCGGCTTTATTAGCAATCAACTTCGAAAAGGAAGAAGTTCCAAATTAGGTTATATTTTTTTATGTTCGTTACCTCATAACCCCGTTAGTTCTAAAGTGATTTAATAAATTATTTTTTTATCTGAAACGATATACTTGCAGATTGGTTTTTTTAGATTACCTATATATAGATATATTTTTTTCATATAGATTTTTTTATAAATAATAATAACTGGTTTTATCACAATTGAAGTTGGTTTTTTAATGAAATATATATATATATATATATATATATATATATATATATATATATATATATATATATATATTATTTGTTCTTACGGTACAAGCATTGGCGTATTTTGGGGGTTGGCTCCTAAAAAGGTATATTATATACTCTCATACATACATATCTTTGTTAAAAAAGTTAAAAGCTCCACTCGCTTCTGGGGTGGGCACTAGACAATTCTGGACTGGGCACACCCCATCTTAAATACGCCTATAAGTACTGGCACGAAAATATTTGTTAGATTAATCCGACTAAAAAAAAAAGTTTCATGTTTTATCTTCGTTCACCGACGTAACCGAATGGGATTGTAGACAACTGTTCTCTTGGGCTCGTTGCAGTATTGACATGTTATGGAGTGAATTAAAACTCCTAGCTTCCCTTATATAACAGCAAGTCCTGGAATCAGAACTTAATAATTAGTAGTGTCGCGTACAGTGTGAAGCGAAAGATAGCAACACCGGATGTGCTCAAGGATTGGTCCATTTACTTTAAAAAACAAAACTTTTGCTGTTGTCAACGGACGACTTTCAAAATTGGAATGGATCGAGGCAACGGCTCTTCCGTTAAAATTTATATTTTTACAATATTTCACATACAAAATTGAAAATTCAAGTTTGTTTATATCAAATTGACATTGTAACGATCTGTTGAAGACTTCACACTTCACACACATAATAAACAGTTAGTAGAATGTACATCATGCTTTGATAGTGTGAGTTTAACACAGATTTATGTCAAATTACTTATTTATTAAAATATACGACAGACTCCGTAGTGTGACTGTATCCCTTAGTTGCCTCTTACGACACCCAAGGGAAAAAAAGGGATAGCCTATTTTATGCCGGGACCATACGGCAAAATATTACCCATTGCAACGAAAAAATTGTGAAACTTATTTAGAATTAGCGATCTAATCGCGTAAAAAAGTCACAAAAAAGTTTAGAGGAGTTGAGAAACTACTTCTTTTAAAAGTCTCGTAAAAAAAATATTTTATTGTAAAAAAAAATATATTACCTTATACATTCCAATACAGAGTATAAATATAACCTAATACAGTCACAAGTCGTATCAATGCATAGATCGTCAGTACCTTCATATCTTTTCAGGTACAATTTCCTAAAAACAAATATTGTTTTTGAATTCGTTTTATACTAAATAGTAATACAACACAACGAGTTCAAAGAAATACAATAGAGTTTTGATACCTTCACCGCCTCCGTTCCATGGAATAATAATCTAAATTAATTAATATTTAATTTAATTAACAATATTAATGTAAATTAATTAAAATATTCTTCAAATACATTAAAAATTAATGATTTTTAATATTTTTTAATTACTGACCAACTTTCAACATACAATTTAATTTAAAAATAAATAATTATATCTTACTATCGTTATAAAATGATAGCTAGATGGAGTGACGATCTCAAATGCATTGCAGTTACTTGGATGCAGGTGACTCAGGACCGTTATTTACAGTAGTCTGAAGGGGAGGCCTATGTTCAACAGTGGACAGACATTGGTTGAGATGAATGAAAATGAATAATTGTTATAAAAGCGAAACTTTGTATGGATTTCAATATTTAGAATACGAATAACGTAGAACACAGAATTATTTATATTAATTTAATTATTATTAATTTAATTTAATTATTATTAATTTAATTTAATTACTATTAATGTAATTATTATTAATTTAATTTAATTAATTATTAAATAAATTTATACATAAATAAATATTACTTTGTTAACGTAGATGTTGACACAGGCATCTGTTTGTTATATAACGTTTGATTTTCTTCCTCATCCTCTATCTCATCAGTCTTGTCTATAGCGACCCTTCGCTTCACCTCCGTTATCATTGATGTCAAGTCTTCAGTGGATGCACGTTTATCAAATACGTCACAAAGGGTTTGAATAAACCAAGAGCCATCCGTGCCTGTGTACTGCTCACTAGAATTTATTATAACTTTTTAAATAACACTGGAAATATTATCTTTAAAATGTATGTTCATTTTTTACGATATATGTATACGTGTGCGTACGTGCGTGTGCGTTTGCGTGTGCGTGTGCGTGTGTGTGTGTGTGTGTATGCGTGCGTGCGTGTGCGTGCGTGTGTGTGTGTGTACGTGCGTGCGTGCGTGTGCGTGTGCGTGTGCGTGTGCGTGTGCGTGTGCGTGTGCGTGTGCGTGTGCGTGTGCGTGTGCGTGTGCGTGTGCGTGTGCGTGCTTATTCAAAATTACTTAATTATGGTACCTGCCCTTAAACTTAGCTCTAGCTACTGCATTCGCTTAATAGAAGCATTATTAAAGTTGAAACTACAATGTTTAGAATTATTGTACGCAGCTACGTTCTGCAGAGTTGAATTTAAAATCTGGTCATTATGTTTATTCAATAATCCTTGCATAGGTACCAAGTCGCGGGCAAAAACTAGTTATAGTAAATAATTTTTATTACCTGTGAGCAGTATTTCCAATATATGAACTATGTAACACCAACATATCTGGTTCCAAATCTAATGTATAATAATAATCACTTCTTTCTTGTTTTGAATTTGTTTTTTTCGGAAACCTGTGAACATCTGGTTGATGTACTCCAACACCTCTTATATCATTTTCTCCTCTACAAGCCTAAACATAATAAAAATAAATAATTAAAGCATTACTTTTCTTGTTTTATTTGTAGTAATTAATTACTAAATAACTATTAATTCAAATTAGATAAATTAATTATTCATTGTCAATTATTTATAAGGAATAATAATTAATTTAATTATATAAACAATTAAATAATAGTAATTTATTTATTGCAAATTATTTATTAAAACTACTGAAATAATAATTAATTATAAGGGTTAATCATTAATAAATTGATAAAATTCTGATAAAAAGAAAAAATATAGCTATGTCACGATTCAGTAGAAATTACAAAGTTATTAAATTCTCCAACAAGCTAGCAATACGAGTATATATCTATGTATCTTATCTTGGACGCGGCTATTCGGCTATTAAAGTGAGGTACACTTTGTACAACTCGCACTATGTCTAGTACATAGTGCGAGTGTGTGTTAAAGTTAAAATAATGATAGGGACTATAACGGGCCATTGTCCATTAAACAAACATTTATACACAATAGCAGCCACAGGCAGCCCTCTATGTCGAGGCTGTTTCGACGCCGAAGAAACGGCTGCTCACTGCTAATCCTGGAATGTGAAGCTGTGGCCCATCAACGTTTAGAAATCCTCGGAACGGTGAGGTCGCTCCGTGAGGCCTGTGAAGATCCCAGGAAGCTTCTGTGCTTCTGGGCGCAGCTAGGTTGGCTGAATTAGCCACGACTCATACGCACAACGGCCCAAATGAGAGGCTAAGCGCGGAAAATAGAGTCCTGTTTACATTACATTACATTACTAGCGTGTGTTGTTCAAACGACATATTTAGTGTGTTACGAGTATTTTCACATATTAATATTTAAATGTTTATATGGAAATCTGAGTTTTATAAACTATCCGCTAGATACGCAGATAAAAACTGACGTAAACATTTAAGCAGTGTAACGTAAAAGTTTGTACAACTCACACTAATTGCTCTAGATTTATTACCTGAATTATTATTATCCTTGGCTTATTCATGAATGTATTATTGGTACTTGATTTCAGATAATTAATAATTTGCTGTTCTTTATATTGTTTGTCTTTTGCCATCAATATGCCATCATAATATCCATGAGTAAGCACTGCCACCGCTATGCACCCGTAATCAGTGAAGTTTTTCCTTTTCGGATCCGTAACTGTAGAGGCAAAAGGTATTATATTATGAGATTACCTTAAGAAAGAAAGAAAGAAAGAAAACATTTATTGACAACAACAAAAAGTTACATACATTATGAATAAAAAAAAAAACTTTACATTTATTATTGCCAACGTGGTCACCACTCAGCATGTGCTGCAGCAATTTAATTGTTACAGCGCTGATATTCTGTAGTGCCCATACGTGACATTACGAACGACGACAGCAAACATACGCATATATATATATATATACTCTTATATATATATATATATATATATATATATATATATATATATATATATATATATATATATATATATATATATATATATATATATATATATATATATATATATACACATACACACATAAGAGATTGGCTAACTTTTGTAATTGTTTATGTTGTATATTTTATCATCTGATATAACGTACATGGGACACTCAGAAAATTTTGGAATACTAAAAAAAATGTTCTATAGGTAAATATACTTTTCAAAGTACTCTCCACTAGCCTCTATACAAAGTTTCATGCGTCTGAACCAGTTTTGGAAACACTTTTTCCACCCCGACGCAGACAATTCGTTTACAGCCTGCTCGAACGCTGAGAGCGCATCATCCGGCGACGAAAATTGTATCCCATTGAGCTAATTTTTTATTTTTGGGAATAAGAAGTCACACGGTTCTAGGTCAGGGCTGTAAGGAGGGTGATCCAGGAATTTGTCCGGTGTGCTGTCTAGAAAGTCCCTCGTTTTGATTGCGGTGTGGGCGGGCGCATTACAATGGTGGCAGTAACCCGCGGAGCTCTGTTTGGTCGCTTGTCTATCGTATTATTCGTCCGGTTTCAGAAGACACTTAAAATCGTAACAAATCATAGAGCAAAAATGTTCTCGACGCAATTCCATTTTTAATGAGACACGGTAATTTTAATAAGCTCGCCAAAAAATGTGGAGGGAAATTTTGAATTTAAAATGCACCTATTTTTACTTATAAGTAATCATATTTTTAAATAAATTATAACTGGCCAGTCTCACATACATAAAATCATTTTCTCACAATACTTTCTGAGTGACCTGGTATAAGATCTGGGCTCTATTATTGACAATGTTGCTGTAGTTTTCAATAGTATTGTTTAATTTTGTGTTTTCTTCATTTGCATTATACATTTGTGCAAACTTTAGTGGCTGTTAAATTATTATTTAAGTGTGTCATTATGTATTGTTATAGCTGTCTGTTTGCTCTAAATAAATAAATAAATGCATCTGTTTTGTATGCAATAAAGAGTTTGTTATGTTCTTATGATATGGTTAATTATAATAAAGTTATAATTATATTATATTCCACAAAAAAATGGATATACATACTTCTTTACTTCCTTAATTTTGCTCCATTTCGATCGATTTATAAATGCGAAACTAGATAAACACTTCTGTTAATACATTTAACACTAAACTTACTTACACTTTTTCAATTTATTCTTAATTTCTTGTACTGTTTTGTCCTCGTAACATTTCACTTTAAATCCGTTTCTTTTGAATGTCCTCTTCAAAGCGTCGACGTCATGCTTAGTTGATTGTCTAGATTCTAGGTTACAATCAAATTTTGCATGATTGAAAATAACAAGAATTTTATGTTTATATTTTTCCAATTGGTATGTTAGTATTTCATTTTTTGTATTAACTATAAGGGACACTTCCTCGCTCGGTGGACTCATCTCTGATTCAAACACAGTATTGTCAGTGGATGTTGACGGTCTGTTCCATGATTCTAAATCATCGTGGTTATACTCTACTTCACGCTTTACAGGTGTATACCTTGCCATTTTCGAATATGTTAGAGCTATTTCAACGTCTGTTTTCGCGGCGCGACTAGAGCGTACTGTTGCAAATTGTATGTAGGTAAGTAAGTCGTTGCATATTATTATGTATTATCTAATTAATTTTCGTAGAATATTGTTAAATCTTATCAAACATGATAACAGAAGATAGGGTTCTATACTAAAATAATACAAAGAAACCCCTGTGATGCGATAATTAATTTACTTTTTATTTATTTATTTATTTACTTGCTTGTTTACTTGCTAATTTATTTGTTTATTTGCTTACTTATTTTTCTATTTATTTATTTATATAATACAAAACTCCACAGCTCTTAAAAAAAACAATTTACACGCTAAGTCTCTTATAAATACAGCCAATAACGGATTTTATTTATACAAACAAAAATTATAATTCTAAAGCAAGCTAGGCAAGTTAGAGTGGGTAAATCAGTGTTTGCAGGCAATGTAAGTGTATGTATGAATAAAACCATGTATAATAATAAGTGTCCATAAATTCAGGTTAATTAATATACAAAATAAATAAAACCCATGTTGCTACAGTTCAGATATTGACTGTAATGATTAAGCAATACAATTTCATGGTAACCAATTGTAAAGAACGCCGCCGCTCTATTATCCGCCCCTCTGTCCGTCTATCCGCCCGTCTGACCGTACATCCAACAATTTCTCTCGCCAATTATATGTGAAACACATACCTAATATTATTTATGTGTTAGATTTTTTTTTATATAATAATAATGTTACTGAAAATAATTTAAGCTTTAATCCAAAAAAATATCACACCCTCCTGAGAGAATAATGGCCCGCGATTGCAATAAGAAAATAAATTTTGGCGTGAATTTACTGGGTACGGAGGAATAACACCTGAGTCCTCAGGAATGGCAACGCATGGGGCGTATCATGGGCGAAACAGTATACTCTGTTATGTCCATGGTACTGCTCATGTCTATAGGCGACGGTTACCACTTTCCATCAGGTGGGCCGTCAGTTTGTTTGCCATTCTAAGTTGAATAAAAAAAATTATATATATATAAATAAATATATATATATATATATATATATATATATATATATATATATATATATATATATATATATATATATATATATATATATATATTTCAATATCGCCCATATCGGTCGGATATCTATTAAGTAATATGTTAAACGTCTGTTAATATAATATTATATATGTTCTTTAATCAAAGGTTGTCTATGAGAAATCGCTCCAGCAATAAAACTGCCTTTTGTACCTTTGTGTGTATATTTTAGTCTGTACTCCACGCTACTGTTTTTCACTTGAACTGTTTATATGTCAACGTTTATTTTTATGTTTTTGGTGCAATAAAAAGTTAAATACCAGAGGGAGACTTTGTACAAAAGTTGTTTGCTTGGGTAACTCTGCCCCATTCGTGTTTCTACCGTGAAGCTGTTGTGTTTGCATGACTGTGTTTCGGTTTGAAAGCTGGGATATGGCAGTGAATATACAGGGTATAGAGAAATAACACCTGAGTCCTCAAGAATGGCAACGCATGGGGGGTATCATGAGCAAAACAGTATACTCTGTTACGTCCATATGCGTATATAAACCATAGTGGTTAATTCTTGTTCAATTAGTTACTGTGAGCCAACTGACCTGCCATCATCCTCACCTGTCACCCTTCACTGCTCCGTCAGCGTATACCGATAGCGCAGGGAGGGTTACCATTCCATCTTCACCTATTAAAAAAATGTACCTACGTACATTAACAATTGTACACAATAAGGTGATAGGTATATTAATTCTGAAACTGATATCGGATGTTGAAGTGATACGATATCACAAGTCCGTTTCCGAAAGTAGGTATAGATAAATTTTAATCGAAAAAAGGTCATGTCCTAATCTCATTAGAAATTGGAAATCAATAAATACACCTACAGACAACGAGATATTTAACTAATACATTGATGAATGAATTTAGAATACGAAATCAGGTGAAAATTAGTCAATCTTTCCCAAAACTTTAGATATATCTACCGCCATCTCGTGACGAGTAGCATATTACATACCTAGAAACTAGGTCTACACCTACCCTGTAATTTTATTAACATATTCTACCCTTTATTTCTATCCTTATATAATAACATGTAAAAGTTAATTTGTTTCTTATTCTTACTGTGCATTTATCGATTAACTAGTATTTATCTTTATTTTTGTCACAGATTAAGAATAGTGACTTATATTTTAACCTTGTATTTTTTATGATTTTAACATAAATACTTCTAACAAATTGGCAACACAGATCTGTCAGTCATAAATTCATCATTCACTCTGTGGTTCATTCATTTATGAAAACATTGTCGCATGAATCTAAATTTAATTATATATTATAAATAAATAACTATTAAAATGATTTATAATTTATTTATAAGTTTAAATGTTATATAGTGTTATCGTGTATATTATTTGATTCTTAAAATTAATTAGTCAACATGTTTAATTACAAATATCTTTCTCGAGATCACCTCGAAGGTTTCGATAATTACAAGGTAAAAATGTACTTAATTACTTAATTGATGATATATACCAACATGATTATTAATGACTAATGAAATTAAGTAAAGTAACATTGATATTATTAGGTAGAAGAGACTAATTGATGTTAATCTCGTAGTGAACTCAAAAATTTCAAATCTAACCTCCAATTAGTATACGTAACCCTAGCCTATTTTGGGTAGTTTACTTATAGTTCACATATACATACATACATATATATATATATATATATATATATATATATATATATACAATTAAGATACACTGGAGTTAATTACGTGTCTATTAAAAATATTAAATAGAATGGTAACCCTGCCTGCGCTATCAGTAAGGGATGATTTTTTAATATGTAAGTAAGAATGAAAAGGCAGGTCAGTTAGCCCATCGTGATAAATTAAACGATAAATTAGTCACAATGGTTTCCAGGGGGAACCACATGGAAGTCGACCTGATAGGATATGTTGATAGCAATGGAGACTAATCTCCCCATTACTAACAATCCCTTCCCCCCAGTGAGGGATGATTGGTAAGGATCAAGTCAGGGCAGTTTTTTTTATTGGATTAAAATGGAATGGTAATCTTGCCTGTGCTAACGGAATATGCTGGCTGGGCACCAGTGAAGGATGATTGATGAGGATAAAAACAGGCCAATTAGCCCATCATGATGAATTCATCTGGAATGAATCATGATAGTTTCCAGGGGAAACCGTGAGGAGGTTGACCTGGTTGGGTATATTGCTAGCAATGGGATTCTCAGTCTCCATTACTAACAATCCCTTTCCCCCAGTCAGGGCAGTTGAGTTATGTTAAATAATAGAGAATTTCAGTTAAGTATCCTGTATATAAGTTATAGATAGAGCAACAACTTCAAATAATTTTACTTAAAGTTTGTAGATGCAGTTGACTCAGGATTGTCTTAGAACATTTTTATATTATGGTCTGTGGTCCGTCATGAGCTGTGATCAGCTGCAGGAAAATAAATGCTGAAATTAAGATAAATATTATAATTTAAATTTATAACATCTACATGAATTATCTCTTTGGAAATACTTCAAATTCTATGGCTTATTTTTTTTAATGCTGCACTTATATTTATTTATATGTAAGATTATTAATATAACTTATTTATAATTACTGTGGTGATGTTATGTATAAATTTCCATTTTTTTTTTTAGTACATGGCCATAGATACTAGTCCACTAAGTGTGTATGTTATGCACCCATTTTGGAATAAGATTGTTGAGGTAAGTACTAATGGAAATCCTATTAACTGTAACAGAATAGCATGGCACATATGTTCGACAAACTAATACAGTGAACACTCTATATAAGCAACATTGTTAATACTACTTTATTTATTCTACTCAGCTTAGTTAGTAAAAGAAATAAGTAAAAATATTTTCCAGACGGTAAGTATTTTTATACTCCTTTTTTTTCCTATAAGGAACTTTTCCTAATAAGATTTTTTGTATTGAAAGTGGTTAAAATGAGTTGCTTATATAGAGCATTCACTGTAATAACAAATGAACATCCCATACACTAAGCATGGGTATTTCTCTACCTCATATGAAAAATAAATTCACCTACTGTTACCCTGCTAGCCAGAGGACTTAATATAAGGTTTTGTATTTACTTTTCCTTCTTTACAAAAAACAAATAAATTATTGTAGAAACTTCTATCTAAGAAAATACAGATAAGTAGATAGTAGTTTTAATTATTAGAAATCCTTAATTCGATATGAACACATCATTTACACATGCATGTCTCGTTTTTTGCTCCTGCGATGGACACCAGATATTTTTTTTACAACTTAGAATAGCAAGCAAGCTGACGGCCCACCTGATGGAAAGTGGTAACCATCTCCTATAGACATGAGTAGGGAAGCAAACGACTTTTGTACAAAATTGTTTGCTTCCCTCTAATTCTAGGATGGAATCAGCCTAATTACACATATGAGATTGGCCATACTAAGTACTGTGCATTTTATATAGATATGTCTATATATCTAACATGTTGTTTTAGTAACCATAAATATGCCATCTATTTGAATTTACATTAATTAAATTTCAAACTCAAAATTATTCTATCATAAGATAATTATAAGATGAATTATACTGCTGTACAAGAAAGGCAACCCGCTTGATATTGGCAACTACAGACCTATCAGCTTACTATCCACAGTTTACAAACTCTTTTCATCCATTATTTTGAGCAGAATAGCAACAGAAATTGACAAATATCAACCAATAGAGCAGGCTGGATTCAGACCACATTACTCTACAATCGATCACATCCACACAATAGAACAGATAATAGAAAAGTACAAAGAATTTAATAAATCACTTTACATAGCATTTGTGGACTACTCCAAGGCCTTCGATAGCATTACACATTCATCCATATGGTATGCTTTGGCTGACAATAACATAAACAGCACCTACATAAATATTATAAAAAATATTTACTCTAATAGTATAAGCAGAGTCAAACTGGAGAGGCAGGGTGAAAAGTTCACAATTGGAAGAGGCGTAAGACAGGGAGATCCACTTTCTCCAAAACTTTTCATAGCAGTACTTAACAACATCTTTAAAAGTATCGATTGGAGCCATGAGGGTATATGGATACTGAACAAAAGACTAACACACTTATGTTTCGCAGATGATATAGTACTTTTTAGCGAATCGGTTAGCAACCTAGAAAAAATGCTACAAGAACTAGATTTGGAAAGTAAGAAAATTGGCCTAAATATGAATGCAACCAAAACAAAGATCATGACAAACCACAGCAAAAAAATTATCACAATAGAAGAGAACCCTATAGATTATGTGGATAGTTATGTGTACCTAGGTAAAATGGTCTCTTTCGAAACGAACAGTGGAGAAAATGAAGTTGATAGAAGAATAAACATAACATGGAAGAAATATTGGGCTCAAAAAGAAATCCTTAAAGGGAACTACAGTCTCAACTTAAAAAAGATAATTATGGATTCCTGCATCCTTCCAAGCCTAACATATGCATGCCAAACATGGACCTATACAGAAAAAATAAAGAACAAAATCCTATCATGTCAGCATGCGATGGAAAGAAGTATCTTAAAGTTAAGAAAAATACAGAAAATAAGAAACACTGATATTAGGAAGAAAACCAAAATAAAAGATGCTCTTCAGCATAGTATGAAACAGAAGTGGAGATGGGCAGGTCATATAGTGAGGTACAAAGATAAAAGGTGGACTCTCCAAACAACAAAATGGCGAGGTCCAGCAGGAAAAAGAAATGTTGGAAGACAAAGAAAGAGATGGGAAGATGACATAATAAAGATAGCAGGAAAGAACTGGACGGGTATTGCTATAGACAAGGAGAAGTGGAAAAAGATGGAGGAGGCTTTTACCCTTGGGGACCACGGAAGTGGAAAAAAGCTATAATAATAATAATAAAAAGATAATTATATTAAATGTATTCGGCAAAAAATCTACTTTAATTGTAGCAAAACAAGTTATATTGATTTAAAAAATAAACTACAGAAGCAATTTTGATAAAATTTCTATTTGACCAATCTGTAAGTTTAGATAAAAAAGAAAAAGAATATTCCAAATTGATTTGTAAACCAATCATATAATCAATCATAAATCAATCCAATCATAACCAATCAATAATAAGTCAGTTGGTTGTAACCAACTGACTTATTTATTTATTTAAAGGAACACCAACAGCATATTGCATTATGAGGTAACAGACATCAACTGAAACCTCCTTTTTTTTATTTTAAAGTCAGTTTTAAACTAAAAGAAGACAATGTCAATAGAATGGGTATTAATAGATGAAGCCATAGAAAATGGCAAGGTGAAATACCAAGTTATAGTATGTTTATCAGGCATTTCCTTATATATTAATATTTTATCATTCTGGGAAGTATCTGCTGATTACCTTGCCAAACATTTGTATACTTGCAATCTTATCAGCAACATCGCTTCTGTTATCATGCATGACTCATCCTTACTTTCTAATCCTTACTAATATTACAGATTTAAAAATCTGTTTGTTTGTTATTAATTAACTCAATCGTCATTAAATTTGGTATACACATAGTATTTGTCTTGGTAAAGAGCATAGGCTACATTTTATTTTGATAAATCGATAGGTAGGTACAACCCAATTACACAGACTTAGTTGCAGATAAAATATAATTACATATTTTTCCATATTTTATTAGTGTCAGAGAATAATAAACCTAGTAGTTTCCATGCTTGACAGGCGGGTTAGTAACCGCAGTTTGGCTTTTGGTGATATTCTAATAGTGGCACCTCTGCCCCTCATTCGACCATTAAGTTCCCTTAGTCGCCTCTTATGGGAAAGAAAGGAGCCTATTCTTTGTGGATCACACGGCAAGTAATATATATTTTAAAACATGGTTTCTTCTTAATTTACAGTTAGTACCTCGCTGGGTGGCGCCCAATGTTCTAACGTTCGCTGGGTTCCTACTCACTGTGCTGGATTTTCTGTTGCTCTCGTATTACGACTACGATTATTACGCGGCGACAGCGCCGTTTCATAACGAAACTGTATCAGAAGTGCCTCTCAATGGTCACATTGAAAAAATACCACAATCGCTGTGGTTCGTGCTGGCCGTTTTCCTGTTCCTCGCATATACATTAGGTATGTACATAGAAAAAAAAATAAACACTAAAAAAACTTTTTTTTTATTGATGAAAATAGAATGGTAATTCCCCCTAATTTAGGCGGGATTTCCATACGTATAGGCTGTCAGGATATCCATGTGTGATCATAGATAAAGTCATGACTTTATCTATGTCATTCTATCATATATATGAAAATGAAGTCAGGCTATCTTGATGAATTCACTAGAAATTATCCACGATGGTTTCCAGAGTGGCCGCGTGGAGACCGACCTAACCGTATTTTTTTTTAAAGTGAAAATTGGATCTATCAATAGATTGTTGTGTGTATATAATATTAGACTAATAAAGTTTTATGGCTTGTCCCGCTTTTTCAGATGGTATCGACGGTAAACAAGCGAGGCGAACCCAAACCTCGGGACCCCTGGGTGAGCTTTTCGACCATGGCCTTGACTCGTATTCCGTGTTCTTCATACCAGCATGCCTGTACTCCATATTTGGAAGATTGGATTACTCTATAGCACCTATAAGGTAAGTCTATTTCTTATGTAACTTGTGGTATAAAACTTTTCATTGCAAATCATATAGCGTGGTGTAATTATCACCAAACTTAGCAAAAATTTTACCTCCTTGAGAACCCCTAGGTTGCCACAAACAGAGTGCAGGCATTTATTTATTTATTTAATTATTTAAAAAAAAAAACATTTATAAATTATTAAATACCCATAGTACAAGTTCTAGTTTGGAACTAAATGCCACTAACATTTCCAGTTTTATTTATATGCAAAAATAAAAATAAACCAACTAAATTGCGTAAGAATAATTTTATATCTATATTGCTCATAGCTGAAAATTCTGATCATCCTGGCGTGGATGTCAGATGATTCTGGGATGGGCAGTCCCTTCCAGTTCCCTTAAATACACCTATAGTGGCCACTAAGAGTGAAACCTACAAGGTCCTCAAACTCATCATCAACATCATATCAGCCTTCAACTGTCCACTGCTGAACATAAGTCTCCCTTTAGGGGGTTTTGCCAGTAGTTGCCACGTTTGGCAAGCGAATTGGCAACCGCAGTTAGGCTTTAAAGATATTATGAGGGACGCTTCTGTCCATCCCTGGCCGTCTCTTAATCGCCTCTTACGACTCCCACGGAAAAGGAAGGGGTGGCCTATTCTACTCTTCCTTTTACAGTGTGCAAGAGTTTTTGATACAAAAAGGTAAACAACCTACTTGAATTACCTATCGTGTTACAATGCAGCTGTTATCAATAGTCCATGATTTGACAGTGACATTTCTTTCTTTTTTATTGTTGACAAGTGTCTGACATTTTTGATGTATTTTTTTTTTATATAACATTTCGAATTTTAATTACTTATTTAATATTTATTCTTTTTAAGTTTAAATATTTGCATGCCTAATTATGGCAAAATATAAGGACTTGTACTTATTGTAACATCTATACACTTACCATGTTTCTTGTAAATAAATAAATAAATACTCTTATATTGGGACCACACGGCCAAATTAATTAATTGTATCTATTTCAGAATGTACTACGTTATGTGGAATTTACTATTCAATTTCTACATAAGCCACTGGGAGAAATATAACACTGGCGTCTTATTTTTGCCCTGGGGATACGATTTCAGTATGTGGGTAAGTTGATATCTATACTAATATTTAGATACTGGGGGGATATGGACTTTTAGTAATGGGATCTAACAACCCCATCGCTGGCACTGTACGCTGGCAGGTCGACCCCCACGCGGTTCCCATTAAATATCGTAATGGTTGTCCTGGAACATATTCTGGTCACTGGATGAATATCATATATGCATCCAGGTGACCAGAATATGTTCATTAACCAGGATAAAAGTAGCCTATATCTTCTCTGTTTCATATATAAGTAGTTTTTTAGTGGGTGGTAATGAAATTGTAGCCCCACCCGCGCTATCGGTATACACTGGTGGGGCACCAGTCAATGATGAAGCAGGTCAGTTAGCCCATCATGGCGAATTCAACAAGAATTGTTCACGATGGTTTCCAGGGGAAACCACGTGGAGGTCGGCCTAATAGGGGATATTGCTAGCAATGGAGCTCTCAAACTCCATTGCTAACAATCCCTTTCCCCCATATATGAGTAGTAGGTACATATATACCAAAACTCATAACAATTGGTTAAGCCATTGAGGCGCCAAAATGTAATAAATAAACAAACACACATCAATACATATAATAAAGTCGTAACTGGTCGTTGTCTGTACATGGAAGATATATAAGAAAAACTATTATAGGAAAGGGGGGGGGGGCTTTAAGAACGCAATAGAACCCAAAACAATGATTTTTAAAATTCTTGTCTGTTTGTCTGAACGTTTGTACACGCTAATCTCAGAAACGGTTTAATGCATTTAAATGCAGTTTTCACTAATACGTTACGGTTTGCTCCACTTAACATTTGGTGTTTATTTCAATCAATTCATAAATAGAAATGTTATATCAATCTAAAGAATTACATGTAAAATGCTATAAAATAACCGATCAGTTGAATTGGCTGCAATTTTTTTTTTTTATTGTATGTATTGATTTTCGAAAATTCTGTCCACCTGTGTGAAGCCGGGACGGGTGGCTAGTTCATAATATTGTTAAGGATTAATACTATATTATATTCCAGGCTTCCACGCTATTCTTCCTGTGGACCGGCATTAAGGGTACCGGTTTCTACAAACGCCATGTATTCGGAAGCTATACATTGGCCAACATGTTTGAAATACTCATTTACGCAACTGGAGTATTCACAAATTTACCTGTCGCTCTCTATAATATATACAAGTAAGGCACCAGTACATTTTTCTTTTTACATAACCTATTAATTTTCTTTTTATTGCTCAAAGATTTTGGTATAGAATAAATGAAATATATTTATATAGTGTGTTGCTCATTGTATTTATGACATTGTCAATGCGTTAGAGAGGGATAGACACATAAAAACGCATCTGCCTTTTGACTAGTTCGTAGAAGTGAAATTCATCAAGATAGTCACTTCGTTTTCTTGGCCATATAACCCTACCAAATTCAGATACAACCTGCTTGCATACTTTCTACATAAAGTGTGTTGAATATATAATTTAGTAATGTAAAATTTATAATTGACATATCAGTATGAACAAAAATTTTACATACACATTTTCTTTACACTAGTCTGCTATGATTTGAGAAAAATAGCAACAGATAATGTATCTTTGGTCCTCTTTTTAATAATTATATTTGCATTGCAAAGGAGGCAACCATGTGATTTACAGTTTTTATTTGATCATTTCTTCTATTTAATTCCTTGTTCTATGGGTTAAGGTCGTTGCGAAACAATATCTATTTGTAAGAACAATTCTCCGTTCTAAATTCAAATATTTTTAATGTTGTGTCTTATGTATATGTGTATGTGTGCGTTCTTGTGTGCATGCATACTTGCATGTGAGCGTACGTGCGTGTGTATACTGTATGTATGTTCACATTAAAAAATCTCTTTTTTTATACCTTATTACAATCTTTGTTCCAGGTCATACAAACTTCACACCGGCAAAATGCGCCCCCTAGGGGAAGCACTGCGGCCATTGTGGTCATTTCTATCTGTGTTCGCTATCTGCTCAGTGTGGATGTACAAGTCTGAGCAGCTTCCCGAACTAGATTTGCGTGTGGTGTTCCTACTTATAGGCACTCTATTCAGTAATATAGCGGTAAGTCTAATTTACTTGATTAACTGACATCTGATTATAAAGATTCTGTAGTAATTTGTGGATAATATGCAGCTATATCTATATTTATAGTTACAATATCTATACAAGGCTCTTAGCACTCACTAAGATTTTTGGCGAGTCTCTCCATCTCTTGATATAACACGACACCCAATTTTTCCTTAATTGTCACTGTGCCTTTATATTCTTTTTTTATGCAACTTAGAATGGCAAACAAGCTGATGGCCCACTTGATGGAAAGTGATAACCGTCGCCTATAGACATGAGCAGTACCATGGACAAAACAGAGTATATTGTTTCGCAACATAATACCCCTCCATGCGTTGCCATTCCTGAGGACTCAGATGCTATTCCTCTGTACCCTTCCTCTGTAAATTCACTGCCATATCCCACCCTTTAAACCGAAACACAGCTGCTTCATGTACATAATATATAATAAGTTTAATTATAATATATAAAGCTTATATCTCCTGATTATTGAATCTAGTTGTCGCCTTGTTCCAGTGTCGGTTGATCGTGAGCCAGATGAGCTCGACGCGGTGCCCGGCGACCAACTGGCTGACCGCGCCGCTGGTCGCCGCCGTGGCGCTGTCGCTGCTGCAGCCGCGGTTCGAGCGGACTGCGCTCTACGGCCTCACTGGTCTCGCGGTCGTCGCGCACCTGCACTACGGCGCCTGCGTGGTAAATATCCCCTCTCTATACACATAATCCTATTAAAATTCTTTTCTCAAACATGCTTGGAAATGTGAGCATTATTTTGACAATCTTCTTCGAGATAAATCGAAATTGCCGTACTGGCCAGATACATGCGGGCAGCGGCCGGCAAAAGTTGTATGAAAATCCATATCTGTCGTGTTTTGCGGCCAGATAAATTACTATGTAAACTCATATCTGTCCTGTAATTTAAAAATAGAATGATCTTTTACTTCGAAACATGGCTACCAAGGAGGTAACTAATAAAAGGTTTTATTTAAATTTCGAACTGGCTTGCAAATAGAGAGCTGTTTATTGAAAAAAAAAAACAAAAGAACATTATGACGCGTGAAAAATTATTATTGTTCGTTATTCGTCATTGAACTTAAAATGTAAAATTGTGTTTTTGATTTCCGCGCATTGTTTGAGAAAAGTACTATACAAGCCTTGGCCACAACTAGGCATTGATGGACTCAGGTATGTGTGCCTTGGCTACGCCTCGGCCCACATTTGCACCTTCGTCCATCAATGCCTCAGTTGCTGGCCGCTGCAGTAATGTACTATTTTCATTGATCATCCTTCATCCCTGAATGCCTGTACTCGACTAAATCAAAAGCATTGATCATCCAATGTTTACAGAAAATATAATTGTATTCCAGGTACGTCAGATGTGTGATCACTTCAGAATAAACTGCTTCCACATTAAGCAGCGCTCAGATTGACTCTTAGACGACAGTGCGTGCTAGCAAACGTAACATACAAACAAACACCATTATGTACGCCGGCACCGCTACAAACATATCCATCCTAGAATATATCACCTCACAGATTGCGTAGTTGACCACAGAGTTATGGGTTATTTTTTTAATAAAAAAAAAAGTAACGAAATGACAATAGTTTCAAATATATTAAAATTGAAGTAGATAGGCACTATTCTTTGTCTATGGTAAGCATATTAATATATTATTTTGCATATACACTTTCATAATTAATAATATAAAGAATGGATATGTAATTTATCTAATTTAATATTGCCTTTGATTAAGTACATAATTGTGTGTGTTTTTTTACAATATGTTATGTTTGATAAAGATTGTGTACACGGCAAATTTAAAAATAGTATTACTTTTTTTTTAATATGTCATATTTATAATTAAATGCTCCCCAAAATTGTTACAGATTTTATAGTAAATTAAGAAGCTATTTATCCAATGCTCAATCAAAATAAGGAAGACACGCTGGTGACGTGTCTGATTACGTCACCAATTTTGAACTGCTATGTTAATTTTACAATCAATGGGTTTTTTTCCTTTGATGGGGATTTACTTCCATATTAGTAGAAACTGCTTGTTGCGAAGCAAACAGCATCTACAAGCAATCAAAGGATTCCGAGTTCCAAATTCAAATATTATAAATATATCAATGAAACATTTTGTCGTCAATGATTTTATTATTATTATTTTAATCACATTTTTTATTCCTTATTTATGTCTTAAGAATCACAAAATCATTAACAATATGGCGGAAAGACAGTACTGTTCTTATTTTGATTGCATTGTACTTGTTAAATGGGTAAATAGATTGATTTCTTCATCATCATCGCGTCAAAGATTTTCAATTTTACGCCCACATATGAGATTATACGTTTCGTTCCAACCCTATCCTCGCTAGTCAACACAAAATGTATATTCTCCACCTCTTTCTATCAGTATTGCCACTATCAAATATTTTTCACGTTAAAATACTCGTAGTTTTAAATCGATTTGTGTTCGAAAATTAACCAATATATTTATTTAATGGCACCTTTTTCACATATTCTTATACTTATATTAAGTGTACACATCTTTTTATATGAGATTATAGCACGCATTGTCTTAATAACTTTTATGTAAATTATTTTATATCGATTGAGACTGGCAACATCTGTACAGACTACCAACGTTCAAACAATAAATAAACTTTTTACGCATATCTTAAAGATCATTTTTAAAAGTTATCAATTGGTGAACTAAATATTACTTATTACAAAATATTACTTAGTACAATTAACTTTATAAGAAAATAGTATCTAGAAACTTCAAAACGAAATGGGGTCGATTCTTAAGCGCCATTTTTCTATCTCTATCTCTTAATCTATTATTTTAAATCGAATGTTTCGTATAAATTCTCGTTTATGAGCCATAATAAATTAAATCTATAATAATTTTTAAATCTATTAGAAATTGATTTCAAGTCTATCCTTGAAATAAAGATTTAGAGAAATGGTCGCTCAAAATCGATCCCAATGGCACCTTCGTTTTATATTTAAGGTAATTACTATGTATTGTTTATAATTTACTCTTCTCAATTCATAGGTCGCCTGGAAAAGATCGCTTTTAGCAATAAGGCCGCCCATTGTATTCTGTGTAACCATTTCTTGTAATTTATTTTCTATTAAATTTACTACTGTAATCTTTTGGAGAATACAATAAAGAACATCTATCTATGTATTTACATAACTTTATTGATGTTGTGTAAACTATCTAACTCTATTGTACTCATAAATATCTAAAAAACTCTTTATTCTTTATTGTATATTCTATGTGTTGTAGTATGATGGAAGTGACAGCTGTTATTTTGACAGTTTTTACTAAAAAAAGAATTGTATTCAACACCTTAATATCGGGGTGAATACCACTAAAGAAGGTTGTCTTGAAAAGATTGCTCTCAGCAATAAGACCGCCTTACTGTACTTATACAACTGTATCGTTATATTCGTTGTCTTGCTTATTTCCTATATTGTATAATGCAAATAAAGTATACTTATTATAAAGAAATATATTCATTCATAAAGAAGACAAAAAAAAATATTAGCGTTGAAATCAATTTTATAAATATATTTAAATTTAATTAAACTCTCATTACTAAACGCTGTATTGAATGTATAAATTATGTTTTAGTATTTTTCTTTTTTTGTATGATTTTAGTTTTATGTCACTTGCATTATGCTACAATGTAATAAATACAAAGCGAATAATTTGTTTTTTGAATTGACAGTTGAAAATGTTGCCAGTCTTAAATTATAGTTTTTTTTTTTAGTGGTAAGTTATTATAGTTATAATAATTGTTTAACTCGATTAACGCTGCTCCACATTTTATTGATAAGTTTAGATATACATACGAGCGATTTGTATAATTTTCAACATGTCTGCAATTCGTTATTTGTACAATTATTATTGCCAGGTACAAAATTCTTTAACGTATACAAATTCTTACTAATATTATAAATGTGAAAGTGAGTTTGTTACCTTTTAGTTCCTTAGCGACTCGAGCAATCGTCATAAAATCCGGTATATACGTACCATATGAGATGGATAGTGACATGGACTATTATTTATCTTGGGCAAGAAATATGCCCCGGTCACGTGGACGAAATCGCGGGTAAAAGATAGTATATAAAAAATACGCATAAGTGATAATCCCAATACTATAGTCAGACTAGCTATCTCTCGCGACTTCACCCGTGGTCGTATTGTGATTTTGAATAGTCTTGTCTGAGAAATTACCTACTAAATGCAATTTTTTTTAATCCTACCAGTAGTCCCAAAGATTAGTGCATTCAAACAAACAAACTCTTTCACTTTATTATATTATTATAATTACACATAAAGTACGAATTGCGATTTTGTACAAATTGATTGTAACAATTTAAGTATTATAAACTTTTAGAAAGCCAAGACTGACAGTTCTGAAGAAAAATTGAAAAACCTTTTTAATACTAAGATAAAGAAGTATTGCAGTTCGCGCCAAAACATAAAAAAAAAGAATCTTAGACATTTATCCTAACACAGCAGACTCTATTGTACTATGATAAATAATTACTGCGTAAATCACACAAGGTATCAACAAAGTTTTTCTTTGTACTGGTTTCTTTCTATACATAGATCTAATCATAGATTCTGTTCTTTGTCTATGACTGTTAAGCGTGCTTAGAGAATAAGGTTCTATTTATACTTACTGTCTTTTTAAAAAAGCTAAAATCTACAAATCTATTTTGACTATTGGTGTTTACTTTCTTTTACACAAATTAATGCAATAGAGAAAAAAATAAACTTTAAACTCAAATAGGTTCATTGTTTGATGATTTTAATGTCTTTTAAGACTTTAAACATGATATTAAACAAGTACATAATAGTTCTTCATCTTACGGTTTCTATAATATTAATAAATAGCTGTCAATAATTCGTCATGTGTTATCCACCTACTTAAATTAATGGTTGTTCAATAGTTTACCTAAGATTTATTTATTGGTTTATTAATGTTATTATTTATTAATTTTTATTAAGTCCCGTGTTATAACGCGTGGAGTAAACGGCGCTAAAACAAAATAATTTTAACATAAAATGACTAAATATTATTAAATAAAGGACTTCTAACATAAGATCTAGTATTGCACGAAACTCGCTTAGTATTATTTTTGTTAATTTTTATTAGAGCTTAAAATGTTTATTATTAATTCAGTATTATCTTGTATTAAAATTATGATAATCACAAATGTAAATTACGCTATAAAATGACAAAAACTCGAATGTCCAGATTCATTTTGGTCTATTTATAAACGTACATACTAGAAAACGTCGAAATATTAAAAGCATAGCCACAATATATATTATAAAGCCGTTGGTATTGGACTCCACATCTCTGCTATCCTGCCCTAATATCGTCCGAGTTATATCACAGAAGGAATGATATACTCCTATATGCCATTAACAAGCATTGATTTTTAATATTTTGCAATTTATATATAAGACAAAAAAGAAAATATTTAAAGTCTGTATTAGTTGCCGAGTGATTTTTTGTATTATATAAGAAAAGGTTCATTAGCTTTTAAGTTTTAACGCCAGCCAGTATTTTTTATATATATAAATTTACTGTTTTATTTTTTATGAATTGAATCATCACAATCAAACATTGGAATCATTGTTTACATTGGGGATGTGATCAATTGTTTTTAATCCAAGTATTACTCTATATTTATAATTGTTTTCTTTTTAATATTTTTTTTTATATGTACCTACCTGCATAGCATAGACAAATGACTTATCTGCGGAAGAGTCTCTGTATGTTCGCAGAGTAAAAATTTATTTACTATTTTGACAGATAAAAATGAACGCTAAGACCTAGTCTACAGCCTTAATTCATGCAAGTTATAATTTTGTGCACAGTACCTGTATGTACATATTAAATTTGCATTGACTGAAATATTTTTATTTTTTATTTATTTCTTATTAAACTTTATTAATTAAATATTTAAATATGTTACATTTCATGTATCTCCTAAACATTGCTATCCTTAAATAGGTATTTAAATGGAGACTCGTTTAACCGAACTAAAATCATTTGAAAAATAAAAACTTTGGGTTAAATACCCATGTATGATGATTTTTTCTTTTACATTTATTAACACTAGAAAGACAAGACGCTTGCGACGGGTTATCTCTTAGGTAGTTTTATCCTAGTTCCATCAAAATAACCAATGGATAAATTCCATTTTCATATTGTGACGATTTAAGCTGCCGTTTTTCTTCGGGAAGCAAAAAACTGCTTGGCATGAAACAAAACGTATCTGTAATAAACACCTTATATATACAAAATATGTAGTTGTAGGGTATTTACGAATTACCAATTACAGAGAAGATACACTAATTCGCAAAGAAACGAGCGGGTTGAAAAAACGACAAAACAATTTGACCCTTATTCGAACAACGTATCCAGCTGTCAAGATGTTAAATACGTAATGAGCGTGCACTAAAACTTGACATGTCATGCCTATTGTATTATGTAGGTACAAATTTTATGAAATTAAATCTATTTTTATATGACCAAAGAATTAATTACTGCTACTGGAAATAGTATTCATAATTTCCTATTCTGTAGATCTGTTGCACCAATTAGGTATATTTATTATCTTCACTCGTGGAAATATTTAAAGAAACTTGTTCTTCCTGGATTTGCCTTCTATTGTCTAGAACATTTGTAGCTAGCTTTTACACTGTGACACCTCGTCATCGCTTCTCACATTATATTTCACGAAAATATACACATAAACTATATATAGAAAGTTCGTTTTATTTAATCCCTAACCGATATTCCTAGTCATACCATAAAAGAGAATATTATGTTTAATAACTATCATAGATACTGCAGGTTTCTAGTATAATGACTTGGACATATTATATGAAGCCATAACTCCATATTCTATTCAGTGTTTTGCTCTTTTTAAAGCAAAGCAATAAGCTGAGTTGTGACCATTTTGTTGTTGTAATGCTAGCAATACACCCTATCAGGTCAACCTCCATGCGGTTCGCCCTGGAAACCATCATAGAATCTATTAGAATTTGTCACGATGGGCTAACTGAATGCTTTCATCCCTCACTGGTGCCCCACCAGCGTACACCGATAACGCGAACGGAGTTGCCATTCCATTATTACTAACAAAAAAAACGAGTTATTATGAATAGAAACATGTATGTCAACTTCACAAACTTTCAAATCTATACTTATAAATCTGTAGAGGTCAATTCTGTACATGAAATATATTTCCAAAATAACTATCAGGGGATGATTAGTGGTCGATACGGATGCCAAAAATGCAATCAGTAAAATTTTCGTCTATCTGTCTGTATGTTTGATATAGAACCAAAAACTGCTCAATGGATTTTAACAAAACTTGGTACAATTATTCTTCATACTCCTGGGCAGGTTATAGTATACTTTTCATCACACTACGATCAATAGAAGCAGAGCAGTGAATGTGTCTGTTACAAAACCACTGAACCGTGAGGAAGGACATAGGCTACTTATTTTACGAAAAACAATGGAAAAGCGGACATAGTTGCGGGCAATAGCTAGTATATCATAAAATATTGGTAAGATGAATTAAAAACTTCATAATATACTCAGAAAATAAATTATATTTCTCTATATTTTTATATTATCCTATTCTTTATACAATAATAAAATATGTCAGTTGTCCATAACATTCTTAAAATATTCTGCCTTTATTTTTTCCCTTTCTTCAACATCGGGTAAGTACGGCTGAATTCCCTTTGACCTCCTATTTCTAGAGACTTGACCCTGAAATAAATAGTAGACAAATGCAATTTTACATTTATAATAGTTGCAAGTATTTTTTTACATGTAAGACATTATTTTTTTTTTATACAACTTAGAATGGCAAACAAGCTGACGGCCCACCTGATGGAAAGTGGTAACCATCGCCTATAGACATGAGCAGTTTCGCCCATGATACCCCCCATGCATTGCCATTCCTGAGAACTCAGGTGTTATTCCTCTGTACCCAGTAAATTCATGCCATATCCCACCCTTCAAACCGAAACACAGCCATGCAAACACAACTGCTTCACGGTTGAAACACAAATGGCACAGAGGTACCCAAGCAATCGACTTTTGTACAAAGTCTCCCTCTGGTCTTCTTCTGTCATTCTTATATTAAGACTTAATTGGAATATTATTATTGAATGAAACTATTGTGAATCATACTGAATCTGATTTATATTAGCTTTACTCAGTAATAAATACAGAATTATATTTAACACAAAACTAATCATGGAACCCAAAGGTAAATATGTCAGTAAAGTTGACATAAAAGTTATCCTCCGTGGCGCAGCGGTCAACACGCCTGCCTGCGACGTGGAGGCCTCGGGTTTGATCCCCGGCCAGGTTATGATGGAAAACGATTTTTTCCTGTTTGGCCTGGGTCTTGGATCTTTATCTATATATGTATCTATTATAAATATAGTATCGTTCAGTTAGTATCCCATAACACAAGTCTCGAACTTACTTTGGAGCTAGCTCAATCTGTGTGATTTGTCCGTATATATTTATATTTATTTTTTAATATTTACAAGTTAACACAAAACAGAAGTATGCACAGCCAACAGGAAATAATTATAATTCACTTTGGTCATAAACCACTAGAGGACCGGACAATCAAATTCTAATATACCTCACTCGATAATTTAACAATAACTGGACAAACTTTTGAAAGTTATAGCCAATGTCTCACCCAGAACTTTTTACAAGTATTATAATTATCGAAATACTTTTCACATTTTTCATGATCGAAGCCGTTTTTATTCAAACACTCATAAGACTGTTCTTGTTCCTGTAAATAAGAAATTATCGTTATATAATTAAAAATTTTAAGAGTAATTTTGAAAGCAAATATTTAGAAATATTTCACGGCGTTACCTTCAAACATGGGTTAAGTCTAGCGGCATTAGGATTTGATAATTTTGCCATTTTAATTTCTATACACTTTGTTAGTGTTTGTATAGTTTCATATTTTTTTTTAAATACTTTGTTTTTTAATATTTCACAAACAAAATATTTCAGGTTAGATTACTGATACTGTCATGTCACTTTGACTTTAATGAAGTTTAACGAAAACAGAGCGGGTATTTTTGACTGATCAATACAGATTAGGGTATAGAATAAGGTAAGGCTGTTACCTTCCATATATAATAATAGCGCTCGTAAGACAGACAGACAGAACTATTTGCATTAAATACAAAACTATTTGATAGCTGCGGCTTTATCCGTGTGGTATTTATTATTCCCGTTTAATATATATAGATATATGTATCTAAATATTTATTATGCCTGGAAATACTGGACCAAAATTAACAAATGACATATCGTTCTCACTCTTTGCCTTACATCAAAATGATTTAATAAGTTTCTATAGTTTTTTTTAACTATTCCACGAAAATTCTTGAATTTTCCGTGATCAAAAGTATTTAAAATGTTGACCGGAGATGTAAGTTACCACCATGTAAAATTTCATTGAAATCGGTAAATCAATTTCGGAGATTAGCCCGTATAAACAGACAAATAGAGAGAGAAGCAAAAAAATTATTCAATACAGAATAATAATGCATGATGGTTGATGCTTTTTTAGGATTAAACTGATTAAACATCTATATATATAATGAAACTTTAGAGGTCGAATGTTTTTAATATAGAAATATTAGAAGTGGAATAGAACGCATCCAGATTTTTTTTAATAACTTTTTAATAAATTAATGAAATCTTTAAAACTGGTGTTATATTAAAAAATAGAGTCCCAAAATTATTTTTTATATAATAAATCTTTATATTACCAAAAATTAACAACGAAATATTTAAATTCTTGAAAAAAATAATCGATTGCACTAGATACATATATAATATTAAGTATGTGAACACCTTATACTAGATGTATAGACATTATTATGTAATTCTGTAGAAGATTATACAATACAATCTTACTGCCCTTACCAATAATAATAATTTATACAAATGTTAAACAATTGTATAGTTATACAATAAATAAGCGTTATATACTGACTGTATATTGTTGTCACTAATAAACGGTGCACAACCGTTGTAATTAATTAATTATCCATATCCAATTATTCATATTTTTTTTATTTATAGTCCCTTAAATCCTTTTCCAGTTCATTTTGTGTAACGTATTTGTCTATTTCACTTTAACATACATGTTGCCACATTTTTTATCTTTTACATTACTATATCTTATTTTAATTAATTACTTCTAATTTTTTAATTTAAAATGCATTTGTGTTCTCGGCCAAAGATAATGTTAGTTCTTGTTTTTAGATACTGGTAATAGATATAATCTGTGATTCTTAGTAAAGAAATGAGTTGTGAATATCGTCCAATGAAAATCATGATTAGACTTCAAGTGCTCTTGTTATTGGTCGTTTGTTATATCTTGACTAAAAATATCGTAATAGGAAACTAAAAAATTATCTAGAGTCAGTATGACAGACAGAACAGACATAATAGAATACCTGACTACCTACCTAATTTATTTGATAGTTCATTCACAACGTTTGTGACTAAATTATATTTTTTTATATTTTACAATGCTATGTTAAAAGTGCCTGTATGTTTAAAATTTGTTTTTATACATCTAAGGATTTGTCATAAATGCTATCGAGATGTCGAAAAATAAGATTGCGGCTAGAATAGACAGTCAAAGTGTCGAAGTTAAAACTAAAGTGAGTACAACAAAATTTCTAATTTCTTTAGCAATAATACGATAGGCACGCAATTCTGCTAACCTAATTTGTATTAATAACATTATTATTTCATTCTGACGTTGCATGTTTTTAAAATTTGTCTGGTAGTTGTTTTAAGTTTTATGATAATTTACTAAAATACGTGTTCTACTATCTGCATTGTTAATAGTGCAACTAAAAAGTTATATATGTACTATAAGTAAGTATCACTTTCATATTTAATATAGATATATTAAATATGAAACGTATAGATATACGTTTTCTTATAAAGTGATCCAACTAATGATCAAATCTAATTATCCATTATACTTATTTGGAAACCTATAACCCATGTTAATCTATTGTTAAAAATTACTAATTAATGTTTGATTTGTTTTATTACCTACCAACCATACAGTACAGGTCATATTAAAATAACTTTTTATATAATAACTTTCTTTATACCATTCTATTGCAATGAAAACTTTGCCTATTGGTGAATTTAAGATTACTTTCCAGGTTGGCACAGGCTCTTTAAAAAATAGTGCTTATGTACTTTTAATATGCCATTGTACATATCTATTAACTTCACTCAAATACTGGAGTGTTCTCAGCCCACCCGCTTATCCTTTAAATACACCTGTGATTCAGCCTCATTTGTGGAATACAGCTTCAATTTAAAGGATATATTTTTTTATATTCTAGTTTGTTCTATGTGCACCAGAAATTGAAACCAAACAAACATTGCTTCATATATTTTTTGTTTAAATTTCAAGAAATATCACCAAAGTTCAAGAAATATTTATATTATCTTACCATTGCTTCAACTTTATTGAAATGTTCACATAAATTTGTGCTTATATTTGAATTTCTTATTGTAAGTATTTAGAATAATTATAAAATAAGACATCTCTAAATTTTTTTATCGTATTTGTTATTCTAAAGTTTAAGATTTATGGCTTGTGTCCATTCCTACATATCCTGAAGAAGATATAACAAATTTACCTTCCTAAAATATGGGAAAATAATTTCTTTATAAAATATGTATATGTGGCTTAGTTCCTTTGTCTTTTCCATTACAGATTAATTAATACTACTACTAGTATAGGATACATTTAGCAACTTAATAATAAATTTAAACTTGGTATCATTAACAGTAATGACTGATCTGATGGAAAATAATAAATATTACCTATAGATATGAAAAACACCATGGACTTACTAATATATAATGGACACCAGAGCCAACCCTCTGGTTTATAACCTCATAACTTTGTCCCTCATAAGATTGATTACATATTAATTATATTAACATTGATTTAGTAGTTTAGTTTTGAAATCAAAATAATTGATTTTGCCATAATTGAAGTCAGTTTTTTTTTTTAGGAAACATAATCTTAAATTTTAAATAGTAATATATTGATAATCTATGATATTGAGGCCTTCATAGATAATGTTAGATACCTGTTAAATATAAATATTTACATATTTCAAATACTATCAGATAGGAAAAGATATTAGACAGCTTATCTTTGTGTAAGGAGATTTGGAAGGTGTTCAGTTTTTAACGGCCTTAATAGAAAAACAAACCAACTTCAAAAAAGGAGAAGTTGCTTAATTTGTTTGTTATTTTATGTTTGTTAAACAAAAATGATGATTTAAAAGTGCTTGTAAACAAGTCTATTTGAATAAAGATGATTTGAATTTGATACTCTTGTCATTCATAAACTGATTTGGAATTTTGTTTATCGGGAAGGATATACTTTGAGATTGGTCCCATAGAAATGTTATCAAATCTGGTTCAGTAGTTTAGTTTTTACATAAAAATAAATTAGAGAAGGAGGGGGGGGGGGGCAGTGACACACAGACACTAGTTCTGGTTACTAGCAATATACCTTGGCAAGTCTATCTTATGTAATACCTCCTGAAAACTAGTGAATTCCTGGTGAATTCCCCATGATGGGTACTTAACCTGACTTTCCCATTGTATCATACTTCATTGGTGCTGTGCCTTTGTAATAGTTAATCTTTTACGCATAAAAAATATTTCATCATCATCATATCAGCTGTTAATGGACCACTGCTTTACATAGGCCTCCCCATAAGTTTTTTTTATACAACTTAGAATGGCAAACAAGCTGACGGCCCACTTGATGGAACTGGATTGTAACCGTCGCATATAGACATGAGTAGTACCATGGACATAACAGAGTATACTGTTTCGCCCATGATATCCCCTATGCGTTGCCATTCCTCTGTACCCTGTAAATTCACGCCATATCCCACCCTTCAAACTGAAACACAGCCATTCAAACCCAACTGCTTTACAGTTGTTGAAACACGAATGGGACAGAAGTGGGAGATTTTCCAGTAATTGCCACACTTAGAAGGTGGGTTGGTAACCGTAGCGCTAGACTTTGGTGTTGTTTAAAGAGGGACGCTGCTGGCCATCCATTCATATCGCCACACATATATATTTATTGCAGGGATTCAATGGATGCAAGTGGCTCAGGACTGTTCTTTATTGCAGTCTATAGGGGAGGCTTATGCCCAGCAGTGGACGGATAATGGCTGAAATGATAATAATTATATTTTTATTTAAATGTACTATGTCTAAAATTACATGGTTATTAAAAAGCTTGTACATGATCGACTAACAGAATGCACATTTGTCATTCGAGTAACCATTTAGTGTGTAATAGGCTTTATTCAACAAGTGTTTTTTAATAACAGTTTTAAATGTATTAAAAGGTAGATCCAAAATATCCTTTCGGTATCTTATTATGAAAAACGTTTTACAGTTTGATGCCGAATTCCGACGTTTCTCGCTAAGTCGGACAGAGAAGCTGAAGTACGAAGACTTCAAAGGTCTGATAGAGAAACTGCACAGGCTACACGATGTGGCGTTCCTCATCTCGTACACGGACCCTCGGGACGGGGACCTGCTTCCGATCAACAATGATGACAACCTGGCTCGAGCACTCCTCACAGCCAGACCGTTACTCCGGGTCATAATACAAAGAAAGGGTGAGTGTTTAATCTATTTATTTATTTATACTTTATTATACACAAAAAAAAAATTACAATCATATAATTTATATTAAATAAAGATGTACAACTGGCCAGACCCTGAGTGAAAAGAAGCCTTAATTACCAGCGGTAATATTTTTTTTTTAATAATTTGTGCTATTTTTTAAAAGTAGAAACTCTTAATGGGTGATAATGACATAGTAACCCCTAAGGATATACGCTGGCTGCGTACCGGTGAAGAATGATAGGTGAGGATGAAAAAGTAAGCCTGTTAGCCCATCGTGACGAATTCACATGGTATTAAGCGCTGTAGTTTCCAGGGAGACCGCGAAGAGGTCGACCTGGAACATTGCATTGCCAAGGACATTGCGAGCAATTGGGTTGCTAGTCCCCATTTGTTTTGGGTTGAAAATTTGTATGGAATTTCGTCTACTTAGAAGTTGGATACATGAAATTTTAAGTTTAAAATTATGGTTTGAAACAAAATCCTCGAGAAATCGAATACCATACGCAAGCGTAATCGCGGCCAAAAGCTACTTTTCTTATATAATCTATACAGGTTAATGTTCACAATTTGAAATTACGTCGTTGAATTAATATGCGCAGTGCACTGCGCCTGCGCCGATTACGATTTCGTGTCCCTTGATGCCCATAAAATAATTTGAATGATACCTATTGATACGCTTTCTATGGTAGCGAACATTATTATATTCTGGCTTCACTTTGGGATACGACGCAGTTTGTTCAGTATCTTCGCAGCAGATAGTAACCATAGACGTAATTGGGGGGGGGGGGGAGATTGTCTGGTGCCCAGCAATGCATTTGAGGTCGTCACTCCATCTAGTGGGGGGGGGGCGTCCTACACTACATTTGCCCGTACGGGGTCACCACTCAAGAACTTTCTTCCCCATCCGATTAATTTAAAACTCATTAGTAAATACACTGGTTGAAATAGTTTATTGTTGTGTTGACCTCGGACGCAAGCAATTGTTTGGGTCGCTGTTGTCCAATTAACAATTTAAGATGTCAAGATAAACAGTCGATTGTTTCAAATGTTACGTAGGCCGCAGACTCCGTGTACCCAACGACATTGGCGTTACTTAAAATTATTTACCAGATGGCATTTGCTTTCTTAACAAAACTAAATACGCAGCTTCTGGGGAGTAAGGGATGTTAGGAATGGGGTCCAACTGCCCTCTTTCTAACAATATACCCTTTCAGGTCGATCTCCACGCGGTTTCTCCTAAAAACTATCGTGGTTATTTCTAATGGAATTTGTCACGATAGGCTACCTGATCTGAGGGCCTACCACGAAATATTTTCGGAAATTTCGGGGATGAACGAAATAGAAATTGGATGTTAAAATTACATAATACATGCCGTTTAAAAATATTAAAATATCGTTCCTCTGGACTATTAGGATAGGATTTATGATGAATGAAACGTTAAGCTACATTTACTGGGTCGATTTAGGTACGAACAAAAACACGAAATTGAGCCCGAAAATTCGGAATTTTATTTCATGGTAGGCCCCCTACTTTCATTCTCACCTATCATGCCTCAATGGTGCCCCGCCAGCGTATACCGTAGTGCAAGCGGGTTTTCATTATTTCATTATTATCTGTTAACAAAAATACACATTTCACACATGTCTGCTCATAGGGTCGAAAACCCTTCTTGCAGCCGTGTGGTCCCGGCATAGAATGGACTATCCATTCCTTTCCCATAGATATCGTAAAGCGACTAACCGAACTTAATAATCGAAGGTGGGCAACAGCGTCCCTCTTAAAACAATCACCAAAGTCTGCGGTTGCCAATTCGCCTGCCAAGCGTGGCAACTACTAGTAAAACTCTCCTTATAGGGAAGGCTTATGTTCAGCAGTGAATATTTAATAGCTGAAATGATGATGATGATGATTTGCTTTGGAACAAACCGTTTTTTTTTAGTAATAAATAATCTCAAAATGTATATAAAACTAACACGGAAGTAAACCCTGACGTTTACAAAAATAATTGTGAAAATTGGTTCTGTTTTAGCCACGTAACTCTCTGACAGCTATAAAACAACTTTAGACTAAATGAGAACCCTTCTTGTAACTTAAAAAACTCAAATACCTACCACATTTATAATGAACAAAAAGAGACACTGATCACACAGATGTGCCGTATTCCAAGGTGTTAAAGTTCACGTTTGAATGACAATACACATGTCCACTGTCGTGTGACGCATTTCTAATTAGTGCTACCTACATTATTCACATTGTGATTATGTCGGCCATTATGAATTTATGTATAAATATGTACAAATAAAATTACTCTATAGTTTTGTCCGTACTTTACCCGTTATTTCCTGTTCTTTTTTTAATGGATAATAGTGGAATGGTAACCCTGCCTGCACTATCGGTATACGCTGTTAGGGCACCAGTAAGGGATGATAAGAAATTCAACACTGTGGTTTCCAGAAGGGGCAATGTGGAGGTCGACCTGACAGAGTATATTGTTAGCAATGGGACTGGTAATCCACATTACTAACAATCCCTTTCCCCCTGTTCTGGATCCCAAGAAAAAAAATTATATTATTACCCCCCGGGGGGGGGGGGGCTTAAGGAAAACATACCAACCCTAGTAATAACATCCAGACTTACCCCTCTTAAGAGTACGCATTAAGAAGCTCTGAGTAAAACCTTCCGAACTAAACCAAGCTCCCAAAACCATAATCTTAATAAATAATTTTTACTCAAGTAAATTTAATAATAAGCATTTTTGAAACGTAATTTTTTTACGAATCTACCGCCCAGTTCGGAAAGCAATTTTAGCTGGAAAGAACGGGCAAGAAACACAGCTGTTGTTTTCATCAAATAAAATTTACAACAAAAAATATCGATTCAGTAATTTAAATTTTAGAACTGGCTTTGTTACTTTTGGCTTTTTGAATTGAATATATATATATATATATATATATATATATATATATATATATATATATATATATATATATATATATATATATATATATATATTCTCCTATTCAATTATATTTTATTAAGCTTATCAGAGAAATACTTTGTACAAAAGTCGTTCACTTGTGCACGCCTGTTCCATTAATGTTTCTACTGTGAAGCAGTTGTGTGTGCATGGCTGTGTTTCGGTTTGAAGGGTGGGATATGGTAGTGAATTTACAGGGTACAGAGAAATAACACCTGAGTCCTCACGAATGTCAACGCATGGGGAATATCATGGGCGAAACAGTATACTCTGTTAAGTCCACGGTACTGCTCGTGTCTATACGCAACGGTTACCACTTTTCATAAGGTGAACCGTCAACTTTTTTTGCCGTTCTAAGTTGCATAAAAAAAAGCTCTATTATTTATTATACACATTAGAACTGAAAACAATGGCTGTATAGGCTTAGTCCTTTTGCCTTCCTTATGTATAGGAAAAATGGCACCAAAAAAAAGCTCTTTGGTCAGTTTTGAAAATCGAACCCAAACAAAACCCGGTATAGTGTCATCCTTTATTAATGGCGTGTTTCTATTGTTTAACGTTCACACGCCAATCCATGGCCGTGACACGAGACTAGCACAAATAGAATACATACAACTCATACATACATACGTCTACAAGTTATAAGCTTCTATTACCTTATTGGCCGCTGGGTCCTAGCATAGAATAGGCCACCCCTTTTTTTCCGTAGATGTCGTAAGAGATAACTAAGGGAAGGCGAGGTATGGGCAGCAACGTCCCCTTAAAACATCTCTAAAGCCTAACTGCGGTTGCCAATACCTGCCTGCCAAACGTGGCAACTATTGGCAAACCCCCGTAATGGCTGATATAATAATTACCTTATTAACAACGTGTTATTACTAAGTACACACAAACAAACAGAAAATAATAGTTTTATGAACATTATTATATCATCCGTTAATTGTCCACTGCTAGACATAAGCCTGTGAAAGTGAGTTTTGCAAGTGTAGTTGCAGCGCCTGGCAGGATATGTAGCTCTTATCCGAGTTTATAGGAGTATTTTTGAATCATTATAAATTTGTTATATATTTATTTAACACTTTATTGCATCAATACGAGTATAACAGTCGATTGCTTGGGTACCTCTGTCCCATTCGTGTTTCTACCATGAAGCAGTTGTGCTTGCATGGCCGTGTTTCGGTTTGAAGGGTGGGACTTGGCGTGAATTTACTGGGTACTGAGTCCTCAGGAATGGCAACGCATGGGGGGTATCATGGGCGAAACAGTATACTGTTATGTCCATGGTACTGCTCATGTCTATAGGCGACGGTTACCACTTTCCATCAGGTGGACCGTCAGCTTGTTTGCCATTCTAAGTTGTATAAAAAAAATTAAATATACGATAATTTTGATGCTATTGGACATATTAAATTATTTTTGCCATTATATTGTATAGATATATATCATACTGGTTAGAGAGTAGGATGCCTCAGAAATATGAGGAGTATGTGCTATGGGTGCCACAGTGTATTCTATCCTAGTGCTAGAGTCTAGGTGCTGTCTATAGGCGACGGCTGCCATTTTCTATCAGGTGGAATTTTAAATTATTTGTCATTCCATATTGCGTAAAATATTTAAATCGCTTCCGCTTGTAACTTGACGCTGTACGCGTCACATGTGATCAACCTGCAGTCACGCATCGCTCATTTCCATTGATCCGATTCAGTTTACTAACGTCATTATCTAAAGCTAGTACCGAGTAAGGTTCCTCTATGACGTGTAACCACGTTATATTACACGTTGATTTAGTCTTAATAACTCATGTTATTAGATTAAATTATATGTCCTGTATAGTTAATTGAAGTATATTTTAATTACTTCATTTGTAGTATTTTATATATTAATTAAATTTAATTACATTTAATTAAAAGCAAAATCATTAGCATCCTTTACTAATCTTTCTTTTTGTTCTACCTGTGAACCTGACCATTTTTCCCTAAATGTATATTTACAAGAATTTTTCATGTATTTTTCCGTGTGGTTCCAGTATAGAATGGACCACCTCTTCCTTTCCCATGGATGTTTTCAGAGGCGACTAAAAGCACTTATGGGTAACAGCGTCTCTCTTAAAATCACCAAAAGCCTAACTGCGATTTCCAATGTGCCTGCCAAACGTGGCAACTACGGACAAAACCCCCAATGGGAAGAGGCCTATATTCAGCAGTAGATAATGGCTGATATAATGATGATAATGATGTGTTTTTTTTTTTTATTACATTAATTTTTTTATTACATTTTTTTATAATAATACGACTTTGATCTTAAACAAATTAGTTTAATTAGCTTTTACCTTAATTACCTTTTACAGTTGATAAAAGTAGAATTTAAAACGGATATAAAGCCAGTTGTTTTTAAAATCGCACACCGCTTTTAACTTGACTACAATTCACGTGTGATCAACCTGCTGTCACGCACCGTTAAGTTCTATTGATGCGTTTCAGCTTATTTACTGGTAACGTCATTATCTAGAGTACTGTAAGATTACACCTATGGTAGTAAATATAAGTGGAAGCGATTTATAATTTATAAATACCAGATACACCTTATAAATTATTGTGCCAATGTATGCCCATAAGATTACATAATGCTTTTGGCCATAGCAAAATATCAGTATTTTGCTCTTGATGCAAAGTTATAAACTGAGTTGTGACCATTTTGTATTACTATGGCACACGCACAAAAGGAAAAAAATATGTGTTTTTCTATTTTCTGTATATCTACGTCTTTGTTATTTGTATGCTGTAAATAATGCAAATAAATTATATATCTATCTAATGCTTTACAAAATGGTGTAATAACAAACACACTTTCACTATTATAACATATTATTAAGATATTATTGTAAGTCAGATCTTTGACGCTTCTATTCATTTTTTTTGTTAAACGAAGTACCATTACATTTGTATTGATCGTAAGAAAAATATTACTATTTTAGTTGAAACAAATAACTGTGGCAATAACTGTTAAAATTTTACGAAAATTAATTTATGTTGCATATTTGTAAACCGGTTTTCTTTGACATTGTCACATCTTCAAAAAAATCGCTTCTTTCTCTTGACTTGACACCCACACGTCATGTGCGATTGATTGTTCTATGATGCACTGTTTGTATTGTATGGTCAGTGATGCATTACTCTGTAATGTGGGTAGAATACATCAGTAGAATCATTATTAGAATACGTTTTTTAAAAGGAACTGTTTCTCAGTATACTTGTAATTTTATTTTATATGTATGTCTAGCGGCCCGTCCCGGCTTCGCACGAGTGGATATTTTTACTACATTTTACATTTTTATCTGATCCTACCTAATCAAATTGACTATATTTTTTTTTAATATTTTTAATTTATATTTATTTGGACAAGGATTTAAACAGAAGTATGAATAACATGGTGTAATTTTGGTCGGTATTTTTATCAATTTTTAAAATGTAAAAAGTGGTTATTGTGACATAACGATATTAGTTGGACATATAGTATCGCGAAGTTTTATGTAGTTATTGATATTTTCTTCAATATTGTAAAACATACTTTTGTTCTATCACCAATAGTTTCCGCAGCGCACGCAAAGAAAGATATTTTATAGCATTTTTTACACCTTGACTTACGTTACTAAAGTTTTAGTAAAGATCCCTAATCTTTTCTAACAATAAATATATGCCTATGTTACTCAGGGTGAATGTAGCTCTCTAATGGTGAAAGAATTTTTGAAATCGGCAAAGTAGTTTTTGAGTTTATGAATTACAAACATACATACACACAAGAATACAAATCTTTCCTCTTTATAATATTAGTGTAGATCATGGTTTATCTATGTTTAATAGTGGACAGACAATGGCTAAAATGTTGATGCTGTTTCGCGATATCTGCATCTATCCTGAACCGATTTGAAATTGTCTCGCTTTTCTCGAAGCATTTGTATGGAGACACTCTATCTTTATTATCTAAGGGATAAGGTGTTTTTTTTAAATGGATGATAATGGAATGGTAACTCCACCCGCGCTATCGGTATACACCGGCGGGGCACCAGTGAAGAATGACAGATGAGGATGAAGTAGGTCAGTTAGCCCATCGTAATGAATTCAATAAGAATTGTTCACGATGGTTTCCAGGGGGAACCACGTGGAGGTCGACCTAATAAGGTATATACCTTATTAGGTTTATGCTAGCAATGGGGCTGTCAAACTCCATTGCTAACAATCCTTTTCCCCCTGGGATAAGGTGTTATGGTTAAGGATTACAGTTGTCGATGCCTTATTTTGCAGAGTAAAATGTATTACTTTTTTTTTGGGATTTCAAAGTCTAACATATGACACCGCAACGCCTAGTTTTTTTTTAATGGATAATGGAATGGTAACCCCGTCTACACTATCGGTATACGCTGGCGGGGCACCAGTGTGGGATGATAGATAAGCATGAAAGCAGGTCAGATAGCCCATCGTGACGAGTGCGACAAGTATTAATCACAATGGTTTCCAGGGGGAACCACGTAGAGTTCGACCTGACAGGGCTTGTTAGCAACGGGGGCATCAGGGGGTCTATCATGAAATATTTTCCCAAATTTCAGGGACGAACGAAACAGAAATTTGATGTTAAAATTACATAAAACATGTCGTTTAAAATTATTAAAAATGTTAAAATATCGTTCCTCTGGACTATTAGGATAGGATTTATGATGAACGAAATGTTAAGCTCCATTTACTAGGTCGATTTAGATACGAACAAAAACACGAAATTGAGCCCGAAAATTCGTAATTTCATTTCATGGTAGACCACCAGTCCCCCATTACTAACAGTCCCCTTCCCCACCCGGAACGCCTAGTAGGCTATTTCGAAATAACTCAGCTGTACCTATTAGTAGAAATAGTATTATAAAGTAATGCAAGCATTCTATTGTGTGGTCCCAATACAACCATAAATAGCGAATGAATTACGTGCCATTCCATACAAAAACAGTAAGCTTGTGACCTACACAATGTAGTACTAGATTGTCCATATAGGCAATGTAGGCAATTTACATTTATTTTTATTTTATTTTATTTATTAGGCGCACATAACAGAAGTTTACAAATACAAACTTAAATTATAACATGCAAGTACATTAATGTATTGATCAGGTAAACTTGTCACAACATGTGCACACAGCATGATCCAATAATAAATGCGACTGCAACAAAGCCATTCAGTTGCAACTATTAGTGAAAAAATTAATCATAAAAACGACGGTTTACTGAATTTTTTTTTATAGTATAATTAAACAATCTAACCGACTCTAATTGTGACAAAAACAATTTTGTTTTAAAAACTAAACAAATGAACCGATTTTGAAAAAATATCTATTAGTATCTATAACTGTAAAAAATATTTTTCCAAATCGGTTTATAACTGATGGAGTTATGAGGTAACAACCATAAAAAAATACAAACGAATTGCGAACCTCCTTCTTCTGGAAGTCGGTTGAAAATCATTTAATTTTAATAATTTTTTTTTAACATTAAATTGCAATAAATATTCTTTTTTAATTTATTTATTACATTGATAAAATTTACTCGAGTTTTTTATATCCATTCGTTTTTTATTTATTTATTTAAGTCAAACAGATATAACAATATGTAATTACACGGTTAAATAGTAATTTAAAAGACGTTAAAGTTTGCACAAATGTATAATGCAAGTGAAGGAAACAGGCAAAATTAAACAATACCATTGAAAACTACAGCAACATTGTCAATAATTTTTAACAAATTTGTTAAGTGAATTATTGTGAAAAATAAATTATGAGTTAACTGAAATAGAAATCTTAGCTTAATTTTTCTTCTGAGATACTGATTTTTATTTTTATATTATTTCAGCCGTTAACTGCTGGACATAAGCCTTCCCCATAAGGGGAGTTTTGCCAGTAATTGCCACGCTTGGCAGGCGGGTTGGCAACCGCAGTTAGACTTTTAGAGATGTTTTTAAAGTGACGCTGCTGCCCATCCTTAGCTTCCCCTTAGTCGGCTCTTACGACACCCACGGGAAAGGAAGGCGTGGCCTATTCTATGGCGGGACCACACGGCAAACAGATACTGATTACTAATTAGTAATGTTCGTATTTATTATTTTTACAGGTGACAGCCTGGAGGAGTTGAATGGCTACGGTACCATGCGTCCGCGAAATATTATATCGTCTATACTAAGTGGGACGCCCGCCAAAAACAAGGGGCTCGCTATATCAAACCCGCACGACTTTAGAATGGTAAGCATATAATTTCTTATATGTATAAATGGCGACCATTACCACTTTCCATCAGTTGAACCGTCAGCTTTTTGTCTTTGTAAAAATTAAAAAAAAAAATTCTTTAGATTTTTTTGCAATTGAGTCGTCAGTTTATTCTAAGCCATTCTAAGGATTACAAAGAAAAAAAATGTTTTTATTATTTTCTTTATTTTTTGATGTGGTCACACTGTAAAGTTTTTTTTTTTCAGGTATCAGCTATTATAGACGTAGATATAGTACCGGAGACGTGCAGAAGAGTGAAGCTGTTAAAACACGGCTCGGACAGACCGTTAGGATTTTTCATAAGGTAAACTATAATGGTTATTGGCCGCGTGGTCCCAGCATAGTCCAGGCCACCCCATCCTTTCCCGTGGATGTCGGAAGAGGCGACTAAGGAAGGGTGACGGATGGACAGCAGCGTCCCTCTTAAAATATCTTTAAAGCCTAACTGCGGTTGCCAATCCGCCTGCCAAGCGTGGCAACTACTGGCAACCCCGAAAATATTTTTAATGCATCTGTCTTTTAAATGGCATTCAGTGAGTAGTTATGACTCCACTCTCATAACTAGAGTCAGTGGAGTTCACAGACATCTCCACTATTTATATATTTTTTAATTGGTGATAATGAAATGGTAACCCCACCTGCGCTATCGGTATACGCTGGCAGGGTACCTGTAAAGAATGATAGGTGAGGATGGAAGCAAGTCGTGACGAATTTAACAATAATTAACCACGATTTTTTCTAAGGGGAACCCCGTGAAGGTCTACCCAATAAGGTATATTGCTAGCAATGGGGTTGCTAGTCCCCATTACTAACAATCCCTTCTTTCCCCCCATTATTTGTATTGATTGAATAGATCATGTGGGGTTTTTCAATCAAGAAAAAGCATCCTTTGTACGCAACAGTTCTTAAGATATTTAGCTGTTTCATATCATTATGAAATTATATTTGTCAATAAAAACGATGTAAATAATTATAGGTAATTTTTTTTAAACAACTTAGAATAGCAAACAAGCTGGCGGCCCACTTGATGGAATGTGGTAACTGTCGCCTGAACATGAGCAGTACCATGGACATAACAGAGTATACTGTTTCGCCCATGATACCCCACATACTTTGCCATTCCTGAGGACTCAGGTGTTATTCCTCTGTACCCTGTAAATTAAGCTATTGCTGTGTTTTCAAATTAATTTCTGTCTTATTTATTATTTAATAATTAAATTACAAATGTATTTATCTATTTATATTTAAAAGAGAGCTTAAAAAGGTTCTAATTAATAAATAAAAAATTGGCATACCTTTTATGTATGTTGAATGAACATTCTTGAATGTAATCGAGAGTGACCTCTGACTACCCCATTGCGAATGATATTTTTCATTTATTAATTTATATTAAAATATTAAATAGTTATTGATAATGGGCACACACAATTAGTTTAATTCATTTATTTATATTCTTTTTTTGTCGAGAATGTCGCGGCTGGCTTTTCGCATTTGGCCACCAACAGAATATCAGTATTTTGTCTTTTTGAGGGCAAAGCAATAAGCTTAGTTGAGACCTTTTTATGTTACTCTGGTACACTCACGAAAAATTTTCTTGTCTCTTTTATGTACTTTCTTTTTGTTTTGTTTTTTGTATATGTTTGGTTTTATTTCTTTTTTTAAGTATACAACCAATATCTAATTTTATTTGTGTGATGTATGTGATGCAAATAAATTATCAATCTATTTGATTAGACAGAGTTAATACCCTCGTTAGTTCCGTACTAATGTTATTACATTATGATTTTTTTTTATATTTCCCAGAGACGGCACGTCTGTACGCGTGACGCCGAATGGCGTAGAGCGTTCACCCGGTATATTCATATCAAGACTGGTGCCAGGCGGGCTGGCTGAGTCCACTGGTTTGTTAGGCGTCAACGACGAAGTACTGGAGGTCAACGGCATCGACGTCTCAAATAAAACACTCGATCAGGTGAGAAAGATTAATAATATTTATTAGGTGTCGAGTATGTCACACTTGACGTTTATAGGCGTCGAGTTTGTTGCTCTTGACCAACCAATTTTTCATACTTTTTATAGACGTCACTCCTTGCCCATGCTTTATAAATTTCGATTATATTATTTAGAAAACCCTCAATCGATGTACAATATTTCGAAAGTGTAGTAGTAAATACATGATTATATTTGGTCCTTCGAACCGGATTTATTACGCTCGACTTGTTATTTATAATCGTCGAGTTTGTCACGCTTGACGAACCAAGTTTGTTGTTTTTATTTTCAAACTACTAATTTGGTTTATTCTTCATACATATATGTGGCTATGTCCGACTCGGCAGGTGACAGACATGATGGTGGCGAACTCGTCGAACCTGATCATCACGGTGCGGCCGGCCAACCAGCGTGCGGGCGCCGCTGCCGCCGCCGCGCCCGCCGACACTGCCTCGCGCACCTCCGCCGCCTCGCACCACGACAGCGAGCCCGACGAGGACAGGTGAGCCCCTGCCGCCGTCAAAAGCGACACCGTCTCGCATCACGATAGCGAGCCCAACCAGGACAGGTGAACCCCCGTCGATGCTGAAACCGACGCCGCCTCCTGCCATCTGCCATCTCATCACCATGAAACTGCCATCCTACTCGCATATCCCAGAGATACACGTACATAGGCAGAAGCGTCATTATTCTAAATTTGTTTATATGTTATAACTATGCACACACACACTGATAAACACATTTATAATATTTCTTTCTTTTTCAGATTCGATCAAGACGAGCAAGATGAAATAGTCGACCTAACCGCGGTCACATTAGAGGAGCAACCGGAACCCTCCAATTTCTCTCACATTCCCACGAAGGATGACGGGCAAGTCCTCCACCTCTAGTATATAATAAATCGTTACAGACGATTTTATAGCCTAACATCAAGATTACAAGTGTCAAAATCGAATGAACATTCCATTTGTTATAAGTAACGGTGCAAAAATATATTTTCTTATTTAAAATTCGGTGACAATAAGTTTGAGATGCGCTCGCTTACATTCCATTCTATGCCTTATTTTTAACTTGCTAAGTGTCAAAATAGGTAAGTCACAATAAATGTGTATATAGATTATAGTACTTAAGTGCAATTAGGACATGATCACGGTAACGTTAGTGACATTTATTTTACTATGTGCAGAAAAGCATTTTTTTTTCATTTTTGTTTTTAAAGTCGGTCTACAATAAAAACTTATTTTCCCGAATTGTATTAGTTTATGATAAAGTGAAATTAAGAGATATAAATTTATTCATATAAGCCCTTATATATATTTTAGAAACTTGTGTCATGTCATTTTTTTAACTGCCGCTCGGTACAGGTAGTGTTCAACCGAGAAGAATGTGCTAGAAATACGGTTGTTACTCCTTTTAATGGGTATTAAATTTTATGTATGTAAGATGAGTAGCACAGAGACAAATCAATTTTTATTATTAGTTATTTTGTACTGATTATATAAATTAAAAAAGCGACGATTGACTAGATAAAAACATATCCACACTATTGAGAGATGTATTGAGAGTCGGCACTACCTATAAATAGCTGAACTATTGACAAGTGAAGAACTGCAGACTAATTTTCGACGCGATCGGATTGACACATTCAAATTGGAATCATCGAAACTACATCATATGGACGTTAAACGTAGTAAAAGAATGCCATAAAAATACTATGAGTGTATGCATTATGAAATAATAATAGAATGTCGTAGCAAACAAACTATTAAAAATGTACTTCCTTATTCGCAACGTGTCGTCTCCTTTTAATTTGAACGGATGATGTAAATATAATGATTTTGACGTGGAAAATAAAAGTGTAAGCAAAGCAAGACAAAAAATATTTGCGATCTTCCTTACACTTTCATGTTTTAATTATAATAGTGTCTCGTTCTATTATTGTCGTTGTACAAAAAGCTTCGTATAAAATCTATGTAGTATGTAAATATGAATTTGAAAATTTTACATTATATCTATAGGACAGAGAGTTAAAACTTTGAATGTTGCCTTACTTTATTGTGTTGATATCTAGGTGGTTGCATAGATTTAATTTTCAATTTCGTTATTATAAAGACAGTGCCGACTCTTAAATGACATAGTGTTTGCTTGCTCTGTAGTAACAGATGCAGTGGAAAAAAAAAACAAAGGATGAAGTAGAAAACAAATTGTTCTAATGTACGAACAATCATAGAACTTCGCCAAGTATTATGTACGTGGCGAATTCATAGCTTATGATACGTGTACTGATTACTATGCTTATAAATCAACCACCATATTGAAAAACTTTCTCATAATTTGGCGCCAAATATTAATGTTCAGATTTAATCTGGTCATGCAAAGAGAAGATATGTATGTATGCAAGTTGAGATTTTTTTAAATTCTTTGGCGCCAATTTTTTTTTTAATCTGCCATCAATCAGTCCAAGACCAGATATGACTGTATGCGATAATGTAGTTATTTATCTACGTAAATAAATCGTCAAAAAAAATGGATGTTTACGTCAACTGCCGAGCTCTGCCATGTTGAATTGCACTTAGCATTCGCACGTCGTTATAGCATGCTGTGGGTGTAATTTGACATTTTGAAGTTTATATATATTTAAATAAAACTATATTTGTGAGAGAAAAAAATAAAGCTCGTCTTTATTTAAATACACTTGTTTATTAGAAATACTTTTAATTCGTCACTTATGATTCAAATTTAGTTTCTTGGAGTCGAAGTAACTCAAAGTAATAACTGATATTTATTTATTTATTTAAATTTTTTTTTGCACCATAAACAAAAATATACAATGACAAGTAAATAATTCAAGTGAAATACAGTAACATAAATACAGATTGAAATGTACACAAAGGTACAAAAGGCGGTCTTATCGCTAGGGCAATCTTTTACAGACTTCCTGATAATCAAATATTTTGTGAAATACTTAAATTATGTTTTAGTAATTTTTTGTCTATGGTTTTAATCATCCACACCATACTATAATGCACAAAGTAATAACACTGGCGACTAATAAAACTTGCAGTATTCCATTTTTAAAGACACCCGTGCCTTGACACTCGGCTTTAGACACGCGCTAGCTGAGTAGCAATTGACTGGATAGTCGTGATAGTGAGATCTGATTCGGATTCTATGTAAGTCCTAATCAGTGCGCAGACGCAGAGAATGCAGGTTAATATCGCTCCTGCACATTCTATATTATTTGTGGTGAAAATACTACATCTTGACAAAATATAAAATAAAAATAATAATAAATAGGTCAAGAATTAGCATATGCCACAAATATATTATGGAATTGAGAACAGCCTTTTAAATAAGTAAATATAAATATAAAGTTCTTACACAAATAAACCATCAATACTGACTGTGAAATAATATTTATTTTTTAAAATTTTAAACCTCCAAAATAAGTTCTAATCATTTAGGTGTCAACAATACCGAAATCTAACAACACATGGTGTTTTTTTTATCTATGATAATGGAATAGTAACCCCACTCGCGCTGACGGTATACACTGCCTGGGCTCCAGTGAATAATGATAGATTAAAATTAAAAGGCAGGTTAGTTCAGCGTGGTAAATACACCTGAAATTCAGCACGATGGTTTCCAGGGAGGACCACGTGGAGGTCGAACTGACAAGGTATATTGCTAGCAATGGGACTGGTAGTTCGCATTACTTACAATCCTTCTCCCTCCCCCAGTCCTTCATAAAGTGGTTAGAGGCCTTGCGAGCGAATTCTTGTTCGATACTTCTCCATACTTGGTAATGTTGAGGTGCTAAGAAATGACCAAGAGACTTGAATTGATCAATAAAATTCGCAATTTTGTACGTTATTGTTACGGCATTATAGTCTAAATCCATTTTAATTTAATTTTCAATCAGATTTTAAAATTCAATCGGATTCCATTCTGATGTAATGCATTTAAATGTGGAGCTTTTAGTATTTTTTTTTATTTTTAATATTGCCTGCATTCTGTGTGTCTATGCTTTATTCGTAGCATTTTGTGATGTATATATAACACTGGGCCTAATTAGTGCCTTGCGGTACACCTTACAGTAATATTAAGTTTTCTTTATAGTATTTTTATTGGTTAATCATATAATTAAGAGTATTGGTTATGAATTTAGCGGCAAAGTATTTATATTATTGATTATAATCATTTAATGTTATGACTGTATGTATGCTGGCTCAGATGCGCGTCGAGTTCTATTATGAAAAAAAAAAGGTTTTTTTTTTTTCAACAATTTTTTTTTTTAGTTTTCTATATACCAGTTCGTCTATGCTTTGCTATTGCTTATTTTTGGATATTTTTAGAAATATAAACGTTCTATCTTTAAAACGTTTTATCTGAAAGTAATATAGAAAATAATTAACCTGTACCAGAAAGAGCCAGAGCTAATTGCCGTTACTAAATACATCACAATGTTTATAATTTAAATGGCGGGAAAATAAACTTACTCTGTTGTTTCTGTCAGTTGTCATCCAGTAGTATTAGGTAAAAAAAAAAAAAAACGAGCGAATGTACTCGTTCGTGAGACGCAGATCTGTAGTCAGCATTGGTTTTTTTTTTTTTTTTTATAAGATAACTGAGTTTACTTATACTTTAGAATAGTTTCTTTTATTAAATATATTTTAGTTGACATACTGGGAGATTAGTATAAGACATATCGTATGCAATATCAATTTAAAATAATATAAAATGCTCAGGTATTAATTTAATATTTGGATATCTTTATTAATTCATTATAATTATGGTCTACTTTAATAGAATTTAATGAGAATGTAACCAAGTCTTGTTAAAATTTTTAAATGAGCACTCACTAAATTAAATCGATAATAAATCGAGTCATTCAACCGATTAATCGATTTTTTAATTGTACTCGTATACAAATATGCTGATTATTTTTATTTATTAATTTTATTACATTTAAATGAAAATACCATCTGTTGACGTTCTATATTATATTTTTTGTTGTAATTCATTTGTTTTTAATTTTTTCTTACAACTATAATTACCAATTTATCTTAAAAGGTTCATTTTGAACAATCATTTATTAAATCATTCTATTGGGCATCAGCAGACTGTCTTATGATTGTGTCAATTATTCGTTTTGTTTACATTTTCATTAAATTCCATGGTAACGGACTACAGTAATTTATTACCCGTCCTCTGGTAGGATTTGAAGGTGTTACCCATATCGACGGTTAACTGCAAATGTCGAACATTGGCAAAATTAAACAAAGTAATATCAGAATATATCAACTAACTAATGTTGCTAAATAACTAAGAAAGCTAACTCGCTGATAATGTAGTTTTCTATAGGTGAATTTTTTAAAATCTAAGTAGTTTTTGTTTATATAAATTACAAACAAAAAACCAAATCTTTCCTCTTTATAATAATTAATTTTAATTACAAATACAAATAAAAGTAAAAAAGTTGGTTTTAACATCAATTCTCAATAGGAATGTTGATGTAACAATTATTTCTCTATCTAACATAGGAAAGGAGATAGGTAATTTGGGTCGTATACTCGTTTGCCACCATAGTAGTACAAAAAAAAAGTTAGCAGAAATGTGTACTGAAGATCAGGCTGTATGACTTAGTTCTTTTGCCTTTCGTATTGTGGATAAATTGATACCACAACTATTTTTTAAATGTCAGGAGCAATTTATGGTTAACCGTCGGAAATGTGTTTTCCGCATATTATATAAAATTAATTATGAATATAATACTAACACGAATAAATTGTTATATGTAATAATGGTTTTTTTCAAAACTGTTCAGTTTTTATCAAAAAACATGGCTACGTGACCGCGCTGTTTGTACAGAAGTTAAGTAAGTTATTAAAAATCTGATTTAGTCATATTTCGAATGTGAAATTTATAAAAGTTGTTCAATTTTATGAATCGTTCTTTTTTGGGTTTGTGTATAACTTTCACGATTAATCCTGTATTAATTCGTTCGTTAATCACAATTTTTTTTTTAATATATCACTATTTTTTCACGATATTTTTAAATCTTCAATTTTACTGTGGTTTTATTTTTTGATAATTGCTTTTATTAATCTAACTGTCCACTGCTGAACGTAGGCTCTCTCCTTAGAGAATTTTATCAGTAGTTGCCACGCTTGGCAAGCAATTTGGCGCAGTTAGGTTTTGGTGATGTTTTAAGAGAGACGCTGCTGCCCATTCTACTCGACCACTATTGATAATTGCTTATTGCTTCAATATTTTTTTTTTTAAATTTTACAGAATATAAAAAAAAAAATTAAATTAAGGTTGACAATTATAAGTATTTTTAATACTTATAATTGTCAACCTTTATCAAGAGTAAATTAATTATTAAATTATTAAATCTATAGTATTATTTTAAATTCGCTATCGTTCCTATCAATATTGTATAACGAGTCGATTAGAATCGATTATTATGTCAATTATAATCAAATTGTGTAACGCCTTCATATCGATTCGATCGTTAGTATCGATAGTATCAATAGACAATTCGTAATTTTGATAATTCTGGGTGAAAACTATCGATTATTAAGTAATGTAAGTACCAGCTTTGCTAGCCAATACATTTACTAGATACAAAATAATAAAGTACTTTAATAATTCTCGACTATTTTATATTAAAACTGAACATAAATCCACTATTTAATTTACTAAAATGAATTTAACATTACGTTATTGTTACGGTACAAATTTGGCTGTACTTCCATTGCATCATATGTCAATTTATAATAAAAAAAAAAAAACTAAGTATTGTAAAGACAAATTGCTTTATACACGAAGTTGATTGAAAAAATCATGTGCTAAATATGTTGGTATTTCTGGTTATATTTATACAATGTTATTATTATTTATATATTATTAGTATTTTTTTATTTCTATTATGTGTATTAATTGTTCATACATGTAATTCATTATACTTATGTACTTAATTTTTTTTTTTTTTACTATTATCACGCGCTGCCTTTAGTGTTATATTAAGTATAAATATATGTATGCGTATGTAGGGTGAAATTTAAATAATTTTTAGATAAATAAGTGGAACTGATGACTTTATTTGAAATTGGTGAAAAATGACGAAAATTTTAAAACTATACTCTCTTGACAGCTGGTTGCCGCCATTTTAGTATGGGAGATACAGAATTTTTCGTTGTTTTTCTCTTTATGAATGTCGGTTAGTTTTACTATGCTTATGATTTGAATTTCACATCGTGGAACTGATATTGACCGAGTTTTAGTTGATTTTGTCTCGAATAATTCAAAATAGGGTATTTAAAGTTCAAACAAAGTGTAACGAGATGGATATGACAAAGGGAAATCCAGCAGTAGTTCATTCACTGTGTTCTGTTAGCAATGTGTATTTATGAAAATGAAATAGCAACAGAAAATAATAGAATAATAATATAGTAGTCGGAAATAGCAACGCATAAGCATCACGTCTATGTATTGGCGACGGTTACCACTTTTAATTAAATGGCTCATTTAATGAAAAGTGGTAACCATGTTTATTATCGTGCTCAGCGTGTTTATTAAGTTTTAAAATAAAATTTTCCTCCAAAGCACTTATAAATTGTTTTATTAAAATGAAATTTGTACTTTCATATAAACCGCGCGGTCACGTGGTTTTTTTAATGGATAATAATAGATCGTTAGCCCCGCCTGCGCTAACGGTATACACTGGCGGGGCACCAGTGAAGGATGATAGGTGAGGATGAAAAGGCAAGTCAGTTAGCCCATCGTAACGAATTCAACAATAAATTAGTGACGATAGTTTCCTGAGGGAACCGCATGGAGGTCGACCTGATAGGGTATATTGATAGCAATAACCTCCCCATTACTAACAATCTTTTACCCCCCACCCCCGCGGTCACGTGGTTGTTCCAAGATAAAAATAACTTATTTTCTTACCCGATTTTTTTTTATAAAGCTAAGGTGGGAGTGATTTCTTATTGTTATATCCTTTCTCCTACACTCTCTAGTTTGTAAATGAAAATTACGTAATTACATACAAATTAAACTTTCATGCCGCTAAAATTGGTAAATTACGGGTATTTTGAGTAAAACTGTACTTAGATTAAGCCTAATTTATATTACGAAACATGTTTCGCGACGTTTCATCAACAGTTTCAAATGTAAACAACTAATCTTATATTATTGATAATAAAACTGTTGCGTATTAATATTAAATATAAAAAAAAGAAAGTATAAAGACATTTTCTGTATTACAAAAGACGGCCTTATCGTTAAAAATAATCTCTTGTAGATAAGCTGTAATGCATACATTTCGTAATTTCACTTCTATGTTTGCGCGCGATTGAATAGGAGTGTATATCTACACACCTATGTCACGTCTGTTAGCTATCAAGATGTTTAACTTGGCATTATTAAAGTTTGTTAAATAATAATTCATTCGTAATTAAATAAACATGAATTACAATAATTACTAATTAATTAAAATAATTAATTACTCTTATTTAATTACGATTAAATTATTACGAGACATTACATTCCGACATCATGCATCAATTAGGCTTTATCACAAACTCGGTTGAAGTATGTTAAATTAAATTCCTATACAATAATAAATGGAAAATTGTTGATTGGCTCAAATGAGATGGTCCAAGTGTAAACAATATTATACTCGTATTAGTCAAATATCATAGTTTAAGGGTTTTATTTACACTAAGCACCTGCGTTGTATGTAATGAAATATATTCTTATTTAAATTTGGAAATCTTTTTATTTGTTCCCTCCCCAAACATCCACATTCCATTTTTTTTTTATACAACTTAGAATGGCAAACAAGTTGACGGCCCACCTGATGAAAAGTGGTAACCGTCGCCTATAGACATGAGCAGTATCATGGGCATAACAGAATATACGAGGTCTGTCCGGAAAGTTCGTATAAAAGTGTTCTGGAATGCGAGAAAGAGGAGTGGGGAGGCCAGGTAAGCGCAGGACCCCTTCCTTATGTCCCTAACAATGCTTCAGTTCTGGTCTGACCGCCGTGCGGTGCGAACTGGCTTGTCACGCCATCTGTGAAGTTACCTCTTAACGAAACCCCGTCGGCATGGAGCCCGCTTCCGTTGAAGAGCAGCGCGTCGTAATCAAGTTTCTCTCGAAACTCGGCAAGAATGGCCGTGAAATTTTTGCCGATCTCAGAACAGTTTATGGGGATGATGCTGTGAAGGAACCAACCGTCCACAAGTGGCTAAAAAGATTCAGAGAGGGCCGAGAAAGCGTTCAAGATGACCCACGTTCAGGACGTCCTTCCACTTCACATTCCGACGAAAACGTGGAAAGAATTCGAACTTGTGTTAATGGGGACCGTCGTTTAACGGTCAGACAGGTGGCTGAAGAGCTTAATTTGGGCAAAACCGTGGTCCACGAAATTCTAAGAAACGAACTTCAAATGAAAAAAATTTGCGCCAAGATCGTTCCGTGAGTTTTTGAGTAAAAATTCCATTACGGTGACCGAACACCCCCCTATTCGCCGGATTTGGCCCCGTGTGACTTCTTCTTGTTCCCAAAAACCAAATTGGTACTTCGGGGGCGGCATTTGGGGGACATAAATGAGATAAAAAAAGCTACGACGGGGCAGCTGAGAAACCTACAACCAGAGGACTTTCAAGGAGCCTTCTCACAGTGGAAACGGCGTTGGCACAAGTGCATTATGTCACAGGGGGAGTACTTTGAAGGGGATAAAATTGATTTACCTGAATAATTGTAAAATAAAATTTTTAAAAAACTTTTATACGTACTTTCCGGACAAACCTCGTACTGTTTCGCCCATGTGTTGCCATTCCTGAGGCCTCAGATGTTATTCCTCTGTACCCAGTAAATTCACGCCATATCCCACCCTTCAAACCGAAACACAGCTATGCAAAAACAACTGCTTCACGGTTGATACACGAATGCGACAGAGGTACCCAAGCAATCGACTTTTGTACAAAGTCTTCCTCTGGTATTTATTTTTAAATCAAAACCTGACTTCAATTTTGATATTAGCGTTCTACCAAAGTAGTTGCCGTGTGGTCCCGGCATAGAATGGGTCACCCCTTTCTTTCCCGTGGGTGTCGTAAAAGGCGACTAAGGTAACATAGTGGTTGAGGGATGGGTAGCAGCATTCCTCTTAAAGATCACCAAAAGCCTAACTACGGTTGCTAATCCGCCTTACAAACGTGGCAATTACTGGCAAAACTCCCCTAGATACGGGAGGCCTATGTTTAGCAGTGGACAGGTAATAAAAAAACTGAATGATTTTAGCTAAAAGTAATCAAGTACCCAGTCGAATAATTAGTAATAGGATTTGTAAAGTCGCGCATCGCTATTTTAAACGAATCTTTCGAAGTCCTATTATTCTTTAACACACCGACCCCCTTTAATAAAGGACGCGACCCTCCACCCCCCAAGGTCTCAACTCCCCGGTTGAGAAACAAAGCTCTAAAAGTTTCGGTGTTCGATTACTTCATTAGACTGTAGAAGTATTTCATTTATTTCTAATAGATGCTTTTAATGAAGGCATTCAATTATTTTTCGTTTATGTGTAACAATGACACGAGAAATGTTTCATATTATTTCATTTAATGAAGATAATTGAATAGAATGTAAATAATGTTTATTCAAATAGACTTGTTTACAAGCTGTAAATCTAATAAATGTTCAGTCATTTAATATAATTTTTCGTTTATGTGAAACGATGACACAACGGGTCTTTGTTGAAAAAACTCACGACAAGTATGTTAAGAAACAAATATATCACTGCATATATAAATCAGGGATTTCAAACGGATTACATATAATATGAATATGTTTATAAATATGTTTATGAAGTGCACTGATAAACTAAGGATATTTTTAATAGATGATAATGGAATAGTAACCCTGCGTGCGCTATCGGTATACACTGGCGGGGCACCAGTAATAGATAAGAATAAAGCAGGTCAGTTAGCACATCGTGACGAAATTCACAAGAATTAACCACGATGGTTTCCAGGAGGATCCGCGTAGAGGTCGACCTGATGGGATATATATTGCTAGCAATGGAGCTGTTTAACCTTATTATTAACAATTCCTTCCCCCCCCCCCCCCCCCCAGCGCCAAAGAGCTGTGGATGTTTTTAAAAAGAATATTAACCCTGCCTATGTGAACAGTATACGCTGGCGAGATGACAGCTAGGATGAAAGCAGGTCAGTTGACCTATCGATAATTCTTTTTGAATTCGTCAATTCAAAAAGAATTATCCATGATAGCTTCCAAGAAAAACCGCGGGGAGATTGACCTAATAGGGTAAATTTTTTTAATAGGTAGTGATGGAATAGTAACCCCGCCTGCGCTAACGGTATACACTGGCTGGGCATCAGTGTGAGATGATAGGTGAAGACGAAAAGGCAGGTAGCCAATCGTGATGAATATACGTGGAATTCAGCATGATGGTTTCCAGAGGGACCACGGGGATGTCGACCTGTTAGGGTATATTATTAGCATCGGGGCCCTTAGTCTCGATTATTAACGATTCTTTTTCTCTCAACAAGATGCATTGTTAGCAATGAGAAGTAAGTTCCTCTTACTAACAATCCAGAGGGAGACTTTGTACAAAAGTCGATTGCTTGGGTACCTCTGTCCCATTCGTGTTTCAACCGTGAAGCAGTTGTGTTTGCATGGCTGTGTTTCGGTTTGAAGGGTGGGATATGGCGTGAATTTACTGGGTACAGAGGAATAACACCTGAGTCCTCAGGAATGGCAACGCATGGGGGGTATCATGGGCGAAACAGTATACTCTGTTATGTCCATGGTACTGCTCATGTCTATAGGCGACGGTTACCACTTTCCATCAGGTGGGCCGTCAGCTTGTTTGCCATTCTAAGTTCTATAAAAAAAAAAAAAAAAAAAAAAAAATCCCTTTCTCCCACTATTAAGTCAGCTGTGAGCGGGATATATATCTAAATATGTCAGTCAGGCAGTGAGACAGGTACTTATTTAAAATATCCGTTCTCGTCCCGGTTTTCAGCGGCGAAAATACTTTTGACCTTGTTTTTAATGTCTTCGCCACGAAAATGGGTTATTAACCTTGATTTAGGGTTGCTTCTTTTTACGCGGTATCCAGAGAAACCCAATATATAGATATTGGAACGGTAGGGATAAATTTATTTGCTGATAATGGAATGTGCCCGTCTGTGCTATCGATATACACTGGTGGGGCACCAGTGAGGGATGATTGGTGAAGATGACTACTGATCAGCTGACCAGCATTCACCCATACGTACACGTAGTCCTCCATGACAAATATAGACAAATATTCACGATGCTTTCCAGTGGCAACCGCGTGGAGGTCGACCTGATAGGGTATATATTGCTAGTAATGGAGCTGTTAAACCTTATTATTAACAATCTCTTTCACCCCGGTAACAATGTAACTTATGCCCATCGAACTATGGCATCAAATGTTTTACATTCATTCCCATACTATGGAAAGGTCGTCCTAATGTTTTTGTTTTCCACCTTCATTGTCTGAAAAAAATATGAAACGAAGCCAAATATTCCTTTCATAGAATCTATAATTATGTAAATAGACAGTCATAATAACCAGACCTACCGTTCCAAAAAGAAAAAATAAAATAGGTACTTTTGCTTTTATGAACGAAATAGTACAAAAGTATCTACTTTTGTACTCCTTCGTTCGCTCGATTGCAGAGTAAAGTAGGTCTCTCCTCTCTATGAGAGCGATACAATACTTCCTTCTCCTCTCTACATCCTCTGCTAATGTAAAGACGCTCTTTACTCACAGTAAAAACTTGTAATATCAGAAATTTTTAACGAGTGAGAATGAAATATTAACCCCGCTTGCGCTATCAGTAAAGACTAGCGGGGCACCAGTGAGGAATAATGTATAATGAGAGCAGATCAGAGGGCCTACCATGAAATGTTTTCCGAAATTTCGGATCCGAACGAAACAAAAATTTGATTTTAAAATTACTTGATACATACCGTTTAAAAATATTATAAATGCTAAAGTATCGTTCTTTTTTACTTTTATGGTAGGATTTATGAAAAATGAAATGAAAAATGAAATGAAAAATTGAGCCCGAAAATTCGGAATTTCATTTCATGGTAGTCCCTCAGGTTTGCACATAGTGACGAATTCTGCAAGAAATAACCATGACAGTTTCCAGACGTCAACGACCTGATAGAGGATATAGCTAACAATGAGGACATTACTTACAATTCCTTCCCCCCCCCCCCCATCTAATAACAATATTAGCCTACTTCTTAATACCAAGTTGGCAAAGTAGCTTAGATACCTATCTACGGTAGTACGTATTTCGATTTGACCATTACCCCATTTCGGTCGCCAAATTGAACCTCCACTGCTCCCAATTTCATATTCAATTCTAACACCGTACAATAAAGTATAAATTTCTATGATTGTTTATATTTTTTTTAATAATTTTTGCATTATTAATACATCTCGACTATAGAAGTGATAAATTCAGTTCTACTCTTGAATCAGATAGGTTAAGTCTCGTTAAAATGTAAGTATAATTATTCTTATAACTCACCTAGTGCTTCAAAATGATCGACATCTTTGGTAATTCTTTAGTGCAGTTTACTAGGCTTATTAATAATATGGATTGGTAGTTAGGTCTTTTCTAATTGTATAATTGTTAGTTAGTGTACATTGACGCTTATCTGTGAGAGCTGTATACACCTTTAATTGATGTGTTCATATGGCCTTAAGCTTGGTAGTGAGGAGTAAGATTTTTTTTTTGTTCAAACATAGATTTAAGCATTTTTGAATAGTAGTTTTTCTCTTTTACTTACTAATAACATTGTATATTCTCTGCTTAATTATTGTGAGCATATTGTTGGTGTGTCTTTTATAAATAAATAAATAAAAACACTAACATTGCCTATACTTAGGTTAGATCTAAATAGGTAATTGTATGTAATTATTGAAAAGCAACCTAGTGACAATTTAAATAATTGGAAATTAAACTAACTGTGAAGCAAAATTAAATACATTTTATTTTAATTCAGAAACTTGCTACTTTAATAAACTTTTAATTTTACATGTATATTGTAATCAGAATTATTTTGTGATGTTTTAAGACTAAAATAATTTAAGTACGCCAAAACTATAAAAATCAAAACAAACAACAGTTTTGTCTAAACAAATAGAATGTTTAATGGTCAATAACACGCCAGTTAACAATTATTAGTTGCTTCCTGACTTTGTTTACAATGCGAAGGAAAGACGTCACAGTTCCATTGAGAACAGTAGAGCGTCACAAACTAAAATAATGAATCTGGTATATAATTATTTCAACTTAATAAATCACGCTTTTCACAACAACTCAACGTATCATTTTAGCCAATTTAATTGTTACAAAAATTATAAAATGTAATAATTTCGTGTCTCTTAATGCCAAACAATAAGATACAAAGTTAAACGACAAACTACCCTTGGCAATGGGAAATACGTTGCCAAGGTGTGGGCTTCCAGAAATAAATGTTACACGCTCTCCAGAAAATAGGTGAGTGTGCCAAGTTTCTTTGCCCTTTCATTAGTCTATTCAAAATTATCAGACCAGATGGTTAAACGGGACAAAGTGTTCGCGATAAACGCCTGTGTTCGTATTTTGAAATAAAAAAAAATAAACATTTAAAAAATACGTTGCGTTCCATTTACGTATTTATTATTTTGTGGCAGTGAAAAACAAAGCAGTGCATCATGGCCGACGAAAGTTATGAAGTGATTACTAGAATGGAAGATATCACAGAACAAGACGATAAACATTTGGCTGGCGCGAAAAAGGAAATAAGGAACGATCTCACTGTCATTATACCCGAAAATCCGTTTCCTGAAATAGAAGTCGATGCGTATCCACCCTTAAAGTTCTCATGGGTTATTCCCAAAAAGTTGGCAGCAATGGCTTTTCCGAGGAACAAGGAGAATGTTCAATTTATCGTCAATCAGGGTATCACACATCTGGTAACACTAACCGCTGGAAAAAAACCGCCAGTTGACGATGTTGCCAGGATAAGGTGGACAGAGATACCCATAGAAGAATTTGAAGCACCAACATTAGAGCATATAAAAAAGTTTATTGATGTGTGCAAAAGGGCAGATAAAAACGGTGAGGTAAGACTGTCTTGTCTATACTAGAATATTGTACATAAAAATATCTATTTCACTTAATTACTAATTTCTTTTTTCGAAAATCTGTGTACAAAATTTATTTGTTTATGTTTTTAATGGCTAACGAGATAAAATATTCCACTGTAACCTCTTATTACTTGTCTATTTATTTATTTATTTGGATAAATAAGCAAACGCTTTACATAAAAATATTTGAAATGTATTATTATATATTTAAATATTATTTCAGTCATTAACTATCGACTACTGAACCAGGTTTCCTCATATGGGTTTTTTTTTTCAATAATTGCCACACTGAACACGGGTTGGAAACCGCAGTTAGGCTTTTAGAGATATTTTAAAAGGGACGCTGCTGCCTATCCCTCGACCATAAGCTTCCTTAGTCGTCTCTTACGCCACCCAAGGAACATATTATAATATGATATAAGTATGTTAATTTATATAAATATAAACATGATAAGCGCATTACTTAGGAGGATGAATGATTTAGCATTTTTTTTTAATATTAGTATTACTATAATATATATTTTAATACTGCCAATAATACTAATGCCTAACTGCGGTTGCTAACGCGCCTGCCAACCGTAGCAATAACTGAAAAAAACCCTCTGTTATGAGTAAACTCTATATTCAGCAGTAAATAGTTAACGGCCAATATAATAATACAGGGGGGAAAGGGATTTTTAGTAACGGAGTCTAACTGCCCCATCTACTACCTCCTTCTAACACCACGCAGTTCCCCCTGGCAATCATCGTGGTTAATTCTAGTGCAATTCGTCACGATGGACTAACTGACCTGCTTTCATCCTCATCATCATCCCTCACTGGTGCCTCGCCAGCGTATACCGATAGCGCAGGCGGGATGACCATTTCATTATCACCCATTAAAAAAAAAACAATAATAAATATCATATTTAACATATATCTTATTATTGTTTCCATTGTTTCTGCCTACCCTAATGGGAGACAGGCGTGACAGATATGTATGTATGTATCTTATTATTGTGTCATGTAAAGTATATACAATAAAGATTTTACTGATGAAAAATATCAGCTGTCACCTATAGACATGAATAGTTCCGTGAACTTGAACCATGAACGAAGCCCAAGGCTTTTTAATTCCTAAAGACTTGGGTTTCCCTCCATTCCCTATAATTTCACTGGTACTTTTTTTCAAATCGAAATGCAGCCGTACGAACAGCTGCTTCACGGCAGAAACAATAGTGGAACCCGGGGGGAAAGGGATTGTTAGTAATAAGGAAATTGACCCATTGCTAGCAATACACTCAATCAGGACTTCCACGCGGTTCCCCCTGGAAACCGTCGTGGTTAATTCTGGTGTCATTCGCCACAATGGGCTAACTGACCTGCCTTTTCATCCTCACCTGTCATTCCTCACTGGTGCCTCGCCAGGGTATCCCGATAGCGCAGGTGGGGTTACCATTCCATTATCACGAATTAAAAAAAATAGTGGAACCCATAAAAATTACGTTTGTACAAGCTCTGATTCTCCCCAGGTTGTAGGCGTCCACTGCCGGCAAGGTCGTAGCCGCTCAGGCGTGATGTTGGCGTGCTACCTGGTACACTTCCACAGGTTTCTACCCGACCAGGCCATGAACGTCATCAGGATGGTGAGAACAGGTAACAACTTTATTTTTATCTTTTATGCAACTTAGAATGATAAACAAGCTGAAGGGCCCACCTGACGGAAAGTGGTAACCGTCGCCTATAGACATGTGCAGTATTATGGACATAACAGAGTATACTGTTTCGCTCACGATACTCCCCATGCGTTGCCATTCCTTTATCGGTATTATGGACATTTTTAACGTAGATAAACGAATCCTTACTAATATTAATATATAAATATGAAAGCGAGTTTGTTTGTTTGTCACTAAAATAACAAAACTTATAGTGCCTTTACGGTAATCACTATGAAATTTGGTATACACGTACTATATGAAAAGTAGAAGGTAATAGACTCCTTTCATCCCGGTCAATAAACATATCTCAGTCGCGCGAACGAAGTCGCGGGTAAGAGCTAGCTTTATTAAAATATTTTTTGTTGTTTACTAGCGATTAGATCCGACGTAGAAGACTTAAATGAAATAGAAGCTTAACACAACACACACAATAGCAAATCAGCGTTTTGCTCTTTTGAGGGCAAAGCAATTAACTGAGATGTGACCATTTTGTCTTACTGTGGCGGACTCACGAGAAATTGTGTAACCCCTTTTATGTACTTTTTTACTGTTTTTTTTTATATTTTTTTTTTATTTCTTTTCAAATATGTACCAATAGCTAATATTATTTGTGTGCCGCAAGTGATGCAAATAAATTATATCTATGTATTTATATTTACTTTAGCGAGATAGATTACCTGCGACTTCGTCTGCATGACCGAGATGAACAGATATTTTCACTGACTGACAAAAAATAGCCAATGCCTTCTCCATTCTTGTACAGTACGCGTGTGCCAAATTTTATAATGATTGGTTTAGCCGTTAAGATACCAATAGGTAACAAACAAACAAATTCACATTTATAATAATAGTTAGGATTAAGTTTTTTTTTATTTATATTTTTTTATTTATTTATTTATAGGATTACCAACAAACAGCAAATCATTTTAATAAGTAGATTAGATCTAACTGTTCTTACATTTATAGGCAACCACAGCATGCCTTGTGTTAAACATTAAAAATTAAGCAATTATAAATAAAAATAAAAAAAAAAACTTAAAAATTAACGAAATCGACAAATTCGAAAAAGTTTATACTAAGCAAAATAGAAATACTTAATTACGTTTTTTCCTAAATAAATACTGTCATTAGAACTAATTTATTACTAAAGTTTTATTACATACAGATAATGCAAATAGATAAAAACTACATTATTATATATTAATTTCATCTTATTTTACCTATCCCATATGGTCTAGTGGCTAGGATACCTGGCTTTCACCCAGGAGGCTCGGGTTCGATTCCCGGTATGGGAACCAGAATTCTTGTTAACCAATTAAAACTACATCATATTGCATGACAGTGGGTGAAAATATTTATTAGTTTTTATAACATTGTTAATTGAATTCCAATTATTTATTTTGAAACTACAGTCATTATTTAGCCATATTAGGTCACAACTCTAAAACGTCTCAGTAATGACGTCGTTTTGGCGTCGCAGAAGTCTTTTTATGATGCTACTTTGTAAAATTACATTGAATATGCACCAGTTGCGTTAATGTTAACTGAATCTATTATAATTATTAGGTTTTTATATAATAAACTAGCTGACTCGGCAAACGTTGTTTTACCATATACCTTATTTCTAGAACTATACATGAAAATTTATCATACTACAATTATTATATTCGATTGCCATCTTGCAACCCTATTGCGGAATATAAAAATCGCAATTAAAAAACAGGAGCTGATTGTAAAAGCGGGAAATTTGAATGAAGTTGAATGAATATTTTTCATATATCATAGTAAAATAAAATTAAAAAAAATTATCGAAAAAATAAAAAAAAATATTTAGGGGTGGGTCACCCTTATCATCAAGGGGTATGAAATATAGATGTCGGCCGATTCTCAGACCTATCCAATATGCACACAAAATTCATAAAAATCGGTAAAACCGTTTCGGAAGAGTTTGGTAACAAACACCGCGACACGAGAATTTTATATATTAGATATATTAACAGCCAGAAAATTATTGTGTATTATTTTATTTTAATCTAATTTGACATACTCAGCGAACTATGGAAAGGGCTGTGTTCGGAATTTCGTGCATGATAGAATCTGAAATAAAAAATCCGCAATAAATCCAAAGTAACCTACATAAGCAAGTAGAAGTGGCAGGGGGGAAAAGGGATTGTTAGTAATGGAGACTAAGAATCCCATTGCTAGCAATATACCCAACCAGGTCGACCTCCTCGCGGTTCCCCCTGAAAACTATCATGATTAATTCCTGATGCATTTATCATGATGGGTTAACTGGCCTGTTTTCATCCTCATCGATCACCCTTCACTGGTGCCCCGCCAGCGTATCGCAGGCGAGGTTACCACTCTATTTCATCCAATAAAAAAAAAGTAGAAGTGGCAATGTCATATAGCTCGAAGAACCAACAACCATTGGGATAGAAAGGGTCTTGACTATGGTGACCCCGTACGGGCAAACGCAGTGTCAGACTAGGCTTTTTGTTAAATATTTTCTAAGGGGCTAGCGTGAAAGTCGCAGCTGACGTATTAATAAACTATTGTATTTATGACAGGTTCCCTGGACTTCCCGGAGCATGAGGAGGCAGTGGGACGGTACTTCGAGTATTTGACAGAAGACAACCCTCTCAAATTTGGTGTTAGCGGCGACGTGATGGACGAATTCATTGAAACAGCAAAGGAGACAACGAAGAAGGCATTATAAACTGTATTAGGTTTTAATTCATAATTATACCTATTCATAAATACTGTATTTGGGAATCGAGTTGTAACTTGTACCTGATGTAAATTAAAATGGATTTTGATACATTTATTTTTTTTGTACCAATTTACTGGAAGACAGTGAATTCATAGGTCACAATTAATTTATAATGCCGTATTTTTTTTAATGGGTGATAATGGAATGGTAACACCACCCGCGCTATCGGTATACACCGGCGGGGTACCAATGAGGGATGATAGATGAGAATGAAGCAGATCAGTTAGCCCATTGTGACGAATTCAACAAGAATTGTTCACGATGGTTTCCAGGGGGAACCACGTGGAGGTCGACCTGATAGGGCATATTGCTAGCAATGTCGAACTCCATTGCTAACAATACAATGCCATAGAGTCCCGGCATAGTATAGGCCATCCCTATCTTTCCCGTAAGAGGCGACTAAGGAAGAGCAAGAGATAGGCAACATCATCCCTCTTAAAATATCTACAAAATCTAACTGCGGTTGCCAAACCGTATGCCAAGTGTGGCAACTACTGGTAAAATCCTGCAAGAGAGAAGCTTTTGCAGTATTGGACAGTTAATAAGTTAAGGTACTTGCGTGTCATATTTTTCTATCAAATTATTTACTTATTTGCAACTCCTAATGATACAAATAACAAAATAAAAAAGTACCGCGCTCTATGAAACAGCCGCGATAGACTATAATAAAAATACTACAAAAAATTATGTTTACAACGATGGAGTCTTGTTAAGGAGATCTGGTAACGTCATTCTTGGAAATAAACTTATATTAATGACGGCATTAACGCTATAAATAGATTATTTGCGTAGTCGAAATGCGCACCAACTTTCCAGCAGAAATTAATTTACAAGAACTTGGCAAACACACATTTTCACACTTACAAAATTATTCCTTCTTAGTGACAATACTCGTTTTATTGCAATTTTAGAACCAGAGGGAGACTTTGTACAAAAGTCGATTGCTTAGGTACCTCTGTCCTATTCGTGGTTCAACCGTGAAGAAGTTATGTTTGCATGGCTGTGTTACGGTTTGAAGGGTGGGATATGGCGTGAATTTACTGGATACAGAGGAATAACATCTGAGTCCTCAGGAATGGCAACGCATGGGGGGTATCATGGGTGAAACAGTATACTCTGTTATGTCCATGGTACTGCTCATGTGTATAGGCGATGGTTACCACTTTCCATCAGGTGGGCCGTCAGCTTGTTTGCCATTCTAAATTGTATAAAAAAAAATCTAAATCGTGTTATATCGTATTCGCCTTTAACTGTCCACTGCTGAGCATATGCCTCTTCCATAAAGGAAAGTTTTCCCAGTAGTTGCCATACTTGGCAGATGGGTTGGCTACCGCAGTTTGGTGTTGGTGATGGTTTAAGAGATACGCTGCAACCCAATACTCGATCATAGAACTCGGGGTTTAACAGCCCCATTGCTAGCAATACACCCTATCAGGTCGACCTCCACGCAGTTCCCTTTGGAAACTATTATAGTTAAATCTTGTTCAATTGGTCAATATGGGCCAACTGACCTGCCTTCATCCTCACCTGTTACCCTTCACTGGTACACCGCCAGCGTACTTCGACCAGCGCAGGCGGGAATACCATTTCATCATCATCGTTTAAAAAAATGCCTCTGACTATCTCATTATAGATTATAGTCGTGAGCATATTGATTATCGACTTAATACGAACATTGATCAAAGAAACTAAAATCAAAATATAGAACAACAAATCCTCATCAATATAAATTGGCATATTACAAGCCATGTCTAAATGTCAGTCTGTCTCTGCCAAATGTTAGCCAACGTCTGTGTACTGGCACACGTCCAGGCGAAATGTCTGCTCCAAACGGCACACTCTTAAAATAAAATACAAACTATAGATAATTACTGTATGTTTCGGAAGCGGGTTTCGCCTCGATTTTATGTGAAAGTGTTAATTGTTTGTGAATGAAATCCCTTTGAGGTGAGTTCGTTTGGTTTGTTGTTGTAAATGTACATATATAATTTAATACGGACAATATTTAAATAAACTTTTAGGTTACTAGAATAAAGTACAAAGAATCTTCATTAGATATATCACCCTTGACACATTTTGTTGTAATCCAATACAAATATTAATTATATCTTAGTAATTAGGGTGGAGGGGAGGGGTACACTTTGTACAAAAGTCATTTACATAGGTAGCTGTATCTCACTTGTGTTTCTGCTGTAAGACAGCTAAGATTGCATGGCTGTGTTTTCGGGTTGAAGGATGTGCGAATTACAGTGTACCAAGGCATTACGAATGGAAGTACGCCTTACATGATTATTTATTATATATATTAGTTACCTATCAATAAAATTATGCTATATCCAAACATGGTTCATATACTTTTTCTTCCTAAGAATATTGTAACAACTCTATATTATGTACATGAATGCATTATAATAAATAAATAAAAACGTCCAATCTCTCAAAAACCTATTTTAGCTATTAAAATGTTTTGTCCTTCCCTTATGTGTTAAATTTATTTATTTATTCTTTATTTTAATTCTATATTTATTCTATATTAAAACTTTATACAAGTGGCAAGCTTAATGGCATACAATAATATGGCATACTCTACCAGCTAACCATTTTTTTTAATGGATGATAATGGAATAGTAACCTCGCCTGCGCTAACGGCGGGGCACCAGTAAGAGATGATAGGTGAGGATGAAAGTAAGTCAGTTCCTCGCTAAGAATTTTTAAAAAAAATCAAGATGATTTCCAGTAGGAACTGCGTGGAGGTATATTGTTAAGAATGGGGCCTCTAGTCCCATTACTAACAATTCCTTTCACCCCACCAGGTTACCATTAGCTAAATTCTCAATTTAAAAGAGCGACAAATAAAATAGGTTGCTATTTTAGTTTTTGTGAATAAGGGGGTTGTCCTCAGGAATGGCAACGCACATGGGGCACGACGGGGCATCAGAGAGTATTATTCTATGGTGTGCATTGTGATTCATGTCTATAACACTTTCCATCAAATGGAAAGTCAGTAGTGTCCAATTACAAAATGCTTAAAAAAATTAATGGTAGTTTACTATTTCTTTTTTCAAAGTAAAAATAAAAATGTACGAAGTTACATACATTGGCGGGTACTCCTGTCGTTATCAATCAAGCATATTCCTTGCACGTTGTGTTCTAATTTCAAAATTGATATATTTTTAATATAAATAATTTATATATAAATTAGGTAGTGTAACGTGCCTTGAGATCTTAAAGATGATATTTTTAAACATATACATAAGTGTAAAGTATAGTAATCTGATAATAATTACTACAATTTCCGAGGTAAAGCATCTTACTTCTCAAGACTCTCATAGATGACGCTGACTTCTCAAGATATCTATAATCATTTAAATTCAAACCAAAAAGTACGAAGTGACCAAATCAAACTCCTTTTTACAGGACAAATTGCCAAAGTACAAGACAAAATGAGCACCGTACAGATAAGGCCAAATGTGAAATTAGCGAAACTATTTTATAAATACGCAGAAGAACAGAAAGAGAAGACCGAGCCAAAGGAATCGAGAAACACTGAGCCGGTTCAAGAGAAGGATTACGAGTCCTATCCGCCTTATAACTTCTCATGGTTCGTAGAGAACAAAATAGCCGCAATGGGGTGGCCGCAAACGGTCGCCAATCTCAACTACTTAGCGGACGTCGGAGTTAATCATTTGGTGACACTGTCACCGGAGAGGAGACCGCCGATACTCGAATGCGAGAGGAAATTAAAGTGGACAGAGATAAGAATAAAAGAGTTCGGTGCGCCGACGCTAAAGCAGATATTGAAATTTATTGAAATATGCGAACGAGCAGCTATAAGGGGGGAGGTAAGGGAATATTTTACTTCTGGCAATTTAAATACATACCTTTTTTTTTAATAAAAATAACAAGTGTCTAATAAATCTTATCTATTTTTTTTTCTTTTGGGCTAAAATATCCATTTAAAGAAGAATGATAAAACATTCTAATAATTAAAATAAAATTCTAGGTTTTACTTTTATGAATAAATAGTTAATAAGAAATATGTAATATAAAGAAACAGGGAATTTGAAATAGGTATAACAGAGTTTCGTAGCCACTATTTCTTGCTGGGGGGAAAGGGATTGTTAGTAATGAAGACTGAGAATCCCATTACTAGCAATAAACCCAACCAGGTCGACCTACACCCGGTTCCTCCTGGAAACTATCATGGTTAATTCCTGATGAATTCATCATGATGGGCTAACTGGCCTGTTTTCATTCTCATCTATCACCCTTCACTGGTGCTCCACCAGCGTATCCCGTTAGCGCAGGCGGGGTTACCATACCATTTTATCCATAAAAAAAAAAACTATTTTTACTCAAGGAGTCCAGTATTAGGAAAACAAAACTCTAAGGTAATCTTAGAACATTATACTAACTCTGTGGTAATAATAGTAAGTTTTATATCCTCATCTCGTGTCCAACAGTGGGAATTTAAAGGTTTGAGTTGAGGTTATAAAGGTTGAGGTGAGGAATAAAATACATTAATGTTTTTAGGTAGTAGGCGTGCACTGCCGCCATGGCCGCGGCCGCACCGGCACCATGCTCGCTTGCTACCTCGTATACTTCCAGAATATGGCACCAGAGCGCGCTGTGCTCACTGTCAGGGTACAGAGGCCCGGTATGTATCATGTTACACGCATTTTTCCCAAATGAAGTGTGATACGAGAAGCATGTGTTGATCTAGAATTATCATCTATTTCACCTTTCCTAAAAACACCAGTTATTATACAGTTATAGTCCACAAAGTTTTCCACTAAGAACAATCCTCAGTCCAAACTGATTTTTACCGCTACAAGAATTGGGATTTAATCATAATGACATCAAATTAACGTAAAATGGACCTTAAGTCTTTTTATTTCAAATAGTATAAATAAGATAGGAGACTGTACAAAAGTCGATTGCTTGGATACCTCTGTCCCATTCGTGTTTCTACCGTAAAGCAGTTGTTTACATGGCTGTTTCGGTTTGAAGGGTGGGATATGGCGTGAATTTACAGGGTACAGAGGAATAACATCAGTCCTCAGGAATGGCAACGCATGGGGGGTATTATGGGCGAAACAGTGTACTCTGTTATGTCCATGGTACTGCTCATGTCTATAGGCGACGGTTACCACTTTCCATCAGGTGGGCCGTCAGCTTGTTTGTCATTCTAAGTTGTATAAAAAAAAATAGATGTTTGACTGGCATACACATCTAAATTTTATAAAATTTTAGGCTCCTGTGAAACTTATGAACAAGAAAAAATTGTATGTCACTATCATGATTGCGTCCGTGGCACTATAACGAAGCCCGACTACCGCTTAGTTGAAGACAAGCTTTACTTCGACTGCTCCATGAAATACATGTACGACGAGGACCAAGAATCACAAGATGGCGACGATGAAAAACAAGATGGCGGCTGCGAAGTCAATTTAAAAAAGAGCGACTTAAATAAAAAAGTTGAAGCATTAAAATTGGAGAAGAAAAAAAAGGCAATGGTTATAAATCATAAAATTTATTTTTAAATATGTATTCAAGTTACAAAAATTAAGTTGTTGTAAGAAACTGAGCAATTGTAATTTAGATTTTTATATCACAAATACAGATTCAATAATGAAATTATGCAAAAATCACATGTAATCTGCTACAAACAATTATAAAAACTTCCTGACCTTTTTCTTATTAATCCATTAAGTGCCATCAATCATCGTGATGGCACATCAATCACCAGTAAATTTTCAAAACAATTTTGATTTTCTTTATTTAAATATAAATAACTTAACATGAACTGCGAATTCTAACTCCTTACTAATCATACTATTTGTTACTTTTATATACATAAATATAAACATTTTTGGAGTTTTATTTTTTTATATATTACAAACATTCGCGATTTTAAACTGTCCTTAATTCTATGTAAATAACCGTTACTGTTTAATCACATCCTAGAACGCTTTTTGCAGTACAGACACGTGGCAAAGTTGAAGCACATTGTTTTGTATAAAATGATGTTTGTTCCGAATTCAAAAACGTTTATACCGAAGCTTGCAAAGTGTGGCAACACCGGAACTAATGTTTAATTTTCAAAAACAATTTTCCAATATTTTTTATTTTTAAAAAGTATTTCGATAGCAAACTAAAATATCAATCATGCAATATTAATTAATTATAATTATTGCATAATAAATAATTCTTTAACTCTTTACAGCAGCAAAAACAAAAAAATATACAATGATATATAAAAAATTCAAGTGTTATTACACTAAAAAAAAAAAACCTACGCAAAACTCTTATTCTGAATACAGAAAAAAGTATTTGTTCAAAGCAAAATACGAATTAGGTTATAACAATTAATTATATTAATTATTAAATATTTATTTATCTTAATCTCTTAACCCTCGACGGGTAATGCATAGGACATTAACAAAAAATTTCGTGTGAAAACAATAAATATTTTTGCACGCGAATTGCGTTAGAAAAATTAACATTCTTATCAATTCATCATTCCTATTACTTCCCATCATTTTAAAATCTTTTTTAGGCAATACACCATGTTTTGTCGAATTCGAAAACATTTTAAAACCCAGGCATTAGAAGTCACACACAAAGTTGTTGTTGTGCCTTAGTTCGCTATCAAATCACTTTTTTAAAAAAGTGACAATTAAATAAATTCAGAAACATTATATATTTAAAAATTGACAGATAAATGCAATGTTGCCACACTTCGGCTTGCCCTCCAAACAGGTAACGTTGAGTATTCGCGGTTATGAACAATATTAAATTATTAATTTGTTATTCGCCTCAAATTAGCGCCGAGCAGCGACTGCCTGTTGTCATCCGATTGCCACGGCCGCGGCACGACCACCAAGTTCAATACGGAATTACCTCTCTTGACCTTCACTTGTATTCGACGGCCGATTGAATGGGTGACGAGTTCTTCCATGGGTGCCAGAGACGGCTCTTCCGTATTCCTGGAGTTCAGTGACCCGAATTGTATGATCGCGTCGTCGCTTCTTAAGCCCTGAAATATATGATTGTATAATTAATTTTCAAATAACTTCAAAAAGAAAATGATTCTCGATTTGATTGTTTTTTTATATTTATTAACCCATAAGTCCGTTAATAAACCAATTTGGATTTTTTTTATCTGACAGCTTTTTATCTTACAGATTGGTACCATAGAGATTTTATCAAAATCGGTTCAGTAATTTAGTTTTTAAATCAAAATAACTTTTTTTACGACAATCGAAGTCCGTTTTCTTCCGTTTTTTGGAACACAATCTTAAATTTATTGTACTCTATTATCTTGTATCTCTTTTTCTGCCTAATATTTCTCTATCAAAAAAAATTAAGTACTTACGGCCAAATCAGCGGGTGAGCCCTCGCAAACATTGACGACTAATGCAATCGGTGTGACCTGCTGTTCAATCGACGCTTCATTTCGCGGTGGGGGCTGGTGTGCTTCACCATTTGCGACCCCATTGCTTGCATGGCCATTTGGTAGATATCCATTGCTGCCATGGCCATTTGGTATGTGCCCATTGGGCACGTGACCATTTGCATTTGGTTGGTGAACGTTCATGTTTGACGGTCCAGCTCCATCAGCCCTATGGGAGTATAATATTTATAATTGAATATAATAAATTTATAATTAACCTAACTAGGTATCCATCCAAATAATACAAATGTTTCACTTTGTCATAAGTACAAAAGTGGATTGCTTGGGTACCTCTGTCCCATTCGTGTTTCAACCGTGAAGCAGTTGTGTTTGCATGGCTGTGTTTCGGTTTGATGGGTGAGATATGGCGTAAATTTACAGGGTACAGATGAATAACACCTAAGTCCTCAGGAATGGCAACGTATGGGTGGTATCATGGGCGAAACAGTATACTCTGTTATGTTCATGCTACTGCTCATGTCTATAGGCGACAGTTGCCACTTTCCATAAGGTGGGCTGTCTGCTTGTTTGCCATTCTAAGTTGTATAAAAAAAAATTTTTTTCAAATATTTATTTCATACGAATCTTGCTCTGATATATTCATAATAAAAAAATAATTAACTAAATAGGGCAAGCCATTTTGAAATGCTGCACTTTAGAATATTCAGCAATTTATTTTTATTTATATAGATAAACTAGAGATTCAGTCCAGCCTCGCATGAATAGATAGAATTTTCGAAATTAATATACAATCTCTATTAATCACTGATGACGTAGTTTTAGGTGATAAGTGAAGGATTTTTTTAATTTATTAAATAGTTTCTGAGTTTATTTATCAGTTACAAACATACAATAAAATATTTCCTCTTTATATTATTTGTATAGATTTTCTATTTTCCTTAAATGGCAATTGATCATTATTTTGAAAACCATTTCTGCTATCATGATGCGTAAGAGGCTCATTTTGGGTTTTTAAACCAACTTCAAAAAAGAGGTTCTCAATTTGGTAGTGTCGTTTTTTTTATGTTTATTACCACGTAACTCTGTCAGTTGTTAACCAATTTGAAATAATCTTTTTTTTATCTGAATGGATATCTATACTAATATTATAAAGAGAAAAGATTTGTATTTTTGTGTGTATGTATGTTTGTAATTCATAAACTCAAAAACTACTTTGTGGATTTCAAAAATTCTTTCACTATTAGAAAGCTACATTCACCCTGAGTAACATAGGCTATATTTATTATTACTAGAAAAGATTAGGGCTCCTTACTAAAACTTTAGTAACGTAACTCAAGGTGTTCAAAAATGCTATAAAATATCTTTCGTCGCGTGCGCTGCGGAAACTATTGGTGATAGAACAAAAGTATGTTTTACAATATTGAAGAAAATATCAATAACTACATAAAACTTCGCGATACTATATGTCCAACTATTAATTATTATAAATGTCCACCCGTGCGAAGCCGGGACGGGCCGCTAGTTGGATATTTACAGATTGTGTGTATAGAAATTTTATCAAAGTCGGTTAAGTAGTTTAGTTTTTAATTCAAATTAACTGATTTTGTCACAATTGAAGTTGGTTTTTTGTGGGACAAAATATTTCATTATTAGTATTATTACTGTAAAAAAAGCACAACATGAGTGTAAAATGTGTATTGAGTTGAAACCTTAAATTGGTAATTACATACATTCAAGTGATAATTAAATGTTGTGGATAAAAGACAGTTAATATTAGCTTACCTCCCACCTGCATAAAACTCATCCAACGCTACCTCAATCTCCTTCATTTTGTCTTTGTGGTCATTTTGTAAGCCTGTAAATTATGTTACATATAGATTTATAATAATATTGTATATTTATAAAACGAAAACTGGTTGCTGTTTTTTAAGAGTTGAGAAAATCTCTCTAATGGAAAGTAGGGCTAGACCATATAGAGCTCATGTAGACAGATATGTCTATATAGATGGAGCCAACATTTAGCATTAGGAGGGGAAAGGGATTGTTAGCAATGGAGTTTGATAACCCTAATATGCCCTATTAGGTCAACCTCCATGTGGTTCCCCCTGGAAACCATCGTGAACAATTCTTATTGAATTTGTCACTATGGGCTAACTGACCTGCTTCATCCTCATCTATCATCCTTCACTGGTGCCCTGCCTGTGTATACCGATAGTGTGGGTAGAGTTACTATTCCATTATCACCCTTTAAAAAATGCATTATTATTTTTTAATACAAAGATAATTTTAATATTCATAATTACTTTTTTTTTATAATAACTCCACATGTGACCATACCATCGTAATTGAAAACAAGGATATATTTATCCTTCCAGTCCATAAATGGGATTAACTGAAAAGAGAATATTCTCCTCTTGACAGTTGGCAACAATGGCTGATACTAATAATTGAATGTGTAAGAAAAAGTGCTAAATAGTACTAATAATTTAGTAAATATAACAAAATGTTAATTTCTGTGATGAATAACCAATTAAAAGATTGTTAAAATTTAAAAATCAACCTTTTTTATACAACATATGGCAAATAAGCTGAGGGTCTATCTCATAAAATGTGACAACATTAATTTATAAATATCATAGAATACAGAGAATTCCAGAGAACTAGGATGCCTCTGTAGGTTATAAATTCATTGTCATATCTCAGTCTTCAAACCGAAACACAATCATATAAACACAGTTGCTCCAAAGTAAAAACAGCAGAATAATCTACGCAAGGTACTCACTTTTGTATAAAACCTCCATCTTGTAAAGATCATTTTAAAAGATAAGCCATTTTTGTCTGAATATTTTTACTAAGGTTATTTAGATATTTTTTTAAAACAGGGGTGGCTGACTTAATTAGACTTAAGATCTAATGTTTACTGACAAAACCTTGTGCAATCTACCAATTACATACTTCATGAAATCTCAAATAAAACAATATAGTATTGTGTAATATATGTAAATATTACATTTTTATTTTTTTAAGAGGGAAAACATAAAACTGAAAATTATTCTTAATAACTACTCATTTATATTAGTGTGATCGTTGCATCTGAGCATCTTCCGCTAGATTAGCAAAATATTATATTTTTGCCTTGTCATGATCGACTGGACTAATAGTTGTGATCGAAGGTTTGCCACTCATAGTGTAAAGGTTATGCTAATAACTATAGACAAGAATAATGGTATGTGTGTGGACAGTAGTAAATAGTACTTCATCATCATATCCACTGCTTTACATAAGCCTTTCCCATAAGAGAGATTTACCAATAGCTGCCACGCTTGGCAGGCAGATTGGCAATCTTGATTAGACTTTTAGCTTATCCCTCGCCTATTAAACTCCCTTAGTCACCTATAAACCCACGGGAAAGGGAGGTTGGCCCATTCTATGTCGGGACCACATGGCAAATTACTTGGTAAACATAACATATTACATTCTTACATATAATTCTGTGTCTCGCATGCCGAACCCTCGCCACATCTATATCATTGCGCGGGAATCCTTCACTATCGACCAATGGCTCCCTCATCCCAATATTATTTGCATTCAATACGGCATTCCACTCTGCAATTTCTTGTTCAATTTTGTCCTTTTCGCGCACGAGCCTCATAGCTTTGTCACGCGGGGTCTCCAGGGTGCACGTTACCATTTTTCATAAATTATAACCTTGACCACTTTATTAATTTATTTGAAAACTTTATTTTTTACCAAACAATCAAATGATTAAATCAAAAACATAACACGACGCAAGAAGAAAATACATGAATGACAAATAAGACAATCAACACAGAAATACCTACATACAGGAATGAATATTGACAGTTACAGAAAGTATTGCCATAATTTACAAATGTTACTATACACGTTATAATAAACGGTTTGGAAAGTTGCTATTGTTATTTTGCTACATCAGATAACAGTTATTTTACCAAACAGTCTAAAGACACGTTTTTATCTATAAGAATGATCCAACTATTTTTTCCACTCCTGCTCATGTGTATTGTGTTCATATAGTGCTGTAGATTATAAATTTATCAGGGATAGATTCAATGTAAAATAGTGCTTACTAAATATATCTTGAAATTTATTAGTAAAATTTGATAACTAAGTATTAAGGTAAATATTAGAATTACGCGTCTATATTTTAATAAAATGATGGAATTGAGTTAATAATTTCAAACATCGATAGTTATAGTTATATTTTATGTATGTAACATATAGTTCCTAACAGAACATAAAAGTAATGTCGTTAAGAGTTAGATATTGAGTAAAATATGAATAATGTAGAAGTAAATACATGTTATTTAATAAAAAATAATAATAAATTTAAGGGATTGAACTTTCGCACTGAGTTAAAAATGTAGTCATTTGTAATGAAAAATACGTTTGTAAGAGTACACAGAGTTAAGACTAAGTTATTATATTTATAATAAAAAGTTATAAAAATATCTTTTATTTTTGTAAATAGATTGATACCTTCGAGAGAGGGAATACCCTAATATTACATCTTACTTTTTCAGGGAAGGTGTAATACATGTCCCAAGAAATGTTAAGTAACGAATATTTACTCCGAAGTACACCAGGTTAAAACAATCAACGAGTGTTTTACTTTCTGCTAACCTCCTTCATTGCATAATAATACTAATTATAAATACTGGGTACAGAGAAATAACACCCGAGTCCTCAGGAATTGCAACGCATGGGGGGTATAATGAACGAAAAAGTATACACTGACATGTCCATGGTACTGCTCATGGCTACAGGCGATAGTTACCACTTTCCATTAGGTGGGCCGCCAGCTCGTTTGCCATTCTATGTTGCATAAAAAAAAATATTGAAAATAATACACTAAATCATATGAATTTTTCTGCAACTTTTAATTATTTCTCTTTCCTTGTATCTTTGTAAATTCTGTGTATTTTCGTCCAATTTTATTGCATTATTTTTATATATTCTCTAGTATTACGAACTAAATAAAATGATAATTTGTTTGTCTAAGCTCGTTTCACGTTTCTCAAATATAACTAGAAACATTTTAACCGGTGGCTTAAGTTTAATACTATTATAATTAAATATAATTAATGTAAAGTTTATGAAAATGAATAGTAGGATGGAACTCTTACGTAGGAACTCTTTTACGAAAAAGTTACTGAACAAATTGAAATGGAATTACACGAGTAGGTTATATCATAACTTAGCATATAGGATATTTTAAGTACTTATGGACGCGGACAAAACTGCGGGAAAGTAGCTGTCTACTTTAGATTCAAGTAGTTTTCAAACATGAATCAAATTATTTTATTAAACATCTTATAAGGGGATTCTTTTGTGTCAACTTTCAATATAGATAATTACTCTATGCTAAAAAAGTTATTCACTATTAATTGAAAATACTTATACATAATTTGTCGGTACTGGCAAGTCAACACATTTTTCTTTTTCACACAGCGAAAGTTTGGTTTGAACGTGATAACCTTTGGTACTAGCAATACTATTTAAAAATATTTTTTTGTATTTAATCTCATTTCTTGAGGAAGGTTAGAGATTATTCAACATTACAATGCGACCATGGGCCTAGTCGCAGGATACAGGATACGCTAATAGTTCCTTCTTTCCAAGTCTTTTATACTATCTAAAAAATGTAAATTTTATTGGTATTAAAATTGCATACATACAGTATGTTTAATTATTTTATATTGCTATGGTAAAAATAGGATATAAATAAAAATACAAACATATTATTTGTTATTCTTTATTTTATATATTTTGAAATCAATAATGAGATTTTAAAACTGTAGCTTTTCAGAATCATTATTTTATACAAAAATGAAAGCTTTTATTAAAGAGGCTTCGATTTTATAATTAACAAATACAACAATGATTTAAATAAAAATGACCAGATTAATAGTTTTATAACTATAATAATGAAGGCTTACATGTAAAGTCAGATTTATAATAAAAAATTAACAAATAAGTGTAAGTGATGGTTAACAATTTCAAATGAAGAAGGTTACATTTTAAAGCATTTATTGCATACAACACATGCAAAATATCCTTAGCATTTTATTATTAAATGTCTTTTTGCGACAGTGTACTTTAGTTAGATCACTTAAAAATTAAACATTCTTTTATGAGCAGATTTTAAACAAAATGTAATCGTGACTCTGGCGACAGCCACGATAACAATTCTAAAGACTTTCTATTCCCATGATTTCAAATAAATTGTGCAATTAAACATATAAGAACTCTCATACATAAATGTACATTTTAATAAAGTAATAGTGACAAATCACAACATAATATTGAACACAAAAAATAAACTAAACGAGAGAACATGATTGTGCATTACAAAAAAAAAATGTATAAATAACACTATTATCACCTATTCATAAATCATCAGCAACAACTTTTAGTGATTCCTAATGAAACACCTAGTCTGGCGTTACTAAGTGACAAACGTGACCACGAAAAGCGGTAACTGATGATCACCTATTCTCCACAACTCAATTAACAAAATGGTCCCTAAAGGAAAAATATTACAGGTTAAAAAAATCACACTTTTCCCACTCTCCATAGAGAGACGCAAATACGTATTTTACATACAAAACATACACTAACAATTATGGCAACGTCGATAATAAATAAGGGAGATATTCACATTGAAACGTAATTATTTTGACGAATTGCTCAAAATATTAAACAGAACCGGGGAATACTGACAGCACAAAATAAATAAAATATTCCAACGTGCACAATAATCGCACGAATTGTAGAAAAAATAAGTATACAAGGCAACAAGTGCAGACTTTAAGTTTTACTACTACCATCTATTGTTTCCACTTAACTAAAAAGCCACATTCGCAAATTCGTTTTTTTTAAGCTTGGCTTAATTCGCGAATTGGTTAATTCATTGTTAGTATTATTATTAATAAATATGGGCACTTGCCTCCATGAATGCCAGCCGCAATGATGTAAGATTTTTATTTTGTCCAAAGGTGGGATACATGTTACAAGTATGTATGTTTATTCGCTTAAGAGATAAAAAAATCTGCAAATAAATGTGTCAAATAGAATTTTCAAAGCGACTAGCAATCCATGGATTTAAATTCGGCACACAAATATTATATTTTTCAAAAAGTAAACTTTAGTTAAAAATATCACTTTTTAAAAATTATACTTTTCAAGTGTCGAAGATTGGCTTTTCTAACATTTCGTCTACAGTCGGAATGGTTCGCGTTTCTCCGTATTTCGAGATGATGCCGGAGTCCCACGTCGGGAGCCTGGTGTAGCGGGGGCACCACTATCGGATGCGTCCGAAGGCTTGCGCAACAACCGCGTCACGGCGGTTTGCTGGCCTGACCGTACGGGTGTTGTACTTCCTGACGGCGTCCTTTGCCTGTTATAATATCAACAAATTAATTATCTTACAAACTGTATACAAGATCATGCAATCTACAAACATTTTAACAAGATAAACCAAACACCACAAATTTTTGAATTCTATTGTAAACCTACAAATTATGTGTATCCTAAATACAAATAATTTCTAACAAACTCATTTGGTAAATAGCAAACAAACTAAATAAACGAAAGCAATTGTTTTCACACTTTATCTACGCACTACAACAAACACAATTTTATTAGTAAAAAAAAAAATAGAATATATATAAAACATTCAAAACATTCCAAAACACACTAATAACTACAGTAAAAGCACACTCAATGTATATTAGTGATAAAATTACCTATTGAGATTACAGTTAGTATGGTGATCCTTTAATAGAGGGATGCGACTCCTGCTAGGCGTTTGTCCTTCTGTAGAGGCAAAGGACCCGCTCCTATGTAGATGGTGTTAGCGAGCACATAAGAAAAAATATTAGTTGGAAACAGAAAAGATTATAAATATTACTATAGGTAATGTCATTGCACATGCTATTATAAAAGTAATTATGTAAAAAAATTGTGTAAAATATTCCAGACAGTGCAAAGTTAAAATTACATACTGATTAAGAATCTTTTGTTCATGACTTGTAAAAATAAGAAGTTCATGTGCATTAACAAAATATTAAAGAAAAGAAAGACTATGTGGACGTTACATAATAATTTAAAAACATAAATGTTTTTAGATTACTACATTAAGCAATGAAAATATGAATAACAGAGAGCAGATGTATACATATTAAAAAAATGTACTGAAATCAATAATTAATTACAATTCGTTTCTAAACAATATTATACTATATAATGCAAAATAATCCAACAAAAATCTGTAATGCATTATTTACTCGATAATATATAACTGCACTTGAATTTTGCAATATAAAAATACTTTTTCAGTACATTTTTAAATGGCATAATGTTATTGTCATAATGGTTTTATGTGCAACAATTCAATTTTCATATAACTAAACATATAAGTATAAAAAGGCATACAAATTGAGATGTAAGATAAAGCGATAAACGAACAGATTTATGATGTTAAGCAGATAGCGCTTATTTCCACGTTTTAAGGCGTTATCAAAGCTGTGAGTTGAAATATATATAAAAAGATGCTTCAAGCAAAATATATTTCACGCAAACACAATCATTAATGACAAGATTGACAGTGGTCATAGGTTATGATAAGTGATTTCACGAGCCATAATCAAACAGAACAGATGAACGATTGATGTCGGAATTGTGATGTAGATAACATATAATTCAACGTAATGATAGATGAGAAAGTCTGAGTAAACATGATATCAAAACAATTTCCAAAATAAAGGAGCGTCAATCATAATTATCGAGCAGAAATCGAAGCTAGCAGTCTACAAGCCT